CAAATACAAAGTTCTTTCGATTCAATCACCTTGAATTTATTAATGTATCAATTACCGAGCTTGAGACTTCATTATCGCCGACCGTACGATAAATATCCCGAGTGTAAGTGGAAAAGTCGAATCCCGGAAAAAATATCCCAGGGAAAAAATATCCCACACATTCAAAACGTGTTAAAACTCGCTTAATTTAATTATTTTTTAATTTAATTATTTTTTTTGTTGTCTATTTTTTCAGGGGCTCTAATTTTTCTATGGTCCATCAAATTGTGTGGGTTTTAACACGTTTTGGGTGTGTGGGCTATTTTTTCCGGGGATATATTTTCCGCCTACCGAAAAAGTCAAGTGACTTTTTCATTCCTCCACCCAAAAAGCCATTTTCCCAGAGCACAACTAATGATTATTAATTAATTATCATTAATTATCAATTACTATCATCGATCTGCGCATATTATCAGAGAGATGAAATAGCCGATAATTTTTATATTTAGCAAATGCTATTTCATCGAATGGCGATAGCAATATCCAATCAATACTCAATTCTAGCAATAGAAACATCCATAACTCATCTAGCATAACATCTCCCGACTGTAACACGAGGGTTAAACTGTTAATCCATACATTTCCTGGTGAATCGGCCCTAAAACTGGACACCGTGGAGAAATAGCCAGAGGGGGAGTGAGTAAAGTACTTAGTTGTCGCCAATGTGTACTAGACGCTGTACACGCGGGACTCACCAACTAGGTCGTTATCCCCGTTAATGAGGTATCAGTACTCACTCTCCCCCATGTACCACGAATATCCCCATTTTACCCCCAATGAAATCCCCAACACGATTATTACACCATTACGCGAACGGTTAAAAAAATCTACCTATCTAAGTAATAACTCCTGAATATAATCATTTAATAAAAATCAAGACTGCAAGAATTGAAAAATCCACATCTTATCAATTAGAAAAATATAAATATTCCCAATGAATAGTGAAAATTCAAGTATTTATTTTTCCATTTCTCATGAAATTTTATGGATTTAAAAATGGAAGAGAAGATTTGAATGACCGATAGGGGAGTATTAAAGGGGTTGTTTTGATGAATTGCTCCCCGGAAAATGCAGAAAAATTTCCTCCCCCACCCACCGTGAAAACTCTTCAACCTCGATGCAACCGCAAGTATTGAAATACCTCTCGAAAAGAAATGAAATTCAAATTCCTGAAATCCAAACGTCCCGAGTGTGAGTATCGAAACGATTGATGGAATGTAAAGCAACTTTGATAACTTTCAAATTGAATCCGAGAATTTTTCATAACTGTTGCTAGTCGGCATTCCTCCGCTCCCGTGGAGTCACGGATTGCTCAGTGGAAAAGTGTCGACGAGAAAAAAAAAAAAAACCCCCAAGCAGTAAGAAGCAGTACGACAAAAAAATATATACATCTCCCATACTTTCTCTCACTTTTACCCGCATAATCTCTTGTCTCTGCATTTGCATTTCTCGAGTGATCGTTCTCTCGCAACTTTGTCCACTTGTAGGACCGCCGATCGATGACGGAGTTTCAATTTATTTTTACTCCAGAAAAACCCAAGAGGGGGTGGAAAAAAATTACAACCGACAATTTAATCTTACAGCATCCCCCGGGAGAAGCTTCCGTACCTGGGGAAATCGAATCGAACGACAGAATTTCTCACCGGAAATGCAAGAATTCAGGGACTAGTGCAGATATTTCTTTAAATCATTTCTTAATAAGTTTCTCCCACAAAAAAATCAAATTCACACCGAACAAAAATAAACCAATTGATTTAGATACTTCGAAATAAATTTCCCCTTCAAACAAATCATTATTTTTTTTCAATTCTACAATGACTAATTGTTAAAATCGTCAAATTGCGCCCCTGAAAACATGAAGAATCGCCAATTTTCAACCGAAACAGAGATATCCCATTGAATATTCTAAACCCAGTAAAAAGCCACAGAAATATACCCCCCGGAAAAATGAAACTCGTTCGTTGACTTTCATAACGCCATTGTATACCCCGTTATCCGCCCGTGATACCCCAAGAGTTTATACTCTGGTTTATTCCTAGGTACTTCACAGAAGGAGTTTAAAGTTCTCAGTGTCCCGCGTGTGGCTGTACTACCCGGATTTTTCAGTCATTCCAAGTTTCAGTGCTCTCTGCGTCGAGAATATTTTTTTCCGCGTACCCCACAAAACAACAGATTGAAATTCCAAACAATAGACGACAACTCAACATAAATATTACCCCAAACAACGGGAGACTGTAATTTCCATTATTTCAATCGTCCAATGTCCACGTAAAGAAGTTAACGAGCGAATTAATGCGTGAGAACTTAAAAAAATAATAATAATAAATAAATAATAACGGAAATGATGAACTTTTGAGGAATGAAAATCCCGACAAATTCCCATAAATTGAAAAATTATTCAGTATTCCCTATTCATCATCGAACTCCAGGTGATGGGTCGGCTTGTCGATGGCCACCGACACGTCCATATATTCCGTTTGTGAACTTCTTGGATACACGGATTGTTCATCCCCCCCCCCCCCCCCGAGAATTCTCATCGACTGCTCATACCCTTACGATCAAACTCATATTCCACAGAGACAAGGGGTAACTGTGACGGAGTAGTTTGAGACTCTATGAATATGTAAACTTTATACCCAAGCCTTTCCCTCTGGTTCAACTGTGTCGACTAAACACCGAGCACAGCACGTTGCTGTTTGCACGTGTAACACTTCAAATATTGGCGATAGCATTATGATGATTCACACCGATAAAACAATCGTTTACAAAAAAAAAACGCGTGATAGCAGTATACATTTCTTTCCATTCCTCCATTTAATTTTTCAGTCTAATTCTATTATTATCTCCCCGTTAATTTTTTTTAACTGAGAATTTTTTTAATCAACACCTCTTCATTGATGAATTATTCAATTTCGCGAATATTCCGGCAATTCTCAAGTCATATGATGAATTTATTATTGTTAATCGAGATTGACTTCACATACCAGCGAATTGGGATGACCGAAATCTCAAGAAATTCTCAACAGTATATTCACCACGAACCTCCTAGCTACTCAAAATCAATACCCCTCAAATTCATCACTTGAAATAATAATACACACACGTACTCCACATCTTTCGTTCAAACAAAAGCACCTATTAGCCCCCAAAATCCGTAATAATTAAAAGCCCCTAGTACCCAAGCACCACGTAACATCAATCGAGGTTTAGTATGCTAATGCACCGAGTCAAATGAGGGAGAGAGAAGAAGCATTATGGTTGAACGAACATGATGCTCATAACTCAGCGAATCACACATCACCATCGCTGAACTGTATGTGATATCCACCCCTTTATACCCATTCCACCCATTCCACCCCTACCCACCCCCTTTACCACCCGTTTATATACCAAAACCCATGCCCCATGTAGTGACCAGCGCGTGAAAACAAACCCCACGACTAAAATCTCCACCCCAATCTCCATCAACTCGGCTACCCTGAAATGCCTGGTTTACGAGAGATTGCCAAGTGGTCCATGTACAAACCGTTGTACCTACTCACGTTGTACCTGCTATGACAGACGCAGCCATCACCCAAAACCGCCATTTCCCTTTCTCCAATATATACCCTTATGCATGTGTTTATATGTCAACATTTTCAACCTCACTTCGTTTCAATTCAACAGCACTCTGATACCCCAGAGATTTGTCACTTACAAATTCACTCTCAATCTCTAATCAACCATTTTCATTAATCAATGATTACCGAAAAGCACTTGAATCAAGAAATTTACCATTTCAATACGAACGAAAATTCCCCGTCAAAAGTTATTTCCCAAATTTTGAATTTTATTCGTCGAGAGTTTCGAAGAAATTATTCGGAAATGTTGAAAAAAAATTCATGGCAAATCGACGATTGATTTTATAACTGGCTAAAAATATTTTTCCAATATTAAAAATCTCGGTATAAAATACAAGATCGAACAATCACAACAAATCCAATTAAATAAAGCACATTAATCCGTCAATACTCATTACAACCATCGTTTTTAACCTGATTAACCAGCTATCCAATTATCCACGCAATAAAACCAAATTTCCAGAATAATATATTTTATCAACACGAAATACGGATAATCACTCTGAATTAATAAACTCCATTATCCGCGGAGGACGATTGCTTCAAATATTTGGTTAGACGTATTCCATTTGGCACGATTACCCCCGATCCTGTCTGTTTGATTTTCCCTCGGAAATATATTTTTTCCCCTTCTATTTGTTCAGCTCGTTCGTAGGAAATGGCGAATTCAATTCTCGCAAGACAAACAATGCGAACTATTCCATATCTCAACGAGCATCATTTCAAATGAATCACCACAAAATCTGAATTTTAATCAAACCAACTACAAACGATACGCCCCCACCAAACCAACCGCACTAAAATTTCCCCATCATCCCCAATGATTAATTAAAAATATTAATTAATACCCCTAATTTCTTCCCCCGTGAAAGTACTTTTGCCGATTCATCCCCCGAAATGATGATTACGCGTTCCATTAAAACCAAAGGATGTTCATCATGGAAAATTAACGGCGATAGCATCCCTCGTAAACTATCACCTTAATCCACCATTTTTCCCCTCATTCCATCAAACAAGGCGGATCGATCAATCATAGAAGGGACTATCACAGCGCATATTTCACGTGAAAACGTATCAGAACCACCGACGATTCGACAGTGAATCGTTGTCGGTCGCAAAGTCTTCGGTAATCCTTTACCGAGGCGTCAAAAGTTTATGGGACACCGTTGAAAAATGGCATCCCTTCCTACTCCCAATGTACGATGGGAGAAACGAAAAAAAAAAAAAGAAAAAGAAAATAGAATAAAATAAAAAGATCGACCCACCCCGACCCACCCCGACCCACCCCAAGTCGTTGTCAGCTTTGCCGATCGATCATCCATAATTTTTATCGATTTTCAGCTGGAGCTAGGGACGGTGCCAGCAGGAGGTACCCCGTTATGGTATTCGTTCATGGTGAAAGCTACGAGTGGAACAGCGGTAACCCATATGATGGCTCTGTTCTTGCCAGTTATGGTGGTGTCGTTGTGGTAACGATAAACTACAGGCTTGGAATCTTAGGTGAGTATTATATCATATTTTATTTTCCACTGCCTCTCAAGACCGAATTTACGACTTATTATTTTATCCATCGTTGTTATTTTATTCCAGAATTCGCTGTTTTACTGATCATCATTTCTAGAGCATAGAGTACTCGCACGACATTAAAAAATTACGACAAATGTAATGTCACTGAATTCTCTTAAAATATTTCATTAGCAATGCGGTGGACAACTTTAGAATGTTCGAAACCCTTTTTTTTCTCGCGAATTATCAATGAGATTGACAAAAAAAAATCTAACATTTTTACGGATTCAGATACCAGCGCAAAATATTCTCCCTGAATCTTCATTTCCCGACACGCGAAGTTAAAAATTCCGTAAATCTCAAACGTAATAGTAAATTCATGACCAGCTGTTTGGTTCGGTCCCTCAAAACTCATGAAATTCCTCATCCCTTTCCACATGTCACCGATTTGTTGTTCCGTTCGCTCGAGTGATCTCTCGAGCGGTCCTCCAATTATTTCCACCGAATGGCAGCCCACCATGATCAAATTAATGTCAATGGAGAAAGAAAAAAAAAAATGAAAAAATCCCATCTCGATGAAAAAAAAAAAACCGCCCATCAAACGAATAAAGAATATTCCATGAAAAAACAATGAAACTGGGGAAAAGTGCTTTTTTAAAAATTCATGAAAACGAACAAACTACAGAATATTTTCCGGTAGACGAATAATTCACAGTATTTCGCGTACCCCTGGACGGTTTTACAGACCCACTGGGAAGTTTCCCACGACGCATGACAAATACAGCGGAAGCCTGCGTGTAGCCAACTGTGACAGCAACTGCCGGAAGTGAAATTTCAAACTTGACATGGAGACCAACTCTATTCTCTCATTGTTTCATTTTCCATTTATCTCGCATCGATGGCTAATAAAGAATAGAGAGCACCGCAAAAAAAAAAAAAAACTACATCAGAGATGGTAGAATAAAAAAAATTCTCCTTTTTTGCTGTCAATGTTGCGAAACGATGGAAATAAAGAAGTGACTTGAGAAAACTTGCTTGGATATTCTTCCCCAGGATTTTATACTCCCAAGATTTATCGACAATATTGAATATATTTTTTTATGGAAATGCCTTTTTTATTTATATTTATAGCACTCAGTGGAACATTTGCGGTGACACTAAACCAACGAATCGTTCTTCTACCGATTGATATGAAAAACTATTGATTTTTGGATAAAACGTCGGGCAATTTTTCCCAAAGAAATTCACGATGGTTTATTTAATTATGAGAACTCAATAATGGATGAGTTATGGAATGTCAAGGGTGCGGGTTCATTGATTAAAATGTCAATCCCGAAGTTATAAACAACGAATCCTCGAAAAACCAAAATTTCCTATCGCGTACCAGTAGTAAAAAAGACACAGAGCATTTCATCCCTCGTACGCTTTACGACACCCGTAAACATTGGTTTTGCTATCGATTGATCGACGAGATCTGCCCTTTTGTCAATCGAAATAAAAAAAATGAAAAAAAAAAAAATACAAGTGAACCCGGGTATCCGCGAGCCGTAAAGTAAATTCCCCCGGTTTATTTAAACTCTTGTACATCCAAACTATACACGTTCATGATAACATCCCCTCGTCCACCCCCCTTTTTACCAGTTTAGCTAGATTTTTTTTTAAACTCTATTTATCCTCCTTGTGTCCACGTTTGCGCCCCACGGGTTAAGCCGCATTCAACCCCTCGATAGTCTCATAAAAAACAGCCCCTGTTTACCGAATAATTCGGAATCGAGAAAAAGCAGAAAAAAAAAAAATTATTCACTTTTATCTATCGGAATCGGTGCGCGAAACCTTTCAATCAAAAACTGAAAATTTCAGTCCACAATTTACATAAAACTTCCAAACGATTCGGAATTATTTGCAAACGAATAAATCCCAAAATATTCGCATTTTAAATTTCACGATTTGTGCCTAAACAAAATTTTTCACTCCCAGAAAAAATTTACGAGGATATATTTTTGTTTTATCATTAAGAATTTGTCGACAATTGTTTGTTTTTTTTCTTTCTTCAAATACCGAGACATAATTTTCATTTCAGGATTTCTCAACGCCAACACAGACTCGCACTTGCGTTCACCAGCGAATTATGGTCTGATGGATCAGATCGCAGCCCTCCACTGGGTCCAAGAAAATATCGCCTATTTCGGAGGTGACCCGGGAAACGTAACCCTGATAGGACACGGCACAGGGGCTGCCTGCGTTAATTACCTAATGACAAGTCAAGCTGTACCCGACGGTAAGTCCATCCGACAATTATTGTACCGATCAATCCATCTGACTGAATCCTCAGTTTTTTTTTCTAAATCCGATACCTTTATATCCCCAAGTCCCTCCCATTGGCCCAAAACCTCTTTCTTCCATTACCTAACTCGTAATCTCCCATTTATTGGCCTACAAATTGACTGAGTAGCTTTTTACGAGGTTTAGTGACAAGAAAATAGTACCAATGGCTTTTTCCTCACCGTAAAACAGTCGAAAGTATTCCAATTAAACACAACCCTCTAAAAAATTCCAAAATTCATGGTTCTCCGAAAAAATTAAATGACAGATGCATCAAAAACGCAGTCCATCATTACTCACACAAGTCGAAAAAAAAAATCAGCTCAAAGCTTTATCTAAAAATCCAGAGAAAAACCAAAGTGCAGATAAAACCTCACGATTTTTCCAAGACCCCTATATTTATAAAGGTAACCCGAGGAATAATTAACGCCAGGTCACGTTGGCTCTCAAGGGTGGAATCACAACGTTAGAAAGGCTGTGAGAAAAGTGGGTAAAATGGTGTAGTGGAAAAAGGGGGATGAAATTGACCACGAGAATACCTGAGATTGGAGTGCCTGATTTAGATGCCACGGTATGGCGAAAACGAGCTTGAGTATGGTGGGAGAAAGCCGCAGGAAAGTGTAAGAGAAAAAAAGAAGAAAGGTATAAGCTTGTCGAGGAAAATGAAGGCGAGGAAAAATAAAGAGGTAGAAATATTGCATGTGGAGGATGAAGGAAAAAATTGCAAAAGGGGGCATGAATGTGTGAGAAGAAGTACGATTAAAAAAAAAAAGAAACATTGTGGAATGGTGCACCACAAAAGCTGTCGACGTTTCGCGCCCAAGAGATTGGTTTTTGATTTTCTCTCCCCCTGTCTTGTTTTTTTTTTTTTTTTTTTTTTTTTTTGAGAAATATGGAGTCCTTTGAACGAGGTGATGATGGAGATCGAGAGGCCTGTTCACGTTTTAAATCCCTCGACACCATTACAAAATGATCACACTGATGATCCAAAGGACGAGATAAAGGTAGAACAGGGTGTCTCGGAAGTGGATAAACAAGGAGGACAGCCCTTGTTTCCCCTTTTCCCAGTTTTACCTCCTCAAAGGTTTTTGTCCTCAAGTTGTCGTTGGCCTGGGGGTTATCGCAAACCGTTGAAAAATCGATGGACAAAAGTGCTAAAGCGCTTCCATTGAATGTTGAATCAGGGGTGAGCCAGAGGAATGAAAAAAAAAAAAAGAAACCTACGGAAATTGCTTTCAGTCTTTGTTTTTTTTTCTTTTCACCCGGTTATCGCTGGGAATAAGGTCATCGGGTGAAATTTCATTCATTTATCGGAATGAATGTAGGATCCCGTCATCCCTGTGAAATGACCCCAGAGAGATTAACGTGTCGCGGGAAAACATTCGGATTTTAATGAATTTGAATGAAACAGGGAGCAAAATTCAATACAATTTTTTCAGGGAAAAAATTCAAAATGACTAAAAATTTTCAATGATTCATCCAGCCAATGGCAATCTACAACCTCCCACCCCCCAATCTCAGATCCACTGTTGTTTAAATGGGGTTAGTAGTTGAGATAGATCAAGAGTGTCAAGGGGTAGTTGAGACGATAATTCCTTGGATAGTTCTCAAGGGAAACGTGACTAGATGTGACTTCGGGTCAAGCGATTTCCTCGGGTTGTAATTTATAGTTCACCAACACCACCACCTCCTCTATCATAGCTCCGTCTCCCGTATTTTCGGTCTCGATTCTCACCGTTACCACTAACTCCCCTCCCTTTAAACCCCATCTTGTATTGCCAACGAAACCCTAATACACTGACCAGCCTCATTTACCCCCAAAGGTAAATGACCACCCAAAAACGAGAGGATTACAATAACGATCAGTCCGATAACTCCGTGTCCAACGTTCCCAGAAAAAAATTTTGTTGTCCAATATTTTCACCGAAAGCACCTTGAAAACATAAAAGAGAGGATAAAGTGACATGCCGTGAAAAATCCACTCACCCTCCACGAAATAGGGGCCCTAAATCATCCATCAAATCACGCATGAAACATTTCACCACAAGATAACCCACCCGATGTCCCAGAGTACTTGGGTAAAACGTTATTACCGAAACACTTGCATTATTGATCGTTCTTGATAGGAAGTCAGGCAGATTCACTCCACCAAGTTCTCTCAAGCTGTTATTCAGCGTCTGCGTACACCCATTTGGCTTCAGCTCAAACTTGACAAATACTGAGATGGCTCAATCCATTTCTACCCCAATCCCTGAATCTCCATCGCTATCAACCCATACTATTATCACCAATAACGATCACGGTGTTATGATTGACTAAAGAAAACAACCGTTGAACAACATCATGAATGAAACCACAATCTTATCAACGGGATTCATCACTAAATAACCAAACACCAGAATATCTCCAGTAGCTGGGCTAGCAAAAGGGCTCACAACTCCAGTGACAAATTCCCGACTAAATTCCGAATATCCAGATAACCACTCGCTTAAATTACAACCCCATTGTTGTGACAAAAGCGTGCTAACGTTTCGGTTACTCGTTATATTCAACTTTGATGACCTCCGATTCTCCATCCGCCTAGCCATTGAACAACGATGAAATTGCCCGCAATGCAAATGCTACCTGCGGTATAGATCGTTCCTAATACTGATTCTGTTTGGCTTTAGTCTGGGAAAAGGGGTCGGAGGATGAGGGGTTCAATACCACCACAACGAGACAACCGAGGGGTAGAGAGACGTAGAGGTGCATCGTTCACGATGTGGATGTGTTACGAAAGGGGATGATGGAGGAGGGGGGGATAGCTTGATGATGAGGAGGGAGGTTTCAGGCTGTTGATCGTCAGTTGGTGCTGTATCGGAAGGACGATGTAGCCACGTCCAAACGTAATACTCGATAGGGAATTAATCTCTATCGGACCATGACAAATATCCAATTTCTAGATGTGTTTGAATGCCTCCTTGATGACGAATGAAGGCTAAGGATAATTGAAGGAGACAGTTTACCTGTTCATATTGTTTGCACTCGTGATTAATCGATTCAAGATCAGATACAATTGTCAACTATTCACCACCAACCACTCCCAAATTAGACAAAAGAAAAGAAAAATAACAATTCACTAATGAAAAAATAACAGCTTCCTCCACCGAGTGGCATAATTGTCCAAAGGAAAATTAAGACTTTGGGTGTGGCATAATGGGGTCAACTCAACAATTGAATACGTAATACCACCGTCAAAAAATTACGACACTCCTCCATTCTTCAGAAGTAACAATGAGTAGAAGGGGTTGACCCAAGAGGTATTTCACCCGAAACTTGAGTTTATGTGAGCGATGGAGGAAACGTGTTGAGTGGCAACAAGAAAGAGGTGGTAATTGTACTGGTCTCGGTGAAATCTACAGCCGTTGTTACCACACACTGCGGATTCAGACCGACAATTCCCAACAACCTCCTCGTTTTGCAACTACTTGTCGTCTTAATTATTCCAAATGGCTGGGGACTCAAGACATCTCACAATCGCTCACAACCGCTCACAACCACTCACAACCGTTCAGAGCTACATGTGTGACATTGAATCAACCGCGAATATATCTGATAACTCGTCTCGATTCCTCACACCATTATTAAATCTCCAAATTTATATTTTTTCCAGGCCTACTATTCCATCGAGGAATTCTCATGTCCGGAAGTGCCCTCTCCCCCTGGGCCCTCGTCCGAGGTGCTGCAGATTACGCTATGCAAGTTGCTAAACACCTAAATTGCTCGTCGGTGAGTAATTCAAGTTTACTTAAAGTTTATGAGAGGCAATTCAACCAGTACTTTATTCCCGAATCGTCGAGATCCTCAGGGAAATGAGGGATTAAATCCCGAGTAAATTGCTATCGACACTCCATCAAATATAAATTAAATCGATTCCATTGGCCAAATCTCGACGGCCATCAATATTTCAGCGACGAGAGGCATCCCGGAGGTGTAAAATATTCTAAATTCGTAAAAACTACCTAAACCGAACCGACGAAGAATCAATCGGGACTAACGATTGATTGACTCGATTAGTTTCATGTCGAATCACGCGCGTCAACGAACTCCAGAACAGACGGGATAATTACTTTTGTTTTTCATTCGACCAGAGTGTTGTTTAAATTTTTCAAAGCCATTTCATTTCGAGCCCCTCTGTCAGTGCATCAAACAAAACCAGGAGGAACAATGAATAAATGAACAAAGAGAATTTCGTGTTGTTACGCTGGAATGAAATGAAAAAAAAAATGTTAAAATTGGAAAAAAAAGAAAAATCGAGGGGGAATGACTAATTATTTTTCTCGGTGATTTTTAAATCCCACGCTTGTCAAATCATCCCCAATTCTCAATACAATCATTTCAATTACTATAAATTTTTCATCAAACAAAACAACCAACCACACTCAATGAGGTTCAATTAATAAAAATTATACAATCGCACCGAGAAAAAAAAATCGCTTTAAATCAGATCAATTGGAATCGATTGATTTTTTTTTTTTCAACTTTACACAAATCAATTAATCTTGAAAAAAAGTGCAATAACGACAGAGAAATGTCTGGTATTCCCGGAGAGAATGGAGATATTCGGGGGATTGACTCCGCGGCCCGTTTGCCATTCATCGGATTTTCGGGATGCACATGAGGATGAAGGACGCAAACGGGGAATTGTGGTGAGGATGAAGAAGGGTATGAGGCAATAGTGAAAAAGGAGATGAGTTGAATTGCCGAGAACAGCAGCAGAATGCATACAAACGATCTCCTAGGCATTCAGCTTATTCACCTCGCGTTTTCATGTTGTCTGCGAATTGGATGGACCAATCGATTCCCATACATTTAAATCTTCATTCATATTAAATAAAAATATCAAAAGCACCGATTCAACGTAATCCAACAATTCCATTAATGGGCCAAAACGAATTCAAGATGTTTATATATGAAGCGCGTGGTCATTAATCACCATGATATATTACCGAAAAACTTATAAATTTTCTTAATGCACTCACTTTATCGTGATAGTGCATTTAAAAAGCTATTTAGAATGTTTTTCCACAACCGTAAATTCTTGTGAGTGAATCACCGGGTGGTTTAAAGCTAAATCCGATGCAAACTACTGGAGTAATCTCACATCTCAGAATACTCTCATTCAACCAAAAATTTTATATCTCTGTCCACAGGCTACCCACGATCCCCAGTCATTGCTACGATGCCTCAGGGATGTATCAGTGGATAGTATAATGTCAGTTCCAGTCAAGGGATTGGCATTTGCACCGGCATTTGGACCAAGTATAGATGGGGTTGTCATTGATCCGGGTGATCCGGAGGATCAAGATTATACACTACAAGTCGATACGATTAATACACTCAATAGTATATTGCTCAGGAAGGATGTGATAGCCAAATTATCGAGGTGAGTGTAAAATTTCAAACGATAAATTCATCTTTTACAGTTCAACTTGAAAATTTTTACAAACCAAAAAAATGCCAATGGATAAATTTTTTATACCCGAGTTCAATTCACTCATCGACATACAACTGATTAAATTCAATCAACAGACGCGGTGAAATTCGCTGGAAAAATTCTAGAGAAATAATATTTTATAGAGAAGACGTGCACACACGATTGTCTCAAGGTTCGATGTGTTGATTGACGTGCAAATTACCGGTTTATAACACCACGATAGTTTATCCTCGTTAATTAACTCGTTAAGATCGAGTGGCAGGGGATCTGCTGATGGATAAACACGTGCAAGTTTAGAGGTATAGAGATTGGTGAATTAAGTGATGAAGGTGAGTTTAAGTCAGACACAAAGATAGACCTCCGAACCGATGGAACACATTTCAAAAAAATTGCCAATTTATTGATAACCGTTATTTCAACCTACCAATAAAAATAATGAAACCACCAGCGAGACGCAAATCAAACAAACCAAAAAGAAACAAAAACTGAAATTACGGGAGAGAAAAAATTATCACCAAGACAAATGGAAATATAGCTGTGAAAATATCTTTCACATCGGTAATTCAATTCGCCCCTCAAATAATAGACTGGCAATCTCCGGTTTTCTTTTCCAATCGATATCAATCAAATTGAAAAACATCCCGTTACTCACATGAAAATTAATTGATTTCACATTCATTCCCGGGAAATTTAATTTTTTGCCCTTTTTTTTAACAACCACCAACCCTCGAGTATTTGGTCGCACAGCCGGTGGTATTCAGTCGTCGTAGCACCGTGCGGCTAATTTCAGTTCCGTTTACTCTAGTTGCACAAGAGACATTTTCCACTCTCTCCATTTCTGACTCTTTCTCTCTCTCCCGCCACTTCAGCCATTCTGGTAATGGGGCTTATTAACTTTTACGACAACCAACACGAGCTACTTCCAGATACTTTTGTCGAGGCTTTGGCATTAACCCCCCGGAATAACAAAAAAAAATGAATAAAAAAAAAAACAACAACTACAACGCACGGTTACAGCCTATGACAATATTTCAGTTTTTGTTTTTCCACCCAAGTGATGGTTGTTAGCTCCCATCCGCCGTTTGGTCGTAACAATTCAGAGGGAATTTCTCTTTTTCAATTCTTCCTTTTGCATTATTATTCCTCACCCTTTCTCTCTTTACTTCCATTTTTTTTTCGCGGGAATGGAGTCTGCCGTCAATCTGATTATCGCAACTATCGCTATATTTTCTCATTCATGCGAGCGGATTATAAATTTTCCACGAATTAACATGAGAATGGAGAAAAAATGTTTTTTTTTGTTTTCTGCATAGAGAATAATTCAACCCGGCGTTGTCGTGGAAATTGCATCCCTTATATTGAAAGTGCAAGGGATTGTTCATTTGTTTTCGACTTCAATTAATTGATTCTCATTCAATACTCGATTATTGCTCGATCATCGATTTTTATCTTGAACTTTGGAAATATAGCGGAAAAAACTAGGAGATATTTTCACTTAATTTTCATCGCTGAATGAATATTGAATTGATTTTTTTCAACAAGATTTCATGAAACAATAATATATTTCGATACAAGTGTACCAAAGTGTTTTTCAGCTTATGGGAGTTGATAGCACTTAAAATCGGCAAATATCGACTAAATCGACTCATGAACAACAGTTGCCTTACAATCGACTAAAGTGGACTCAATCGACTGAAATGAACTAAATCGACTTCTGAACACCAATCGCCTCAAAATCGACTCAATCGCCCAAAATCGATGATTTTCTCAAAAAATTCAAATATTAGATATTCGATGGAGATAACCTTCCAATTCAGTAACACCTTCAGATTAAAACCAAAAATTTCCAAACACTCCCAATGGTCTCTCCAATTCCCTTTAATCCCGGCATTATCTCCTTCATCCGAGAAAAAAAAAAATCAGTCACGACTCGGGACATTACGAGTGAGCCATAATAAATGGCCAAAACGGAAGAAATTTCACGGAGAAACCCACGACAAACAAAATCCCATTAGTCCCTTCATGTTTTGATAAACAAAATGGCTGTAAATATTAAAAAATGGATGCATAAGCCAGGGAATGAATTATTTCCCTCAGGAAAAAAAAAACGGGATAAAGGACCTCAGCGAAATAACGAGATGTACGTCACACACTGGCTGGTGCGCCGAGAGATGAGTTATTTTCAACGGTTTTGCGGTCAAAAAATTTAACGCCAGCATGAACATTTTTTTTCTCCCTCTCCCCACCACCCCACTCACACCCTTTCTTCCCCCTGTCCCCAGGGAGATTCGCCGAGGCGTACGGGCTAGATCCGAACTGTGCACCAAAAAGTACTAAAAAAAAAAGATGAAAAATACATTCAAAACGCTCCCTCTATGTTTTTTTTTTTAATTTTCTCCACCTGTCGTTTGAGGTACTCCAGCCTATTTCACGCAATACCGGAAACATGGTGCTGAATAGGTGAAAACCAAACGAGAATCTCGTTATGCGGCTAAACAGGGCGTATTAACTAACCACAGGATTTTCAACGCAACGAGTCTCCAGGGGAAAAAGAACTTGCACGAGAGTTAGAAAAAAAAAATATATATATATATATAAATAAATAAATAACGCACAGAGAGTGAGTGCACACGTGAAAAAGGTTTAGGTGGGGAAATGGTTGGATTTTAAGATAAAAAAAAATTGGGAAGGGACTCTTGCTTTGTAAATGCTGTGATGCGGGAGTGAATGATAAATAAATAGAGGGAAACACTCTTGAATTTAATTTCGAGCATTCTCATGCTGCCTACCCGAGATAAAGCCGGCTTTTTTGCGTTTCTTTTTATTTTTGCGGAAGTGGCTCAACGTGTTTGTAAATTACGAGATGAATAATTACAATAATGTATTATTTGTTTGTTATTTAGTCCCGATGCCGCAGGGAGTGGGTTACTGTAATTATCCAGATAATTCAGTGGGGAATTTCCATGATTTGTCGATGTTTCAGGATCTCTACAACCGCTACATGTTTGAACGCGGGTTTCAATAAATTTTATTAAAAAATCGGTCTCAAAAGTCGCATATCATAAATTTAAATATCCTCCTGAATTCGCCCTTAATCTGAGAATTATTTATTTGTCTTCCTTTTTTTTCTTTTTGAATATTTCAATTTTAGAGAAATTCTATTTTCTATGAACATTATTCCCAGTGGTAAATTAATCACCCGTATTTGTACAAATGAAAAAAGTGGAATATTTTTTTATCACTGCATAAAACCATCGACATGAATCTCAATAAAAATCCAGCAATTATCAGTGAACCAATAAATTTATACAATTTATTGCGTCGTATATATTTCAGATGTTCAATTATGGAAAAAATTGTGTAAATGATATTGCTAATTACGCACAGTACCGCCCGAGGACATTTACCCCTCTCTCCACTAACCCCCAGGACTATGAACGCGTTGAGTAATTTTCGAGAGATGTGAACTCTAGTTTCCGTGATTTTCTGTATTAATTTTCGTCCAAAGTTTGCGAATATTCAGAGTAGGTAATTAAATTTGCGATTAGCTTCAAGAATTGCGAAGGGCTCACTGGATTTCTATCATAAACCATATTTTTATCGATACTAAATATTCTGCAGTTGAAATTTTTCCATTGAATATCAAAAAATTATCCCATACAATTATTCATTCACAATTCAGTTATCGAACAAATGATCGGATAAATCAAACCCAAAGTTATTTTATAATCCCCTAAAAATTGCAACTCCCATGTTTTATTCGCAATAAAGTATCATTCGCATTTCACGTACGCCACGTATTTGCTCAGCAAGCACCGAGATGTCTGTTGTTTTAATGAAACTAAATGAAACTCCAAGTTTTTCTCTCATTTCCCACAGAGTCCCGGAATCAGTTTGTAATTCTTTTTTTTTCCCATGCACAACGGCGTAATGAATTTCGATTGTGCGTCGAGGAAATACAGGGATTGTTTGTCCCGTATCCCGTGCCTCATATCCCGGTAAAATGAACCCTCGAGAGACTATTTCAGTTTCTCCCTGAACAATTCCCCAAAACCCACCCTTTCAATTTCTTCCATCAACGACGAAATAATAACTCAAAAAAAAATCCATTATTTCGTCTCGATTATATCTATTCTCCATATTTCTTTGGCATTCACGATTTTCCCATATCCAGGAAAAACAATTCAGACACACATTTTGATTCTCATAATTGTTACATTAATCCGAAAACAATTATACTCCAAATAATTACTGTTAATTCTATTAATTTTGATGCGTGGTAGGAATATTCATGAATTTATTAACTTTTACTTGCGATAAAATTTCTTTCCAAATATTAATTTTAATATTATATTTATTTCAATGAACTTATTATTGATTATTTGTTGATGCATTCATTAATGTAACAATATGAACAATTTATCTCCAGATATGACCTGATGGTGGGTGTTGTTAAATCAGAAGCCTATTTTTCCCTGACATCGGACGACGCTCAATACGGAATGGAAGCAGACAGAAGAACGAAAATTCTCCGTGAATTTGTCCGTAACACCTATACATACCATCAGGCAGAAATACTTGCTACGATAATAAACGAATACACAGACTGGGAGCGACCAGTTCAACACCCAGTGAACATAAGGTACAAACTTCTGTTTATTAATCAACTTTGGAGATATTTTCAATTTTAATTGCTAGGGTATAAACTTCGGTACTTTATCCCAGAAGCTCTCATTTACCAAAAGGATCCATTTCCCAAACTTTTACCACTCTTTCCTATTTTATTCTCAAACCCACCCTCATACCCCAACTCCTTCATAACCAACAATTAAAACTCCAAAAAGTTGGAAACGTGTTATTAGAGTTTATTGATCAAATTCTGAGATATGCTTTTTTTTTATTGCCCCACGTCCTGGAAAAATGGCTGATTGCAATCGTTCATTTGTGAAAATAAAATAGGGACGAGACCCTGGAGGCACTTGGGGATGCCAATACCGTTGCACCAGCTACCAGAACTGCTGATCTACACAGCCAATCACACAGAAATTCCTATCTCTACGTTTTCGATTATCAGACTAAGTTCGGCGACTATCCGCAGGTAAATAAATACCACTTGTTTCATTCAAAGATTATTCTATCGAGTTTATGCCCACTGCAATTGAATTGAATGAAATAAATGCTGGGGGGACAGCAATTTCACCGTGAAATACCGATTTTTTTCATCAACAAAGCGAATAATACGTCATCAACAAATGTAACCGCCCTTCAAGCTCCCACAACAGATTTCCCAAGAAATTCCATGTCAGAGAAAAATTTCCGGAGTTGCCCTCACCCCAGAGAAACGTTTCGCCTCTCTTTGATCAAACCCATCGAGTTTTCCTTCCAAGAAGGTAGGTTACCTCCACCAAGGCACTTCCTTCCCCTGCCATAAAATGACAGCGACTACAAACCGTCGAGAAAAATAAAACACCACAAGTAGAAATAAATCGAGAGAAAATGCCCAAGTTCTTCAATTTACCAGAGTGAATATTCATTCCCCCGAGAAAACAGAATAAAAAAAAAATTTGGTAGATTAATACGATACGATTGAATAGTCCATCGAATTGAGGAGCACTCAATGGACCCGAAACCGATATCACGACCGATTGATTCATTTCCATATTTTCTTTTTGGCTCAATTTATATTTTCATCAAATAATCACCCCGGAGCTATTGAACCTATCCACCGTGACCAACATAACCAGTTATTATCCCTAGAAAAATCCCATCGATTTTTCAAACTTGAGATGACTAAAATTTCACCTAATCCATTCATTTTTCTTCACACCTCCAAACATTAAAGGAAAGACCAATTAATTCTCTACGAAGTTTTATCGATTCCAAATGAAAATTTATCCGCGATGAAAGCAAATGAAAATCGGATCAGCAAATTAACCTGTCATCGAGTAATTAAAAACAACGGACGATAAATCAAATACGAAGATAAACCGGTAAATATCGAGAGACGTGGTGAAAATGAAGATATTAAACTGGCTGACGGTAACACGTTTTCCCGATAAGAGTTCTGGACGTTTAATTAATTTGTACGTCGAGATGGTCGAGTGGAAACCCGAAGGTTTCCAGGGGGCAAGTGATGTGATACATCACGACGTTGGCGCTTGGGTAACATTGGAATCGACGGGGTGAACCAGTGGCGGGGGATAAGTTTCAAAGATCAGATAAGAGTATGAGTAACGGTTTTAGTGCATTAGATTCTCATGAAATCGTAGGGAGTGGGAGTGGAGCTCCTGGCATCCGGCACATTGCAATCTTATAACTCAACTGTAATGGGGTCATATCGCACAGGAAGCATAGGAAATTACCCGGGAAATAAGGGGTACGTGAATTTTGAGAGCGAGAAATTTTGAGTGAATTTTTTTTATCCAACAATTCATTTTTCCACTGCCTACCTAAATTCTTCATTAGTATCACTATCAGTCATTCTCCTAAGAAAGAAAATCTGAATTTTCTGTACCAACGAGACCTCCATTAATGAATTTCACCGTTGAACAAGAAAAATGTATTTTTCCATGATTTTTTTTTTTCTATTTAATATTCCGCTTTTGATATTTAGCTTTATGAAACTCCTGAGCTCATACATATCTAACCGCGGTGGAAACCCAACGCCCCAGGGGCTGTGCCCTCTACCGTCTCAACCCGGGTTCAACCCCCCTTTCATATTCCCCAGGGTATGCCGATGTATTTGCTTACTCCCCCCGTGGGAGGTGTGCTGCATGCAACACCCGTTGAGTAATAATTTCGTCAGAAATGGCCGCTCGTGGTTGGAGGAATCCGAAGACTCCACGAATATTACAATACTTAATTTAATTATTCGCAACGGAAAGAAAATCCTTCAAGGATCGCTGTACCCACTATTGCCTAATAATTTATTCGCCTCAAATAACCACCAATTAAAATAACTAACAAGAAATTATTTAATATAAGCAGCACTTCAAAAAAAAAACTTCTCCATTAAAATAAAAATTGTGGATTTGCATTTTATTTGAGGCAAATAAATAATTGTGTTTGACAATGGCAAAAATAGCTCCTACCTTGAGTTGATCTCTGCGCGACAATATCATTCAATAATATTGAATGAGAAATGATTATGTTCTTGGATGGAAATTAAAAAATTCTTGAATCTCATGTGAAAATTATGAAGACATTCATTGAAGAATTTAAACTAAACTGAAGATAATGAAAAGTTTTTCCTCATCAAGAAAGAACTGTATCATTTCTCATTCAAATCTCATGTTTAATTACAGTTTTTCGCACATGTCTCTGAGAATATATTATTGATTTATCCACAGAGACAAGGCTGCATAAACGGTGAAGAGCTGCCGTATCTATTTGGTGCACCACTGATAGGTGGCCACTCTCATTGGCCAAAGAACTACACGCGAGCCGAAATAACCCTCTCAGAAAGTGTTATCCTATACTTCACAAACTTTGCTCGCACTGGGTAAACTACTGTCCCGAGCTAATTACAAAGAAAGATATTATTACAATTTTTCCCATTCAACTTTCTACTTTATTCCCGCATTTTCCAGAAATCCCAACGAGGGTACTCCAGATCCTGGACCCTCTGGATCACGTCCAGAGCGAACGAAACTTAAAAATACCCTCTGGACAGCTTACGAGGCAGTTCACAAGAATTATCTAAGTGTTGGTAAGTACCAAATCGAGCAAAAACCGAAAAATATAAGTTCCCAAATCGAAGGTACCCCCACTAATGAAATTGTTTTAAAATCCGCTAGAGCCCCATCAAACGCGGAAACTCCCTCTCGAGAAATTTAATTAGTAAGATCTCACAAGTACTTTCTAATGAAATGTAATCCCACAATTTTGCCCCAAGACTTATTGGTATTAAGAAAAATTCATCGAACAAAAATGGTCAAGAATAAAAACATCGAGAACTCAAGTCCCGTTCAATAACTCCATCCAACTCTCAATAATCTGCCTCCTTACGATGACTTTTTCATTCCACCTCGGTCCATTTTCTGCTCCCTATCCCTCCCCCTCCTTTCCCCAGCAATTCTATTCCTTTACTTTACTGTTCATTCAATTTACTGTACTCTATCGGCAAGCGATCGAGCGACTGCAGTAGCTTTTCTCTCATTTTTCCGGGATGCCTCCCTCAATACTCTCTCTATTTCCATCACGAAGCTAACTTCAGTACTCCCTATCCCTCATTCCTTCTGGCATTTTAGAGAACGTGCCCGTCTTCTCACGCCCCAATTGCACCATTGAAATTTGATACGAAACACCAGGATTCGTCCATCATCTTTCAACCCCCCCCCCCCCCCCCCCCCCCCCCCCCCCCCCCCCCCCCCCCCCATTACGAGCCCATTATCTTCTTTCTCCATTTAAATATGCACTCATCCCTCGTAATGCTATTATAATTAGCCCTAATTAATCTCCTGAGTTCAATGAATTTTGACTTTGAATTTTTGGCGAAACCTCCCACCCAGATTTTAGCTCCAAAATCTATCCCATTGCAAGAAAAGTGAAGTGTCGAATTTTTGGCTTTCTTAAATATCGATCGATCTCCGAAATTATCGATTCTACGAGGAAATATCAAAAGAGTTTTTTTGTCGGTAATTCAATGATCTACGAAAAATTCCGCTATCGTTTTCGTTTTAAATTCATACTTTTCGAATTTTTATTCGCGTTTCAATCGAACCACGCCCCCATTAAAATTCACCGACAGCTCTTCCCCGAATGCCAATAAATATCCATCAGTGATGTTCGCCCATAAATGCCATTCCACCAATAAAAAAAGAATGTAATCACTCACCGGTGTTGGATGAAATTTTAACATGTCATGAAAAAATTCCACCCCTCGTACCGTCTAGGCCCCTTCAGGATCACGTTCTTAGCTGCTGCTCCGATGTTGAAGCAGACGTCCTCCCTGGAAGATGTTCCTCTCCTGAAGATTCTCTCGTTCTCACAATCACTAATCACTAATCACTAATCACAATTACACTCGCGGTTGTCATTCACCAGAGAAATCATCAAATCAACTTTATAGTCAATTATTAGCTTTCAGTCATCTCACTTTTAATAACTATTTCTGAGACCCTCTCTTTGTCCGAGAAAACAAAGGACATGCGCCGGCGCAATCCTTCATGCCCAATACCGGCAGCCATTTGCCCACTCTGAAATGATTTTCCCCACTAGAGCTCATTATTCACCAGAGAAATGATCAAATCCATTTGATAATCGATATTATCCATTAATAGTACTCAGTACTCTCACTTTTCACTATTATTTCACTGATTACACTGTCTTTGTCCAGTCCTTTGTCTAGGACACTGCACGTACGCCGGCGCGATCCTGCATGCCCAACACCGGCCGCCATTCACCCACTCTGAAATAAATTTCCTCACTAGAGCCGATAATTCACCGGAATAATCACAAAGTTCACCGTAATATCAATGCTGGGTATTGTAATCAACTAATTACTGGGTTATTTATAATTATTGTCCATTATTTCACGTCTATTTTATCCGAAAACACACAGAGCCGAACGCCAAGAGGCAGGAAATGGACGCCATATTGGACACACTGCGCGAAGTCGATGCGCACGGACACCCAGCCGTTCGAAAATAAGTTGTGGCAAACATTGAGTATGAAGTTCGAAAAATAAAGAGTCATAGGGCAACTATCGATTCACAGTACTGAGCAATGACGATATTCATAAATGAATTGATTATTTTTATAGTCAATTAATTAATTACGACTTGTTAAATTGATGAAAATAATTTTGAAAAAATTGTCAGTTCAATTCGTGCATGAAAATATGGGTTCTCAAGACTGAAATCTACAGCGCAGTAAATAAGTAAATAAACCAAATGACAAATCAATCCTCAGTGGTGTCACTCACCCATGAGTAGAATTGTTTGTACTTTAATATGGTCTTGGGCCCCCAATTCACCATAGAGATCTTCAAATCCACCATTTACCCACTCCCAAATTATTTTCCTCACTAGAGCCGATAATTCACCGAAATAATCACAAACGCCACCGTAATATCAATGCTGGGTATTGTAATCAACTAATTACTGGGTTATTTATAATTATTTTCCATTATTTCACGTCTATTTTATCCGAAAACACGCAGAGCCGAACGCCAAGAGGCGGGAAGTGGACGCCATATTGGGCACAATGCGCGAAGTCGATGCGCACGCAGACCCGGCCGTTCGAAAATAATTTTTGGCAAACATTGAGTATGAAGTCCGAAAAATAGAGAGTCATAGGGCAATTTTCGATGCCCAGTACTGAGCAATGACGATATTTATAAATGAATTGATGATTTTTAAAGTCAATTAATTAATTACGACTTGTTAAATTGATGAAAATAATTTTGAAAAAATTGTCAGTTCAATTCGTGCATGGAAATATGGGTTCTCAACTACTGAAATCTACAGCGCAGTATATTCTCTCACATGTCAATTCCGTTTTGGTCTGATCAAAATGGAAAACGACAAGAGGTTTGAAACTGTCTTCATACACACTTCAATACCACTTTGGATGGACGAAAAAGTAAATAAACCAAATGGCAAATCAATCCCCAGTGGTGTCACTCACCCATGAGTAGAATTGTTTGTACTTTAATATGGTCTTGGGCTCGGAATTCACCATAGAGATCTTCAAATCCATTTTATAATCAATACTACTCATTGTTAGCTCTCACCTGTCTCACTTTTCAGTCTTATTCCGCCAATTACACTGTCTTTGTCCAGGCCTCTGTGAACAACACAGAACATGCGCCGGCGCGATCCTGCATGCCCAACACCGGCCGCCTTTTACCCACTCCCAAATGATTTTCGTCACCAGAGCCCATAATTCACCAAAATAATCACAAACTCCACCGTGATAACGTCGCTGAACATTGCAATCAACTAATTACTGAGTTATTTATAATTATTTTTCATTATTTTCCGTCTATTTTACCCGAAAACACACAGAACCGAACGCCAAGAGTCGGGAAGGGGCCGCCATCTTGGACACGATGCGCGAAATCGATGCGCACAGAGACCTCACGACTCCAAAATAATTTTTTGCAAGCATTCAGGATAAAATCAGGAAAATAGAGAATAATCAGGCGATTGCCAATTTACCGTACGGAACAATAACGATTTATAAATAGGCCCACTATTTTTACAGTGAATTAATTAGGACATTCTGCATGGATGAGAATAATTGGAAATTCGGAGCTTCAGAATTGAAAAATGTAAGTTCAAATAATCTATGATTTTCAGAAACAAAATGCAAGCTGAAGAACCACTACAGGGCACATCGTCTATCCTTCTGGCTGAATCTAGTGCCAGATCTCCATAAACCAGGCTCCGATGACGTTCCTCGTTCTCACCACCTCCTGGACGCCGAACAGGTACAAACCACCGCCCAAAAATGATGCCCAAGATCCTATTAAATTTCTTCAAAAATTTTATTGGTTTTCTACTATCAAAATAATCTTAATTTTATTTTTTTTTTCTATTTCTAGGTACCTCCAAGGTTCATCCAGCGCCTGCCAACGACAACGAAACTCACAACCCTCGACCTTACGACTGAACGTCAGCACAACACGACGACAGCATCTCCAAGCGAACTAGCCTTCGAGGAGACAACGACCCAACCAGAAGACGGCTTTGCAGCGTATTCCACAGCCCTGAGTGTGACGATAGCCATCGGTTGCAGTCTCCTAATCCTGAATGTCTTGATCTTCGCTGGTGTGTACTACCAACGAGACAAAAATCAGCACCACTGCCCTAAAAAACGCCAGGAGAATGGTCAAATGCCGAATAATATATGTGGCGAGTTGGAGACTAAAACAGCGGAACGCCACCACATCCAGCACATGCCACCGCCAGACTTCTCTGATCTCCAGAATAACACGTGTCTCGTACCAATGCCCCCACCACCCCCGAAGAACACTAAACCAGCGAAACCAGTTCAAGGGCAGAACCTGATAATGAGCCCCAATCAACTCCAGCAGGAGAGCATGCAGATGACGACGGTAGGAACCTTGAAAAAGGGACACAATCACCAGCAGATCATGGAGGAACTGAGGGTCTGACTCTAGGAAAACGGCTCCTAGGGCTGTGCTCGGATTCAAGTGTCGTCGATGATTATGGAAGAGACCAGTGATTTAACAGCTAGTGGACACGTTTTTCTACTGCCATGAGGCAATTATTTATCCCATATGGCCTTTGAAATTCATCCTCGAGGCTCTTGAAGTTCAGTGATTGAAAACTCGACAGTTATTCAAGAGTTTCGTCGGAGTCAGTCTGAGGGGAGAGTAATTCATAGAATCTTTTGAGTGTCGTCTGAATTGTTAACTCGAAAAACCAGAGGAATTTTACCAACGAATGATTTCCAGGATAACTCCATAGTTAGGATTTTCTACCGTAAATTATCCTCTGGATTTCTAATGAAACAATTTCCATCCTACACCCGCATGGAGTTCACACGATAATCCAGATTATTTAATCTCACAACTCATATTTTAAAAATTATTCATTCCATTAACCCCTCCCCTCGAATTAACTCACGAATTTCATCCTGCCACGATGTTTAGTGGAGCGTCTAATCGCGTAATAAACAATGTATAGTGATTATCAGAGTATGAAACAATTGTATAAAAAGCCATACGATGTGGTGACTCTGGACGTTTAATGATAATTAGTTTGTACGTGATGGAGTGAATGCAGTGGAGTGTCAAAATGAGATAAGAAATAATGGAGCGAGACAAGTCATCCCTCAAGACTGGAAAATACAAGGGGTGGTATTTAAATTTCATTTGTAAAGCTGTTATCACCCTATTCTGCAGTCAAAACCGCGCAACATTAAGATGCAACGGAAGTGGGCGGTGTCTCGGATCCACAACGGCGCAGGTGCAGCAGAATGAATTCTACTCGTCGAAAGGTGCAAAAAATTCAGAAAGATCCTTTCGGTGTTCCCCGAATATCTCAAGACCGAGTGAAGATGGAAAAAAAATTATAGATACATTTTTGTAGCACTCGTTTCGCTCCACGAAAAAGATCCCACACGAATGGGCGTATCTCCATCGGATCCGGAAGTATCCATCGAAAACTCGGAAAAGATAAAGTCGTCGTAGTCGATATATCTCGTTCTGTCACTTCGCTATTGAATGGGCTATGGGATCGTGTGGGTATGAGTGATGAATGTCACATCGATTTGCACCAGTGTACATAGGTATAAGTATCCAAGGAAAAAAGACGAATCGTAAATTGTACGGAGGAAAAAAATAAGGAAAAAAAAACCCGAAGAACTTTTCTCCGTGCAACAGCGGTGAAACACGACGCTTTGTACAGTTATACGATAAATGTAGACAGTTGTTGAACTACGTGAAAAAAGAAGAGAAATAAGAGATTCTGTTAAGATTGGATTGCCACTGTTGCGCGGTGGATATTTATCGAGTTTTTGTAAAGACGAAATTATTCATTTTTTTTTCGCAATTCATTAAACTTTGAGAGGATGAAAAAAATGGTTGAGTGAGAAATATACATATATAAATCGAATTGAGGAGCATTGACGTTCATTTCGACGTGTTGTTTATTTTTGAGGAATTCTATTTCAATTTTTCAATGTAAGGAATTGTATATATCGTCTTTGTTAAGAATTGAATTGAAATTTTAACGATGTCAAGAGAATACTGTGGAATTGTCAATTATTTTGACAGACCTTGGAAATCATCTCGGGATTGAGGGACGAGGGGAGGTATATTAATCTCCCCTTCCCAATTAATCATTAATTACCAATTTTTTGTCCCAAATTTAATAAAACGTATGAAAAAATTTAGACACTATTGAAATTGATATTTATTCAAATTATTTATTATTTATCTTTTTGAAAAATGAGAAAATTTACAATAAAATAATTCTTAACTGAATGACATGATTAAGTTACGTAAACTCGTGAAAGAATTGGCGCAATAAATAGAATTTCTCAGAGAGACTATAGGTATTTCTATTAATTTTTTCATACGTGCGATACTGGAATTTGCGAAGATATGGAATTAGGAGAGCTCATTGAGGAAAAAAATGGAGCGCCTCGATTGTGAAAAGAGGATTCGTTTGTATTTTCAGCACTACGTGCCAATGCTCAATGCAAAGAGAGGAATTAAATACCCCGAACAAATGCAAATACTATTCTTACGTAAACTCTGTTCATCGCCGACACGAGACTTGCATTAATACACTCGATACTGCCAATGAAATTTAATTAAATAAAAAAAAATCATGAGAAACCATAGATAGGGGAGATAAATCGAGGCGACATTGCACTTCAATATTTTTGTTATTTCATTTCTACGGATGATGTGAATTAATTGGATTCTGACGAATTACACTTTCTCATTGGTAAAACTGGAGAGAAATTAATTCAAAAGGCGAGTGAACTTTCTCCTTCGAATTCTCGACGAGCCGCACCCAGAGAAATCAATCATTTGAGTTTCATAAATTTTGTTTAATTTCAATCATTCTATTAAAATAATTCATTCAACTTAATGATCAATTTCACTGGGTTGCACACGTCCAATTGACTGTTTTATTCCAACTTTTAGATAATTCTTGTAAATAGAGAGATGGTAAATAAGGGGAATTAAAAATTGGTTGAAAGATCATATTGAACTAATTTGCACGTAAATTGAGAGTGCAGTCTACTGAATATTATGAGCGAACGGTCGAACGGTTTTAGGAGAATCTATAAAATCGAGTGTAATATACATTTAAGGTCGAGGGAGTGTTTAGGAAATTCAGTGAGGCAATTTTAAATTTGTATATAATTGATATTACAATAAAGTACATGAATGATTATTATCAAACCAAAATTTGGGGAAGGTGAGGATAAAATTGACCTCTTCTTTTTGCAACGTCAATATTTCCTCCCAAATAAATTAACATTGAGCCCAAATAATTATTTTTCATCTCACAGAGTAGTTCCACCGAAAAAAGAACAATGTAGCAATTTTAGCGTTTACCTCCCCTACGTCATTCGTTTTCAGCTCCCGTAACCTAGGGATTCCGACGATTTAATGTCGCCTCCTCATCGTCGATGAACGCCGGATTGTCGTAGGTGTGAGAATGACTGGAGGGTATCGCATTGTAGTGATTCTCACCTGTTGCCCCTTGGGCTTCTTGACTGATGGAGTTGGCGCGTTTGAACTGCGATTTCCGTTGGACGACGGTTGTTCTCCGACGCTCAAAAGCCTTTAGGACGGTCTGCGAAATGCCCATCGAGGTAAGCTTGGGATTGGCCGAGGGTTCCCGCATATTCTGCCGGAATACTGTTTCAAAATCGGTTGCCAGTCTTGTTTTGTTCTCCTTGGAGATGAGGGCGTGGACAGTATTCCGTTTTCTGGGCTGAGTTGGCTGAGGATCTGTTGCAGGAGTCACTGGCTGTGCGTTGTTCATGGCTAGTCGTTGAAGGCCCTTGGCGAATTCATGGGCTTGACTCTTCAGGGGAAGTTCATCGGACTCATCATCCCGACAGCACTGCTTCCAATTCAGTGACGTATTAGCGAGCACATGACAGAAAGTGTTGAACCGATGGACCAGCATCGCCATAAACTGAATCCCGAGAATACCCACAAAAGCTAAAATAAATAGACACCCGATGGGCTCCAACTCCAGATAATTCTTATGCAGATCCACAGTCTCCGAGGCACTGTTGAACGATACATTGTACGTCTTCCCCAGCGGCCACTCCAGGTGCAAAATATCTTTCTTCAACTGCATGAGAAAGACAATCAACACGAACAGCCCATTAATCATGAAGAACTTGAAGAGATATTCATCTCGAAGGCTCTTGAGCGTTGCGGCAGTCTTCGCCTGCTGCTCTTCGTCCTCATCAATCGGAAAAAGGTATTTTTTGATGAGCCTCTCCCAGAACATTTCCTCTTTCCTCGACAAAAATTCTACTCCCCCCTTACTAAGTTCTTTATCTCGAATCCAATAAGGTGCCACCAGGAGTGCTCCCGAATTGTCCGCCACAACCTCCTCTTCAGGGTGTGAATGACCCACCATAATGACCTCAGGCTCGTCTACTTTTTCGTAATCCACCATTTTCTGTTCATCCTCCATCTTGTCATCGTGTGCCGTATCGGATAAACAGAGTGCTCCCCCCTCCAACATATCCAGGCGCTGTCCAATGCCGGTCAAGGACGCGGTGATGGCGTCCAACTTCTTCTCCAAAGGCGACTCCTCGTTATGAGTGCAGAGAATACACCTGAATAATCCTGCAAACGAGAAATCAATCGCCCCCTTGTCCTTGGCCTCTTCCTCCGAGTCCTTCTGTGGCTTTTTTTCATCACTCTCTCCTACATTTTGTTCCTTAACGAGGGGTTTTGACTCCCTCGTCCCCCAGGTCACATTATTCAAGTTAAATAATGAATAAATAATAAGCAACATGTACATAGACGGCACTGTGATATAGTAGATAATACCGCAGACGAGACAAAACACCTCCTGGGGATGCAGCAGACCAGCAACGACCAGCTGAGAGGCGACCACGAAGAAGAGGATGGTCGTAGGTGCAACCCAGCCATCCTCAGTGATCTGAATCATGATCCCAACGAGAACAACCACCATCATGAGCCCGTAAATCGCGGATATGACAGCTGCGACGAAGAGCTGGGCCTGCTCTTTGCAGAAGAAACAAACGACAACGAAGATGACGATGGGTATGAGATTGTATGCAAAACTGGACCAATTGTCGATTCTGAAAGCGGCGACGAAGGCCCCGACGAGCATGAGGAATATGGTCCCGGGGCCAAGGACTGTCGATCCCATGAGGATCCACTCGTAGATTATGTACAACAAAGAGATGTTGTTATTGACCCTCCGGGTCTCCTTGGAGGTGCTCAAGAGATCTAGGATATTAGCGATGGTCGAAGGAATCCATCTTCTCCTCTGTTTGAAGAATTCATCGAAGGTTTCAGGTGCATGGGTGTACGAGTCGGAAGCCGCGCAGTACTCGACCTTGCCCCCAGCCTGGAGAATCAGGGTGCAGAGCCAACGATCTTCTCCCTGATCGTACTGCACGTAGTGTCTGGCCTCGCTCGACGTAGTGGCGTACTTACGCATTACGTTATCCTCCATCAGAGTTTTCGCTCGAAAGAGAGAGAATGCCCCGGGACTGCAGAGAACACTGCCAATGACGTGTTCAGTGGATTTCTGTAGCCAATGGCCTATGGCGTACTCGAACCTCTGATACCACACCATGGGACCGGAGCCCATCGGGTGAATCCTCCCGCAGGCTGCCCCCAGCTCTTTATCTCGCTCCATCAGGTGGAGAAGAACGATTACGGCGCTCGGGTCGAAGTCTATATCACCATCTAGAGTCAGAAGAAAAGTGTTCTCCGACATTGCGACCTTCTCCTGGACGGTGTACGTTGGACGGTCCATCAAGCAATACCCGAGGAGATAGTACATGTACATTACCTGACTCCATCGTTTTCTGTGTCGAATCTTGTTCTTGTCCTTCAGGTGAACAGTCAAAGTCGTCTTCCCTGGGAGTTTCCACTCGAGACGTCCCCCGTAATTCGTCGGGTACTTCATGGGAGGCAGGGCAAGGTATCCAATATTCGTGACAGACTTCTCCATCGCCTTTATGAAGATCTTCACGTAGGAGTTGATTTGCGTTTCATTTTCGTTGTGAGCGCAGGGCTTGGTGGGATCACAACCGTGCATGCACTGAAACGCATCATCGAAGAAGACGTGACTCTCCAGTTCGTAGTAGTCATCCATCTGTACCTTGTATCTAGTCTGAGTGAACTTGTTCGACGATCTGTACAGATCGAGTTTAATAACGCTGTTTATGAAATTCATCATCTCGTCCTCTTGCTCGTGCCACATTGTTGCACAGACGTAGAGCTTCGTGGTGGGATGTTCCTTGGTGTCTTGGGGCTCCTGGGGCTCGTCCCTTCTCCTACTCAGCATGAGGGACTGATCGATCATCAGAGAATCGTAGGAAACAGTGAACAATCGATTGGTGGTGGCTAGTCTCTCGCAGTGAGGCGTCCAGATGTGCATCGTCACCCAGGCCTGGGACAGCAACCACGGGATCCACAACCACTGCTCCCACTGGTAAAACATCTCCGGTGTTGAATCGATGGACGGCACCGAGAAAAATATGTAGTCTGGGAGAATATCGTGCAATGAACACACGTCATCTTCTCGGAATACTGACAGGACGAAGATGAAGACTATTGTAGATGGGACTGTGAGGGAGACAGGAGTGGCTAAACCGAATTTCTGCATCAATACTTGACTTGCGCACTTGCCTGGGGAATAACACAGTGTTAAAACCGGAAATCAACGAATGGTCATACAACACTCGTAATTGTCCATTCGGATTTTATTCGTTGAAGCGTACCTGCGAAATACGCCATGAAGGATGCCACCACGTGAATAAAAAGTACAACGAGAGGTACAAATGAACTAACGTAGACATATTCTGCTTCTTCAGAAGGAACTCCTGAGACTATCGAATTTGACCTGCGGGATATATTGATGAGGTACCTCCCCGTTCCTGGAAATGTGTGGAAAAATTTCTCTACGTCAATCCCTTTAACGTAAATGACAGCTACGCAGGTGCCGAGGAACGCGGATATCCTGCAGAGAGCGGTCATGCCTTGGACAACACCTCGAGATTGCTCCAGACGATCCTTCATCCGCGAGAGGATTTTAATGACTCCTGGAACGAGTGTATCACATTCCCAAGATGTTCCTTCGATTTTTTTCACGTTTATATTAAAGAATTTTGACGTACCGAGTCCACTCTTCGGGGATACGAAATTCGACCACCATCTGCAGGAAGCGAAGATCAAGACCCCAGGCAAGATCCACCTGGCAGTCTCGCCGGTGCTTCTCGAGACCGGAAGTAGAAAAATTCCACTGGCTTGCGCGATTACCGCGATCACATCGCCGATCATCATCAGAGCGAAAGAACGACCTGTGCTGCCCGGAACTCTCGTCCTCGATAGGAGACCTGAATGCCAAAATAAAATATAGATATTGAATGTCAAATGATCTGACCACAAGATCTATCACCGAGAACAGCAGGAATGATGCACGTGCAGCTGGTGACAGCAGCTGCCAACAACGAATTCATCTCCGGAAGAACGACCAGGAATAGCAGAGAAATCGCCACCGCGTGGAAGGTCTCCACCGTGCAGACGAAGACAGCGTCGAAGAAGAAAGGTAATTTCTTCCTCTTGAATAAGAGATGATGACTAGCCCTGAGGAGTGTAATGACTTCCGGTAGAAAAAACGCGAGTACCACGCACCAGTACCAGTAAATCCGGCCGTTATCACACAGAGTGACTGTTTGTTTATCAGATAACGATCCCTTTGCTGCAATTTCAAGTTCATATAGGGGATTACAATTTATTGCTTCAAGTACGAAAATTATCCACCACTTCACCGAGGTAATTGGATGATAAAAGTAATAAATTACCCCTCTGATAATCGCAATAGTTGAGTGGCGTTTTTCGTTCGACTTGAGCTGCTGCTAGGAGAATAGAGGCTTTGGCAAATACTCCTCCAGCCAGTACGAGTGTAAATAAAATTAAGTATGTCAGGGCTTTGAGTGTTTTGAGAGCTGCCTCGTAGAAGCTCATGTCGGCATTGGAGCCGGTTTTCGATATTGGTGGATAGTGCCTGAAGAGATCCCAGTCGTAAATCTCCTCCTCTGATCTGCAACAATCCAGTTAACTTGGTAAATCCATCGAATAACGGAGGTATTATCTACTCTGATTGCACAGTACTCGACAGTTTTCTTTGTCTCCTCCTCATTGTCACTGGAATTCTCGTCCACTTCGTCCACTGGCTCCAGGTAACTCGGCTTTCGTCCGTAGATCGTTGCCATTGAGTAATTGAAACAAATTTTCAACTCAAAATTTTAGATCATTCGCTCGTTCATCCGTACACATTCACACTGATTGTCCGAGAAGTGTCGATGCCTCGCGCGATCACTATCGCCATTGATAATGATATCGATAAGATTTTGAGAGACTTTATTGAAGATCCAGTTACTCCCACTATGTGAGGGATAAAATAAAAAAGATGAGTCACTTGTACCAATCAATCGATGACCGTTCATTCATAGAATAGTGGGAGAGTTTTTGTTTTAGAAATTGTCAATCGTTAGACAATTGCTCTATTTTTTATGTAATCATATATTTTCTAGCAGCTATCCATAGGGATCAATAATTATTGGGGAACAATTAAGAAATCAAACGACTTCGACGATTTTATTTAGTGGATGTAGTTTTATTTATCTCAAGGTATAAATCTCAGTATATACAGAAGCATATGAGCCATCAAGATCATCTCGTCAGATGACCACTTTCAATCAGCTGTTTCTCGTCGACGACTCCCATGGACAAGAGGAATACGAGGGCTGCCCCCTGCTCAGCCCGTTTTTTATTTTTTTCCCTGTAAACCAAATAATTCAATTGTAATTGTAAAAATGAAAACGAAATTGCGGTAGAAAAAATTTCATGTAGAATTGGAAAAATCTACAAATCGTAATGAAATTAATTCTGCCCACCAGAAAGTGGAGCTGAACTTCTGGCCATCAACAGTGACAATCGATCTGAAGAGTTTATCCTCCCTCCAAGTGTCATAAACAGGCATATCCTTTTTTTTATTATCCCTGAGCCACTGCAGGAGCCTTGACTTTGGTAATTCCAAGTCGCTGTAGCCGTTCCTGAGAAATGCACAGCGCATCAGCGTGACATCATCATCCTCCTCGACGTGTTTACGCTTGAGGCCTTTATCAGTGCCATCCCCCTCCCTCGTCGGCTCGACTTGGAAGCGTCCCTGGAGGCCGCTGTTCCGATATTCCTCGGATTTCTCCCTGCAGTAGTCGTCCATGTCGAATACTCGGCAGATCTGCTCGAGTGTCTGAGCCGCCAGGAACTGCTTCCCCATGGGACTCTCCTGGAGATCCCTCAGGATATTCTGAACGCAGTATTTCGTGTTGGAGGGAGAGTTATCGAAGTCGATAGCGTACTTCAGGTAGGCCTTGATGACATCCTCGATCGGGAGGAGTCCGTCTTTTCTGAAGATCGAGCAATTCCACTCGGCGCTTCTTGCTATCATCACGCTGCTGCAGCCTGTCTGATTCTTGAATTTTTCAATGTCCGAGTATTTTTCTATCTCCTTTGATCCTCCGTTCGCTATCACTGAAAATATTTTTTATATTTTATCTCGTGAGTTACTCTGCGAAAATGAAATTGCAGATCAATGCAAGTACAATTAAATATTAATACCCGGGATGGAGAGGTGTTTTGCAATTGCTCGAATTGTCTCATTGCGATTGGAGTGTTGCTGTCTCTCGTGGACGGTTCGTCCATGTACAGCAATCGCAGAGATCCCCGTCGAGACGAGGGCGTCGCACAATTCGAGGGTCTTCTGGAGGTCCTGGAATACACGTATTTTGCAGGTGACGGGGATGGAGAGGCCTTTCACCAGGGTACGGAGGATTTCCGTGGCCTTTTCCACTTTTGTGAGAAGAGCTGCACCCATACCCCCCATCAGGGAGAAACTCTTCGGGCATCCCATGTTGATGTCGACGGCGGCGACGTCTTGCTCCACCAGTTTGGCGACCTCCAGGGCGCGGAGGGGATCGCAGGTTCCCAGTTGGAAAACCACCCTGGAGCTCTCCCTGGAGGTGGTGCGAAATATTATCGTACCGTCTGTGCGATCGATGTAATCGATTGTTCCGAGGACATCTGCAAAAGGTGAATGTAAGTCTTTATCAAAAAATATTCTCAAAAAATTAGAAAATTAATGGAAAATTGAAATAATTGGGATTTTGAAGCGTCGGTAAGTGGTCTCACCATTTTCCCTTCGTATCGACCTCATCATCTTGAAATCTACGATCTCCTCCGTGTATACGATATCGGCGCCGTAGTCGAGGGCAAGAAGCCTCATGGGTAAAGTTCCAATGCGCACCATCGGAGCCAAAATCACTTTGTCCTCGTAGCACAATTTCTCCCGGATTTCCGTCATGACGAGATGATAATTCGAAAAATTCAATTAAATCTCAGATCTCCAATCGCCAATATGAGACATGTGTCACGGTGCCGCTAAGTTTCTGACATGCCTCCACTGTAGTTCGCGGAAATACCGCGGACACGTGCGCAAGCCCCAGATAAACCGCGGATAATTTAAATATCACTGGGCCTCAGGGCCATGATCCAAAAAAATCGCCTGACTAATTTTTATATCCCAAAAGGAGAATTTATTTGTTTTCTATGAGGTTTTCACGGAATATCTACGGATCTACAGAAGATATCAAAATTTTCATATATTCCTTTATTGGAGATAGCAGTAATATCTTGAAAAAAGTTTCTACAAAATTTTTCCTCATCCCGACGAATCCCGAGATACGATCCCTCAACGTACGTCTCGTGAAAATCTAAATCCATATATTTTCAGTAGATTCCCACGAAATTTCTCGCGATAGAAGAGAGATAGCGAAATTTTTCTCTCTACCGTTTTTGTAGATCGCAGTAACACCAAGAAAAAACGTCCCATAAAGATTTTTCTCCCATTAATAATGAAGCAGATACAGAGCAGTGAGAGAGATCCCCTGAAAGCGGTTGGTCCCTCTCGGCTGATTCCTCATCAATCATTAACAATTAAATCTCCCCTGGCGGTACCCCATCCCTGAACAGCTCGCAAAAACAATACCACCCCCTGTCAGAATAAAATACCAGCGAAAAAAAGGGGAGTAGAATGAGTAGAATAAAGCGAGTTGATCCGACAAAAGAAAACCCAGTGGCAGAACTTTTTGAGAGCCCCTCCAAAAAGAAACCCCATAAACCGTTCCGCCAACGGTTGTCGCGGCTATTCCGAAATTCTCCGAGTAATCGTTTAAAGAGCACCGATTCAACAACGTTGAAGGAGATATTGCATCCAAAAAAAAATTCAGCCAGTGCTATATCAATTGTTTCTACTTCTTGCGAAGAAAGAACTGATCCTGTCCGAAAACTTCGAGCAGTTGATCGTAAGCGAGACTCCATAGTTTAAAGTGTCTTGACTTAATAACTCCAGGTCCTAAAATTTGGAAAAATTTATCTATTTATTTATTTTTTGTCATAGGTAATTCGATTCGGATGTAACTAATTGAGAGTGAGCCTATTTCCATCCTGTCATCTTCGACAGACGAAGTTGGAGCCCCAGTGCTGACTGTTCTTGGAAGGCCAGAAACAATTTATTTATTTATAATTCAAACTCGAGAAAAATGGAATTAAGCTCAATAATCGATTTACAGGCAGTAGTTGGACTCACCTGACACTTGCACCCTGTACTCAACGATTCCACCCTCGGCATTGATTTATAATTATTTCCACACTTCCTTGCACGTGTTTTTTAAATTATTTGTTTTATCAGGTGTTAATAGCGAACTAATAAGCTTCTAATTTGATCGTCAACAGCTGAGTGAGACGTCAATTTGAATCAAATGTCAAAATTGAGACTAATTATGAGGTTATGAAAGTTTTTTACGCTTATTACCTCCCGTGGGTAAGTTACCAGTATTTTACATTGTCATGTAAAAAACTTCCGTAAGTCGCATATGCCCAACCCTGCACCGAATGAGTCCGATTGCGTCTGCCTCGGGGTAAAATGGCGGCCCTGGCAAAGTTTTCGCCGACAGAGTGAAGTGATTCTCCGTTGTATTTATATTTACCCTCGTCCCCATTAAATCCACCAAAAGCCGTATCCCCAAATAATTGATAACAAATCGATTCACCGAACCTATGACAATCCCATCGGCAAGTGTTGTGACAGAAAGTAAAGGGAAATAAACAAATAACCCCCCGGACCAATTGGCAAGTTAGTGGTGTCATTGGTAATAAGGGCGGCCCGATGCACGTTTCAGTGATTCCAAATGATGACTTCGATGCTGCCCAGCTTTAATCCGCCAATAGTTAAGCGGCTGCTGGGCTGGAAGAAGGCCGAGGGCGAAGACAAATGGAGCGAAAAAGCCGTTAAAAGTCTCGTTAAGAAGCTCAAGAAATCTGCCGGCCTCGAGGAATTGGAGAAGGCCATCACAACCCAGAGCTGCAACACCAAGTGCATCACAATCCCCAGGTACCCCCAATCATTCATCCCAAATATCTCGATAATAGCTGAGTGAATTTTCACTGGTTACCTCTCAGCCTCGAGTATTTTTTTAACTATCAAAAATGAATTCATAAACGACCGAATCGCATCGTTGGGTTGCGAGATATCGCAGAGCGAAGGGTATGAGTTTTATAGTGGGGATTTCGTCGGTGATAGTGTCATCGTGTTCTCATGGGGTCATTAACACGGGCTCTGGGATAGCTGGGGGGTCTCACCGGTCTTGAGGATCTATCATTGATGGAATTTGTTGAATTATTTTATTGGGGTAACGTTGACATTCATGTTATGAGAATTTTTGCGGTAAATGGAATTTTTGACTGATTTTTACGGTTATTTTTGTAAATTTCTCCGGGGCTTTGGTGAGGCTTCTTGATTTATTGATTGGGGTTTTGGGGAAAAACATTCGGGGTTAGCAATCTCTTTGTTGGAGGATGGCGATGAGGTAGAGGCGGTACATGCGCAGATGAGGGTCGCGCGCAACCGAGGAACACTTGCCAAACTTCGATTAGAGATGATCAGCACTAGGGGATGGAAACTGACGTGGGGGTGTTGGGATAAGGGATTCCGTTTGTTTGGGGTTGTTGGGGGAGGTCAGGGGCCTCATCATCACAGATGATTTTTATTATTTAATTGACAGCAACAAGATGTCATGTATGTCAATTAAATTCCATTTCGATTCCTAAAAAAAAATCTACCATCAAGAACATTCAATATTTCATAGGGTAATTGAACATTTAAAAGTAACAGGCAGATAAAATTTTTGTAACTGGGATAATTTATTTTTGTTTATTAAATAAAAATGTTGATCTCTTTATGAAGTCTTGGTTAAAATTCTCGGTTAACCGTGTAGAATCTGACGATTGCAAGCATCAGTAATGACACGTGCAAACCGTAGTATTAAATCTGGTTTGAAAGAGGTACATGGAAGAGGCAGGCGTATGCGTCAGTGAGAACGAAAAACGATGAAAATATTCAACTCAACGATTCGATAATTATGGTTTTTAGGTTTTATGGCTCTTGGAATAACACATGGAAAATATCGAGTGACTTCTGGGTATTTGCCATTCACCTCAGTCTTCACTGGTGATATCCACATTGACTTATCACTGAAAAATAATTTTCGTTATTAAATCTCTTATTCTTATTCTGTCTATACACGAGGCATTCCGTCTGCACTCGTCCCTCAGCCGTTTTAACGGTTAACTTTGATTTCTTGCTCGTGTTGCGTAATAGGGAGACCACGGGAATTATCAAGCCGAAGTAGTGGAGAATATCCCATTATTTTTATCTGAAGAAATACATGAAATTAATGAGAGACAGGGAATGACACGGAGTTATTCAATTGAAAGACCAATTACGCTATCATAAATATGTATATAATGAAATCGGCAAATATCTGTAATTACCTTTTTTGTAACTCTCGGTCGGCCCTACAAAAAAATTCATTATAGAAAATCCACTATCTCCCGCAGATACCGAAATATCACCGACAAGCCGACACCAAAATTTCAATTAATATCTCAGTACTCACAGGAGATACAATACGACTTGTGAGAACTTTTATGGAAAAACCATCGAGAGTTGTGAAAAATTCCCATGAGAATTCCCTTGTAGTCTCTTGATATCAATATATTCAGCAACGAATGGCTCTCACTGACAAATAAAAAACCATTCCCGTTGAAATAAAGATAACGTCACATCAGGACGAGGATGACCTACCCCAACGAATGACGCGTACAAACTCAAGTCCCAACCCGTGGAATTTCCACAATGACTCGAAATACTCGTTTCAGCACTCACTAAATTCATGAATAAATACATCAACGCCAATTCTCCCATGAAACTTATGATCTCTCCACCTTTTCCTCCATTCAAATTCAATAATAAAATCCATTCACCGCGAATTCAGGGACTATTCATCCTCCAATGATCGAAGATTGACTAGAGATTGACAAGAAATTGAAGAGAGAATGAGAATAAAATTTTTCTGAATTCAATCATTCATAATTCCATGAAAATAATTACTGGGATTTAATTTTCCCAGGAGACGTTAATCGATTACTGTCTCAGTGCGCACTACCTCCCGACAATAACGATTAATTGATACAGCTTACCGGCCCATCTGTGTGTGGCATTTACATGTATCCAGGGTGAGAGTTTATGGATACATTCATATGGTATTTTTTTTTAATTTATTTTTTCACTGGGTGTTTTAATATTCTCTCGGCAATTTTCGAGGCGTCGTTTGGAAATAGCACCGAGTTGCAGCGAGAAGGCGCGTGTAACGGCGCCCGTTACCCTGTCCTCCTCTCTGATGGGGCCCTTGGCCCCCCGTCCCCCAGAGGTACTGGTAAACGTGCCTCACGGTTTCGGTTCGAGTATTTATCGAGCACGAGATAACTGACCTACCGCGATTTTTAAACCGGTTTTTACTCGTCAACGGGGACAAAGGGCGATGAATAAAATAAATTCAGGGCTTTTTTTTAATAGCTCAATCAAGGGAAATCCATTTTTCAGAACTTCTCCTGGATTTCTCCAGCGAATTCGTTCATTCATTCGACCGTATTTTTATTTTCTCCAACTTTCAAATAAGAATGGGGACCAAATGTTTTCTAAATTACTTTCCAGTTTGAATTTCAATGAAAATAAATCGCAAAGTGTTTCTAACGAAGCTCTCTTTCAACGAGCGATCTTCTAAGTCGAATTCCAAAATAATGATAACATTATCTCGAGTGTCACAACCGTCAGCTCGACCTTATCCCCCAGTCCCTAGGGGCTTTTCTCAAAAACTAAAAACGCAAAAGGAAATAAATTCTTCACCTCGGTATTACATAACAGATATGGCATACTATCATGCGATTGCAATTGAAAGAGTATAACTTGACTGGCGTTTGCCTATGGTTTCACTCATTGTGGCACTGAGCATCGAAGTACTGGGACTCCAGTCCTCGAGAATTAATGGAAACGTTATATCAGTAGTTAACAACATGAAATTGAGGAAATCGATCTACAGTGCTACTCATACAGAGTAACAATTTCCTCGATTCCTCGTCTCGATTATAAAGTGACTGTGGATTCTCCTTGATGTTTTTTATTCAACCAGTGAGAGAACTCTGGACTGAAGAACTCTCACTTTTATTCATTTTAATTCACCAGTTTGCGCTCGTACAATGTTGTGAAATGAATCTGCTGATGGATCATTAGACTCGAATTATATACGAGTGGTGTGATACATCAATTGATTACTCTCGAGGGATATAAGAAAATAGTTTTCGACGAGCTGTGAGTCATCTGGCTGGGGAATAAATAACAATATCCCGTTGACGACAGTAAGTGGTGGATATTATTCGAGAGAGGAATATTGCATGTGGGACGAAGTCACTCCTAGCCGCGCGAAAATCCGCAATATCTCAGGAGCTATTGAATTCACATAAAAATTGTAAATCAATTTTCCGTGGCAAATTTTCAGGGCTACAAAAAAGATTCTATTCTTTTATCCAATAGATCCCCTAGTTTTCGAGATATCTCCGATTTTTCGCACAATAAATCAAATAATTTTTTTCCTCACTCCCTCCAGATTATTTTTTATTCTCAGTAAAACGACCGCGATGGTCCCACCGAAATCCGAGAGGTTTTTTTTTCTCCGGAGCTCTTTGTTTCATTCTCTACATCTAGATTGAGGGCTAGTGTGAATGGAAAAATTTTTTTTTTTCAAGCTCGCGGTACTGAAATCTCAGGACAAATTTCGATTCTCGATGATGAGGGAATTTTCTGGAGATGGGGCTATCTTTTGGTATTTTTTTTAGGCCTAGTCCAGGTGGTGTTGGTGACAACGGTGTGCAGGGTGTGAGGGGCAAAGGATTGCCCCACGTTATTTACTGCCGTCTTTGGCGCTGGCCAGATCTCCAGTCTCACCACGAGCTCCGGGCCATCGAGCACTGCGAGTACTCGTTCACCCAGAAAAGGGACGAGGTCTGCGTCAATCCTTATCATTATCAGAGAATCCAGACCCCAGGTGAGGATCACCCCAAACAATCCAAAGACCTCTAAAGTTAACAAAGCAAAATCCAAAATCGCAGATGAAGATAACGAGATTCTCGTACTATCATCATTTCATTTCTGGTGGATATCTCAAGATCCAAGCGACATAGAAAAACATGTGTAGGAACTTTTTTGTAAACCGAAAAAAGAGCTACAAAAAAGTTAGCACATAAAGAATTCTATCCCAACTGGATTTCAAAATATTTATCAATAAATAAATGATAGTTTATCGAAATCGTATATTTTCTGCAAAATGGTTAAAGAATTTCAAGGATATGGAAAAGCCTAATCTCGAGTCATCACGAGTGTTTTATCTCCCTCGAATAGTAAAAAGAAACCTGTCGACTAATGTTCCACGTCTCCACTATTTTCCTCAAGTATTGCCAGCGATTCTCGTACCCCGACACAATCTATCCGGCGACGAGTCAGTCCTTTACAACACATCGCTGGAGGAGTTGAGTGTCAGTGTACCGGAGAATACCAGTTTTCACGCAACGTTAAATCACCGGCACAATAATCAGCAGAATCTGCCCCAGTCACCCCAGCAGCAGCCAAATAATCCGTACCAGGGTATGCAGAGTATGCAGGCAACAAGTCCAGCGAGTGTAGGGAGTTTGGGTAGTGTCCAGGGCTCGCCACACCCAGCACCCGGCTCCATGGATCCTCCAGCAGATACACCACCACCTGGATACATAAGTGAGGATGGCGACAACATGGATCACAACGACAACATGTCGTTGTCACGATTGTCACCGAGTCCAGTCGATGCTCAACCTGTCATGTACTGTGAACCTGCTTTCTGGTGAGTCTTCAAGGACTCCTACCAAACAAATCATCATTAAACCTTTTCACTTTCACTGAGATATTTAATTCCCTATAATTATTATTCTTGAAATATTTTTTTAAATCAAAGGTAAATTGTTCCTTTGATTGCCTCTTGAGTTGATAATGATAATGAAATTATCTCCAGGTGTTCAATAAGTTATTACGAATTGAACACGAGGGTGGGCGAGACATTTCACGCCTCTCAACCAAGCATAACGGTGGATGGATTCACGGATCCAAGTAATTCCGAGCGCTTTTGTCTCGGTTTACTGTCAAACGTTAATCGAAACACTGTGGTAGAGCAGACAAGGAGGCACATTGGCAAAGGCGTGAGACTGTACTACATCGGTGGTGAAGTTTTTGCCGAGTGTCAGTCGGACTCCAGCATCTTCGTGCAGAGTCCAAACTGTAATCAGCGTTACGGTTGGCATCCCGCCACTGTCTGTAAAATACCACCAGGTGATTTTTGTCATTTTTTAATTAATAAAAACAATTAATTTAGTAATATTTTATTGAATATCAATACCAATTGAATAATATATTTTCGAATCTGTCATCGGACAAACAATTCTGACAATTGAATAAATGAAATTAAATAGCCATTCTCTTTCAGGCTGCAATCTGAAGATCTTCAACAACCAGGAGTTCGCAGCGCTTCTTTCGCAGTCGGTGTCTCAGGGTTTCGAGGCTGTGTACCAGCTGACCAGAATGTGCACCATCAGGATGAGTTTTGTGAAGGGTTGGGGTGCAGAATACCGTCGTCAGACGGTGACGTCCACCCCATGCTGGATCGAGTTGCATTTAAACGGTCCCCTCCAGTGGCTCGATCGTGTCCTCACCCAGATGGGCTCACCACGTCTCCCCTGTTCATCCATGTCCTAATCGTCGACCTCCAGCCCTAAAGGAGACGAAACGACGAGCCAAAAAAATGAACTAAAAAAAATGCTAATGAACTCAGCACTTTCACATGAGTCTAGGAGGTGACTGATTGTGTGGACGAACAGTCCAATAACCCAAAAATCTCAGTTTTTCTCCCAACGTGCAGCAGAATAAACCCAACTCAATGGTTTTTCCACACCAGATACTGGAGGAAAACAAGACATTCATGTACATAAACCCATTAAACTCATATATGCTTGTGTATATATGTTCAACACTGGGAATCAGGAGAACTCAGTCTTTTACATATTTTTATCGACGAGACGTATCATATACGCCCGAATTATCAGAAAACAGGTGCATAAAGGATTATTTAGGCTTGTGAGGGGTCTCGAGTCCTCACGTGGTTTATTATGCATATAATATATGTATTGTGTGTCACCCAGGATAATACTACATTCAGAACCTCTGTGTATTCAGTATAGTCGATGGGTAATGTTAATCAATGTAGAATCGATTTTTTTTTATCGAGGGACAGACGTTTAAGACTCGTTGAATCATGTAAATACAGCTCACTTTTTTTTTTATTTTCTGACGATTGCACGAGGGAAGTTGTTTGAGCTTTTTCATTAAGCTGGGAAGTTTTTGTGGGAGGAGAGGTGATAAGTCTGCTCCCTGGGAGAGGGACCTATTGATGGTGTCTTACTGCTAGGAGGTCATTCTAGTGGATTTTTAATTTGAATTCAGTGGCGAAGTGGGTGAGTAACTAGAATCGATTTTCTCATTTTTTTAGGATCCATTTATCTGGAAAACTGTTGGTTTTAAAAGAAATTATCACGAGATGTTCTTTGTCGGGACTCAACTGCAGAACAATTCTTTAGTATTTTCCTGGTAAATCGATAGTGTTTTAAATAAATGGATAATTAAGATATTTAAAGAATGGATTCTGTTATTTATGGCTTCATTACTGCATGAATTTTCTTGGGTGAGGAGGAGTTGAACGGAGATATCGATCCGTAATGTCAAACTTATGAATTAATTACGTGTATGGATGGTCGGTGGGACTATTTCGGTTATCGTGTGATATTGGAAAAGTCTTAAAGAGTAAATACTTGTCCTCCATCTCAAGAATAATTCGCTGAAAAGGGAAAGAGAGAGAGAATTCTTTGACTCGATTTAAATATGTAAATATTCTCCATCGAGACGATTTCCTCTGGTATTTCATCAGTCATGAGATGTAAACAATAACAAATAGTGAGAACTCAAGAGGTACTGTGTATTGATACCTCAATGAAACTCGATTGTCGACTATTTGAAGCGATATCAAACCTATTACAATAAGATTTGTTACGAGGCTGTCTGTGAGACAATTAAGAGAGAACCGGGAGAAGTGGGAGTTATAGTGTGCGAAGAAAATTTATATTTTATTATATTTCTAAATTTGCGACGACTATTGAAATCGAAGGGCTTTTATAATTTCGTTGAAACGAGGATATGCGATTATTACTGATAAATTATATAAAACAAGTGCACGTGGTGTACGTCTTTCGGATTTTATTGTCTGTGTTTGAGAGTTTTTTTCTTTTTTATTGGAGGAGTAATAAATTGAATTTTTAATAAGAAAACAAGAATGTGAGGTGCATTGAGGGGGCCAATCGCGTTTTTTGGAATTCTCCAGACGTTGTGTTTTGGTTATTGTGGCTGATCAATGCGAGGAGATACTTGGGGGTGAAAATCGAGGTAAATTGTCACAGCTTTTTAAACTTTTCTATCATTTTTTTTTAATGATGCATTATATTTTATTGGTATCCCCCAATATTTTTATCAACCGTTTATGACGCGTTACCCTCTATCTGTTCGCCTTGAATTTTTAAACTGTACAAAAATTAAAAAAAAACTTTTCCCCAACTTTTATTTAAAAAATACTTATGTAGCTGTCATTTCCCACCAATCGATTCTGATAAAAAAAATAACAGAATAGTGATAAGAGATTTTATCGAGGAATTATCATGTGGTGTTAAATGTTAGAGGATTACCTTTGCTGGTCACGAGGAAGTAAGAGTCTTGCGTTTTTTTTTTCTCTCATCGATTTATATTTAGTTTGATTAAGCATTGAAACCATCGAGTGAAGAGTTCGATCGATTAATTAGTTGCGTTGAATTCTTTTGTAATCGCCGAGTAGCTCGAATTACGAGAAGAACAAGCACTTGACAGACACAAACAATGCCATGCTGTGATAGCCACGTACTGCTTCGACGAAGATTTTCCTCGATATTGTTGACAGATTCTGATGCTTCCGTGAATTGATGAAGGATAATTGCATTGAGGAAGAGATAAAACAGTTCAATTGAAGAGATTTCCCGCTAATGCCATTGGTTTCCATAATATTGTGGAAAAATTGTTTTTGTTTTCTTTTTTTGTATATGAAATCCTGAAATGGAACTGTTCCGCCTCCTGTCCTCAGTAATTATCCCCCACGCTCCAAGTACTTGCCAAAACTTCGTTGAAGTAGGGCAACATTTTCAAACATAACGAGAAGAATGAAGATATATCCATAAATATGTAAACCTTATATATAAATACATAAAAACTGAAATATTGCAATTGTTACGATCTCTCCTTGATCTTAGAAAACTCCGATTCATGTAGATTGAATAGTCCACTCTGTACTCGACGATACGTGTATGGCAAGTGCTCATTAGACGTCAAGACTTAATTAACCAATACGTGTGAAGAAAAATGATAAGAAAACGTAGGGTTTTCTCCAAACAATTCTATTTCAAAATTTCACATTCTTTCTGTAGAAATTCTTCTACCCGACGCTATTTTCCTATTAATTCTTTTCACACGTCCAATAATCGAAGAATATTCGATTAATTCTTTAAATTCAATTTCGAGATAATCTCCAGAATCTGATTGTTAATTGGTGTATTATCTCGGTGACACGTTTTGCACTCGCCATGAGCTATAATCATTGACACTGTCCATCCAACTCATAAAAATCATCATTTCTTTACCGATCATTATTTTTTCTATGCGATGGCGTGAGAGCTGTGAGACAAATAGTCTGAGAAAACGAAAAAAAAAGTGAGAGAAGAGCTTCTAATCGAAGAGATACGGAGGGAATCATGCGTGTGAGACTGTACTATAGTTACAAAATAAACGTATACGTTAAGTAATCACCCCATCCCCAATTATTACCACTGCCACAATAATTAACAGGACGAGGAATTCCAAGGGTCCAATTGATAAATAATAATAAAACATGTGAAATTTATCCGTGTATATCTGCATGACGAAGAAGACTTACGCTCTACCATAAAATATAATAACTATTTAATTAGAATTTATTGTCACGTTCAGTGCAAGACAATGATAGTTTCACTGGCAACGAACGTGCGACGTTATTCTCAGGCTCGACAATGTCATAATCCAGAAGGCAATTTATTCTCAATAGAATAAAAAAATGACGAATTGCTGTCTGGATTATCCAAGTAATTGTGATTTCGTGAACAACGAAAAATTTGACAAATAAAATTCCTACGATGAGAGACAACTCCTGAGGTTAACCCCAAGAATAATCTCCAGTGTTCACGAGGTCTGGATTGGACTCTCCCTCGGCATGCTTGACGTGCTGGATTTTTAATGCAGATTGCGTCTATGGAAATCGATGTTTTGGAATTTCCAGTGGTATTATGTGATTGTGGGATTGGCCTCGATATTTGTGGCTTTCCATTCTGGTAGTTAGAATGAAGCCGAACGGCGCAGTCTGGTCTGGGGAACTTGGGATGACAGCATTTGCTTCAAGGAGAACATGCTCATGGAGAGACCAACTGTTGCTAAAACCACTGCTGAACGAGCTGTGCCACGATCGCCAATAGTTTTCCGGTAGATTTGAGCACCTGAACCCTGGAGACATCAGTCAAAAATCTTTCAATTGGAGATTAATTGCTCCTACGAATTTTTAATTTCATAACACTCTCACCTGATTCAACGAGAGTTTAAGAGCATAATTAGCAGTGCGAGTAAGATACATCTCGTAATACCGAAGCTGTTGATTTCGGTCTGTATCCTGCAACAATAATCGCCAATTAACTCGAGTTAAGTGATCACTATTAAATTTTATCCCCTGAATGAACTCATTAGGTAATTCAAACGTATTCTCCTATTCTAATTCTGGCAGCACGACTCTGTTCTCCTGTTCTGTGGCCGTTTGCCCACAAAAAAAAACTACTGAGCTGAATCCCCTTATCACGTCGGAATTAAAAAATTCTAGTGAACGTACACAAATGACTAACCTGGAGAGAATAATCGAAGTTCAACGAACGGTTTCTTCGGGAAATAAAATGTCTAGTAGATTTACTGATCAGAGAAAAATAGTCATGCGAATCTCTCACGTCAATCCCGATAAAACTGAAAAACTCGCATCACGAGTTTACGATTGCAAAACTAACGGCGCCAGTTATTTATACATTAAAAAAAATTCATGCGCCATTCATTGTTTATTCTTGATAACGAATGATTTCACGCAGTTAAAATTCAATCCAGAATTCAAACGTAGATGGTCAGTAGAAAATATAATGACATCAATGCATTTTTTTGCACATTATTATTATTAATAATTATTAATAATGATCGATCTTCTGAGAAATTGATAGAATCATGGAAAATAGACAGATTTCAATTGTTTTAACGTAAATTTAACCGAGAATATTAATGTCATTTCACGAATTTATTCTTAAAACATTATTAAACTCAATTATCCAACAGAGACTGTCAAAAACAGTTGCAGTTCTGGAGATACTCTGTGGAAACAGCGATATGGTGATGCTATTTTTGGAGTCACATTCCCTCACCCACGTGAGGACCATAAACAGAAAAATCTAAACAATAACAAATATAATACCGCCGAGCCCTTCCATCGCCTTTTCCTGTCAAAACTAATTGACTCCTTCAATTCTAATCCAATGTGAGCCTGAACTTGCACTCTTAACTTGCATAAAAATTAATTATTAATTAATGAATCTCACTTAACCTAAACCCTCGTCCTCGCCAACACTTGTAATTAATTCGATAATAAGCAAAAGGGAATTGACGCAGAGAAAGCGTTTGCGAGAAAGTGGAAATTGCTTTCACTGAGTTAATTAATTTTGAACTTCTGGAGCAGGTAATGAAAAATTCCAGGTATTTCCACAGGAGGTCTGGTTGTTTCCCTCGGTTTTTTAATGAGGATTGCACATGTTTTGATGACTTCCTGGGTCATGATACGATGGAAAAATTAAAAAATTATGTCATGCTAATGGACTGACCTTTATCGCGCGGAATCTGCCGGACGAAGAGACCGCAATGAGAATTGAGACTTTAACCAGCTGATATTCGAATGATTTGCAGAGGACAAACAGAGAAGAAATTACAGAGGAGATCAGCAGCGCTTATGACAAAAATTCAACAGCAAAGTTTCTGAGCAGTTGCGGAATTAAATCTGAGGAAGTACCCGTGAATAAGGCAGGTCACGAGGCCGAGAGTGTCGATAACCGCGTAGTAGAGGTAGAGACAGTTATTCTATAATACTCGATAATCGATGGAATTGGGACACGACATCGTCGTGTCCTCTCTGTCATGGGGTGCGCATTAAAATACTTGGAGATTTTCGGCTCATCGCTCTTGGTCTTCACCCTGTGGTATCCAGCGACCAAATGAGACTGATCTCAGATCTGCATGTGCAACACCGGGTTAGTCTCGATTTATCTCGAATAGCAATGATCCCTGACAATTGACAAACAGAAGAAATCGCGAGGAATTCATTTCGGTGGACTATGTGTGAGGTATTGAAGGGCATAAGTCAATTGATATTTTGAAAGCTTCAATCAGCTGTGAGATGGCGAGCAGACGGGGACGTCGATCCTCCTCCTCATCGTCCTCATCCCTCGAGGAATTATCGAAGCCGACGAGAGAAAGAGCAAATGCCTCCAGGGAAAACGTATTTAGAATTCGCAACGACAATGAAAATCAAGGTGAGACCGGATGTATAGATAGATGTCTGATTGTTCTATTGTCGAGGTTAATTTTGACCTTTGGGCTCGTATCTTTTATTTATTGATATAATTATTGTTTCTCTCGGATTATTTACGTAACATTGGGTAATATGATCGTATTCCAACCAATCTTTATAGACCTGCCAAGACGATCGTCCGAGGAGAATCCGTTCAGCTTCAAACATTTTCTGAAGAATGACCCTCAGACAAATTATCAATACACTGGGGCAAGACCGAAAGTGTATTCTTCGGGTCGTAAAACTAATGATACTAGTGCACTGGAAAATGAGAGTGTATACACTAGAAATCCTACGGAACTCCCAGATTTCGTTCAAGATCATTTGGTCATTGAGCAGTGTTATTTGAACCACGAGTCAGCGCCTTTCGCACAAGTTCTTCCCAATGTTGATCATCTGCCAGATTTTGCGATCAATAGCGTGGAGCAAAGGTCGATGTGTCACAGAGCTGAAGGGAAATCAGACGGTAGGGATTTGCCATTCGATCTCACGGGGAGCATCGACAGGAGAAAGAGAAGACGCGATCGTCCAGTTCCTAATTCATCACCACTGGATAATCCAGAGGGTTCTGGTTTTGGGCGGAACCATGAGGGCTCACCTGCGATGCTGGACCCCATGGCTTTCCCGCTGGATCTACCACTCAATCAAGAACTAAATGGACCGATCAATCCTCCAGGAATTGCACAACCAGCTGGAGACGCTAGTATACCAAATTCATTGCCTGATTTTTTGAGTGATGGACCGATACGAAATAGAGTTGCACCACAGCAGGAGGTATCCACTGCTTCGAATCTCACAGAGCCATTGGACAGAAGATTACTCCTAGAGATAGATCTGTTACGGCACGATCTACAAATGTCTCGTAGGCAGAATAATGAGCAGAACAGACGCATACAAGTACTTGAAGCTGAGTTGTCGTCACGTAGGGCAGTGGATCACGAGGAGACAGTGCACCTGGAGAAAGCTATGGAGCAAGTGGAGGATAATTTGAAACGGAGTACCAGACGAGCGGTTAATGCTGAGAGTGCTGTTACAGTATTGAAACAAGAAGTTAAAACACTGAAGCTGGAGCTTTTGGCACTTCGAGATGAAAATAGAGAGCTGAGGGGAGCCATGGGTGCCAGTTGCAGTGACTCCAGGTCAACGAGTAGTGAAAAAAAAATACAGAGACTCGCTGGAGATTTGAGGGATGCTGCGTCATCGGCTAATACTCTTCTCAGGCAGTTGATATCGGGTGTGGATAATCTGAAAGTAATCGCCTCAGCCCTGGAGAATGTTGACAGAATAGAAGACAGAACCAAAGACTTTCTCTTAGACTTTGACGAGGACAACGCCGCTGGTCCGGCACTCTAACTCTCGATAAATAATAATTTTTCATCAACCTAGACGTAACGCGCGCTAAATATCCCCTCCATAACCCGTCCCGGAGGCACTAGTGGAAGGTATACTTTCCAGAATCTCCAGAATCAATTGATAAACCGAACACGTCCATCTGTTGTTTTCAAATTCCATAGGATTTTAGAGCTAAATCTATCGTGTAATTATTTATAAATTATTTGTTGTACTTTTGTATAATCGTAATCGCAGTGTCAATTTTTTATTTCAATTCAATTTCACGATGGATATTGAAATCTAGTCAGGAGAGAGCAATTTTTAATAACTGCATTGACTAGATCGAGTGGACAGGGGTAAATGGGGCAGAATAAATTTCCTCGTATTTTTGAGGTATTTTTTTTTAAGCTTCAAACTGAAAAAAAAAATTAGAAATCGTACCGTTGGCTTGAAAGATAGTTAGCAACCAACAAGACCTGTTTTACCTCATCCTCCTCTGGGAATCATCAAGAGTGCAGGCTTTATTTTCAATTGAAGAAGAATTGCAAACTGTCCCTGAGAAACATAAAATTGGATAAACGATGTACATGTGGCTTTTGTTAGATAGAACTCAGTGGTGCTATTTAGCAATAGAATAATAAATCCAATGCAATATCTCAATGTTTTTTTAATAATAGATATACTTTTCAGTTTATTTTTCCACATTAAAATTAACTACTGAAGTTCATCAAAAATACTGAGTAAATCAGTCTGAGTTTCTGTGTGACTCGTCTGTATATTGAGCCATCGGCATCCCGTCATGGAAATATCTTTCTCCCCATCTCCCTGATCCTCACCCTTGTCATCTCCAGTGACCTCGAGCTCAGGCCAGGCTGTCTGAGTCTGAATATCCGAGAGTCCCAGTTCAGACGACAGAATATCATTGCAGGTTTGTGTGCACATGTTGTTGTAGAGAAGCTGAGCGATATTATCAAAATGCTCAGTTGTCTGGGTCTCGGTGTTGGAGGAGCTCAATAAATTTCCAGTGTCATCGAAAATAGACTGGGGATATGGTTTCTCCGTCTGGGTCTCGATGCTGCTGAATCGATCACCGAAAGTCTCTTCAGTCAGCATCGGATCAGATCGAGATAATCCACTCGTCGAGGGATAGAAGATCCTGGAGTATGAGCCACCTGGAGAGGAAATTCTGTCCTCAGTCTTGAAGACGTTCTCCATCGTCTGATTCTCGTGATCATAAAAATTCGTCTGGGTTACGCTGTCATTAAATACGTCCAGGAGATTCTTCCCAGGACTTGTCTGAGTTCCCAGGGTGTTCCTCTCCTCCCAGAAGTCCTGAATTCCCACGTCGATTCCTCCTCTAATTATTGAAGAGGTTATTCATCATTACTAAATTATTTAAACGATGGATTTCATAATTGAACCCATAAATGACCATCAGCATTACGAACCTGTAATATTTAGAGGTGATAGGTGCCTCGTCATGCTGGAGATTGAGATTTGGGAATAAATTAACGTTCGTAAAGTCGTTCGTCTCCTGGAGATCTCTCCTGGACTTCCTGGAAGATTTTCTGGCAGATTCTCGAACACTCGGGGTTGTCTGGGTCTCCACAGTTTTCTTGGGTTTCTTCTCTCTGGACAACGTATTGGTAGTGGTCTGGGTCTGTCGAGACTCTCTTCGTTTCCTCGATTTCGAGGGCGTCAAAGTCCTTCGGACTCGACGTAAAATATCGTCAGTCTGAGTCTCCGCATTTGAGGTATTTGGAGAATTGGACTCCAGGGTGAATTGTGGTTTATAGGGGAGAATTGATATCGGTTTTTTTATTGGCTGGAGGAAACCAAAGGATAGAGGGGCCTTGGGGGCCTGACGTTTCCCTGAATTTCGATATTTCTCGTCAACAGAGTGACCATTTCGTTTTGCATGAGTCAGAAGGGCCTCATAAGTACAGAATTTTTTAAAACACATGCACGTAAATTCCGTTCCACAAACCCTCATGTGAGCGGCTGTTGCAGCTTCTGTTGAGAAAGATTTATCGCACTGTGTGCAGGGGTATTTTTTCGTCGCATGAACTTTGAGGTAATGCTGTTTCAAATATTTCATAGTACTGAAAAATCGCGGAGAATCTGATGAATAAACGCAAGAGGGCTCAGGGCAGTGGTACCTAATGCATTCCTTGACAGTTTTATTGAGATTCTTTTTCTGATGAACTTTTAAATCATGGAGTTTTAACCGAGGCTCATTTTTAAACACCAATCCACACTCATTACACTTGACATTGTTTACAATAACACTGAGTTCTTCCCTCGAGGGACATACCATCTTCACGAGCCTCAGTGAATTAGAATTCGTGTCGTCCATCTCAAATAATTCTGGGCCTTTCATGTTTCATGAAAGAATAACAAGAAGATTCATCGACTCCGAAAACAAACGATTGTTCGATGAAACGATAATGACACAGTTTTCGAGTGCAACACGCACACACAAGTGCAATCGACACCGATAAATCGCCACCTGGTGGAGTGACATATATTCATGCGGTAGTTACCCCGTGATCAGCTGATCGTCCTGTCAAAATTCACTCTGACCTTGTGTACATAACAATTTCCACCAATATGATGAATAAAAATATGAATTCCCCGACGAAACTCACGGAATTCGCTCCACTGAGTCCAGAGGACAATCAACCCGTTGTTGCTTCGTTGTTCTCCAAGTTCTTCACTTTTGGAAAATCCACATCAGGTACAGAAACTCCAGCAGTGTCTCCAAAGGACGAGGAGCAAAGCTCCTCAGGTGATTCAGAATCCTGGAGGCAGTTGGACAGTTTGGAAAAAACTCCAGAAGATGACACGTCCACGCAGATGACTTTTCCCTTGGATGCCAGTGAGGGACGGAGTCTTCCAAATGTACTCAAACGTATCAGTAATATTGTAGCATCCAAGAGCAGCAGTTTGAAGTCCTACAAGGACTCCCAGCTCCGTAGTTTCTGGATGCCGGACAGTGTAGCGAAACAGTGCTACGAGTGCACAGAGAGATTCACTACCTTTCGGAGACGACATCACTGTCGTGTATGTGGACAAATTTTTTGCTCCAAGTGCTGCTCCGACGAGATTCCCGGTAAAATTATGGGCTGCACAGGAGATCTTAGAGTCTGCACGTACTGCTGCAAAGTTGTTCTCTCGTACCTGCAGTCCTCGGACATGCGGAGTGTTTTGTCAGCGGATCTGAAAGCCCTCCAGGAAGATCTCCAGGTGAAATACGGTGATATTCCATCGCCTCATCAGAAGACTCACATCCCAGAGGACGACACAGCCCCCCACAGAAAGCCCAGTGTCGGCTACATGGAGGAGAAATACGCTCTGGGTAGAGCAACAGGAAGTTATCTCTCCCCTCACGAGCGTGCAGCTGTCCTCCAGAATTCAGCATCCCTACGGATGATCTGGGAAGAACTCTTCAACTCCTCTCAGGCGATTCCCCTGCAGACGCACTGGGTTCGTCTGAAGAACTACTACAACTGCTTCACAGGAGTGGAGCTCGTCAACTGGATGATCTCCCAGAACAAAGCAGCGACTAGAGTCCAGGCAACAGCCATTGGCCAGGCCCTCCTCGAAGCTGCTTTCATCAAATCAATTCAGGGGGAGAGTTCTTTCACAGATACAGCATCTTTATTCATTCCAGTGAGTCTCTCCTCCCTGCAGACGAGCATTCTGGACGATCACCAGTCCAGTTGCGATGCCCAGGAGCCAGCCTGGGTGAAGAATATCCCCCAGCACGACTCTACCACAGACTCTGAGAGTGAAACAACAAAACAGATTAATACCTTGCAGATCGCTCGACTTCCCTCCTCCAGCTCCAGTTTTTATCTCGACCTCAACCTCGAGGCGTCAACTGTTACTCTGAAACGTCCAACTTCTGGGGATTTTCCGCTTTTTGGAGATACCGAACCACTCACACCTGATCCTGATAAAATAGCTCAGGATAATGCAGCTGTATCTGAGGTTCTCAATGATACACTATTCCACGTACAAGAAACCAAAGAAAGAAGTAGCTGGCATAAAGTTAACAATCTTCGTAACTCCTTCGGTGAGATGAGCGCCTACAACAGTCTCTCATCAGCGTACAAGCAGCATGAGGATTCGCTGATAAAGCAGCTACTGAACAAGGAGGGCCTTCCCCAGAAGTGGTCGGACGTTATAATCCCAATAGCCCATCAGATCGTAGACCAACTCCGTCCCGATCTCAATCACGACGCCGACGACATGGATATCCGCCAGTACGTGCAGATTAAAAAATCTCCGGGGGGTAGCAAAAGTGACTGTGAGATTGTATCAGGTGTTGTCTGTAGCAAGAACGTCGCCCACCGAGGCATGAACGCGATGATTGCCAATCCAAAAATTTTATTACTACAGTGTGGACTGATGTATCAGAGGGTTGAGGGGAAACTATTGAGTCTGGAGCCAGTGATGCTACAGGAGAATCAATACCTGGAGCACACAGTGGGTAGAATAACAGCTCTCGGGCCAGATATCGTTTTAGTTCATCGTTCTGTGTCGAGACTGGCACAGGACAGGTTCAGGCAGTGTGGAGTCACTCTGGTGTTGAATGTCAAGCTTTCAGTCCTGGAGAGAGTGGCCAGGTGCACTGGAGGGACAATTGTCAACACGATCGACGCACATTTGACAGCTAGATACAAATTGGGGACTTGTAAGAAATTTTACCTGAGAAATTTTCCCAGTGCCAAAAATGGAGTGAAGACCCTAATGTATTTTGAGGGCTGTGCCAATCCCCATCTGGGGTCCACAATTCTCTTACGTGGGGGCAGTCCTAACGAGCTGAAGAGAGTGAAAAATGTGACGTCAACGATGATTTTTGCTGTCTACTCCTGGAGGCTGGAGAAGTCCTTCCTGATGGACGAGTTTGCCAGGCCACCATCGAACGATAATTCATTTCTCGATGGGGATCATCCTAAAGGGGAGGAGAAGAGACGAGAGCTCGGGGAATCCAGTGATTCACCAGGGAATAATACAACTTTGATTCAGCAGAACACCTCCTGTAGCCAAAGTACACCGAAGACCCAGAGGATTGAAGACTCTGGGACTAGTGATAAATTCAAGAGAGTCTCCAATATGTTACAGGAGCAGTGCGACCCCTACGACACGTTGAAACTCTTCAAGCAGAAATCGAAGGGACTGACCTCAGAAGGTAATGAATCCGATCTTCCTAATAGTACTGACAGAAAAGACACACTAAATGTGTCTGACACTGGCTCAGCCGACGATATTTCAATTCTGGAGTCGAGTTCAGAGCAAAACACTTTCGAATTATTCAGTGGAACTCCCCAAGAGAAAAAAGACATTAATGACAAAATGACGGAAGAAATTCCCACGAAACCAAAAGCTCCCGATGACAAACGAGTTTACGGTGAATCGATATCAGACAGAAGTGATCCCCTTCATCAATATCTCAATGAAGACGAAGACGTCTTCCACATGGTGAGCCCCACAGGCCAAAGCCTGAGTGTAGCAGACCTTCCACTCCTCAATAAATTCAAAAAATCCCTAGACGACACAATTCTCAGCTTCTCGCCATACCTGAAATTCTCGATTCCCTACCTGGAGACAGAGCCGGGGAGAAACTGCGTACTACGTGGATTCTTCCCAAAGGAAATATTCTACTCCTCCCAATTCTCAGATAAGGTCGACGGCAGTCGTACAAGTGTCTCGCTGGACCCTCCAGGGAGTGATTTCTCTCCAGGTTTGAAACTGAAACCCAGGCACCCTTTCACCCTCGTAAAAATCACCTCCAGGGTGGACACGAGGGAAGTGCAGGCTCTGCTCTCTCATTTTCGTGCGTGTGGAAGTCGCCTGAATCGAAGTAACAACGTCATCCTCGAGAGGAAACCGGTGATTTCCGTGGAGACAAATGACACTCCAATCTGGCCAGATTGTCTAGACCCTGCGAGTCATCAGAGACTTCCAGTCCTCTTCTGCAGTTTCTCCCACAATACAAACGACGCACCTGCCTCCTTCTGCGTCAATCCCTGGGTCGTAAATATGGATCTCTATGGACGTAATGACATCGCCTTGGGTCGATTCCTCGAACGATACTGCCTGACAACAGATTACAAGTGTCCAGCCCCATCCTGTCGAGCCCAAATAGCTCAACACGGTCGTCGTTTTGCACACGACGGCGGCTGCCTCCAGATAAATCTCAATCAGATGAGTAACGATCCCTTCGGCCAGGAGAACGTCAATCAGATCCTCATGTGGAGTAAATGCGTGGAGTGTAAAAATGTGTCACCCGTGGTTCCCATGTCCTCTGACACCTGGAGCTTGTCGTTCGCCAAGTATTTAGAATTGAGATTCCATGGAAACGTTTACATGAACAGAAGTTCAGAGACGTGTCAGCATTCCCTGCACCACGACCACTGCCAGTACTTTTCCAAGGGAAATATGTTGGCAGTCTTCAAGTACACGAGAATCAAACTCTTGGAGATATCCCTGCCCCCTCCATTGATCAACATAAGTTATGATGCTGGACAACACGCAAATGTCATCGACGAAGTGAAAATAATTGCCCTAAAAGGGGATGACGTTTTTACAGCGATCAAGGAGAAACTGACGACACTGCAGGTCGAGCTGGAGAGTTTAAATGTCATGAAACAGCAGGTGGCCAAGGAGCAGTTGTATTTTAAAAATAAAATTGAAGAGGTGCAGCTTAAACTGACGTCGCCGACACTCGAGAATAAAAAACTCGAGGGAAAGGGTTCAGTCAGACAGGTCCAGGCACTGATGTTCAGGATTGAGGATGGACTGGTGATCCTGAAGAGACTCATTGCAGAGGCTGTGAGCAACTGGAATTCCAGAATAATTGAAATAGCCTCCAAGAAGCGAGACGAGCGTCCCAGGAGGTTCACTGAGAGATCATTGACAGCTGGCAGCAGTGGATTAATCGATACTGATGGGTACATTACTGAGGACACAGCATCTGAGAGCCAGATGGAGGACTTGAGCCCCATGTCAGCTGATTACAACGCCATCGACGTGATATCTGCCCAGGTTGATGCACAGAGTAATGACGTCATTGAGCACTCGGACGGGGAAATCCAGGAGAGCCCGAATCCTGCGGATATCGTCATCATCCAGGGATCACCGAAGATGCATCAGAGATCACACTCTGATGTTCTCCCCATGTCCTCAGAGGACGTTCCTGACAGGAGGAAAAAGAAGAAGACAATTTTATCTCAACTACTGCCATCAGTTTCAAATGTCTCGACAATTGTTAATCCCCTAGGGCCACTGGAGCATCATCTCCTGCCTCTTGGGTCTGTTGTTCCTATTGTTGTTAATGAGTCTGAGCCATCATCGATTATTGCTTATGCCCTGGACTCCCATGACTACAAACACGCCTTCCAGGAGATTCTTCAGGTAGTGAAAAATGAGTTGAGCTCGAGTCCACTGAATAAAAGGAAATTCGTGGAGAATAAAGAGAATGTTGTGGAAACTACACAGTCGGGGGAATTCAAGAGGCCATCGGTTCTCTCTTTTCTACGAGGAGCTAGTCCCAGTCCTGCTAGTCCCAGTGAGACTGAGAGGAATTTCACGGCCGAGGTGAATCCCCAGGGAATTGGGGAGATTGAGGAAGAGAAGCGGGCAATTAAACAGCAGAACTACATCGAGGTACAGTTCGCTGATACAACCACCAATTTTTATTGCAGAGTTTATTTTGCCGCGCAGTTTGCTAAATTGAGGGAAAGTGTTTTGCCTTGTGGTGAGGATGGATTCACCAGGAGTCTCTGTAGAAGTGTCCAGTGGGCTGCCAGAGGGGGGAAGAGTGGAAGTACATTCTGCAAAACTCGAGACGATCGGTTCATACTCAAGGAGATGTCCAGGATGGAGATGCAAATTTTTTTGGACTTTGCGCCCAATTATTTCGGGTACATGGAGAAGTGCCAGCAGAACAAACAGCCAACTCTCCTCGGTAAAATCGTCGGTGTGTACAGGGTTTCATTTAAAAATAACATGACGAATGCTGCGTTGAGAACAAGTTTACTTGTCATGGAGAATTTGTTTTATGATAGGACTATTACTGATAAATTCGATCTCAAAGGATCCGTGAGAAATCGACTGGTTAATCCTGAGGATATTGATCATGAGGGAGAGCTCGTGCTCATGGATGAGAATCTACTAAATATGAGCTGTGATTCACCGTTGTACATGAGGCCACATTCCAAGGCTGTACTCAATAAGGCCATTGAGCAGGATACCAAGTTCCTGGCTGACAACTCTGTTATGGATTATTCACTGCTTGTCGGACTGGAACCCAAATCTGGAGAACTTGTGCTTGGAATTATTGACTACATCAGAACCTTCACCTGGGACAAGAGACTGGAAACAATGGTGAAAAAATCTGGGATCCTGGGGGGCCAGGGTAAACTCCCAACGATCGTCTCCCCCGAGGAATATCGTTCCAGATTCATCGCAGCGATGCACCGATACTTTCTCCCAGTGCCAGACAGATGGACAGGTCTAGGACGTGGAGTAGAGTCTCCCTGATCCCCATAATTTTTTTTAACTTTTGTACAATTTCTAGGGTAACGATAAGCAAATTAATAAAATAACCAAAGTATTACAGAGTTATCTATAAAAAATGCAAATGTATGAAAGCACCATTATTAATTATTTATTTTAGACAACATTTTTATCTTTTGTCTTATAATTATGTACATGAATATTATCTTTCAATAGTAAAATAAACAATAATAATTGTAAACATAATTATAGTCGTACAAGTAGTCTAACGATTTGCTTCAATTCTTCACTTCAATCAATAAACCAAGGGACCACCCGAGAGCATTTATCAATTGGCTATTGGCTATTCCCAGAGTACCTTCCAAATTCATTAAATCAATAATCATAAAAAATCATAATTATGATGATGCATACACGTATCATATAACACGATTATTGTATTTACACTGGACAGTACGTGGCAAAAATACTAATGATATTAGATCGATACGAGAAGAACAGATGGATCAGATACATTATTTGTACACTGTCTCACTAGGAATATTATTTCATCCCTTTATACTCGACTCCACTCATAATTCAACTGATTACCTGACAACTCGCCGAGAACGAATGATTTTCTCGAATATAAGTGCACAATAGTTCAATAATTTCCCTCATTTCCCCACTTCGTTGCAATGACAACAAATTTTATTTTTAATCATCTTGATATTGGGATGTACCCTAGTGGAAGCGGTCCACTATCAATAAATATCGATTCTCTGGGGCTATTGACATTATTCAAAATATTGGGTAATCAGTGCAGAACGCAGAGAAAATACCAAGTGATACATTTGACTGACGAAAGGATGAAGAAATTATTTATTCCCGTGGAAATATTCATGAAAATATTAATTATTAATATTAATACATTAATTATGTATAGTATTATGGGTCTAATATTCTTTATATACGCCGCATATACAATATATATTGCCCCATAAATTTTTCAAATTAGAATTCGGAAAGTCTCTCTTGTCACGTGTCAAAAATATTCATGGAAATCGTTTTTATCAGGGAAATTTTGTCTGAATTATTCTCTACTATAAAATATTTATTGCAACATAATCTGCAATGTTTTCTATAATATTTTTTCATCCATGATCCTACATGTCTTACGTAAACCATAAATTTCTCCTGCAATTTCTCTTAATCCACATATTTATTTCCACAGGAATAATTTCCATCGTCAGTCACAATCTCGTTAACTTCAGATAGACTCTCCCCGTGTCCACAATTATTCGAATGTGTCTATTGTCTGAATTCGTCAAAAATCCATGCAACACCCTTTCCCCATCCCAGACTCTCCGATTACTTTAGTTCCCTCTCACCTAGAGTACGAAAAAACCCTTTGAAAAGTCGATCATCACCATGTCTCCACCATTGACAAGTGTCTGCAAGAAAAAAAAAATCAAACGACATTGAACTGAAACTGAATATATCGCAATCCACATCTCCCCAGGGATTAAATCCCTTGAAAGTTCGGAGTGTTATCACTCGGAGAAGAGATAAACTCGGTGGCTCATTCATTCCATTAGCTATTATCTTGATGATTTGTTTTGTTGACACAACAGGTGTCACAGTTTCATCAGAGAAACCTATGACCATGCTAAAAACACTCAATACGACTGAGTCCGTTTTATCTCTGTGGCTCGCCCAATCCAAATTGCTGTTGACTCTGTGTCTGTTGCTGGGTGCCACCCGAGACACTACATCTCACACCGTGATGTTGAATACTCGTTGGGGTGGTCTGCTGGCCATTTTGACTGGGTGACATGCCTAAATGAACAAAGACCAATTCAACTCTCTATTTCAATGATTCACTGAATTTATATATTTTTACCCATTAAATTGCTAAGCGATTTAATGAAATTCATTTCTCAATCTATAAATCTACCTGATGGAGTTTTTTCACCGGCAGACATCTTCGAAAACGCCAGCAAAGCATCCGGAAAATTTGGAGGTGTTGCTGGTGTGTTGCAAGGTGTTATCTGTAAATAAAATAGCAACATGTTATGATTTCAGTCGATAGTTTCATAGAAACGTGCAACGAGAACAAATAGACTCATTTGTAAAAGTAGGCGTTACCAAACCGGTCAATATGTCGGGTTGTAATAATTTTCTAGTTGACACGAGTCGATCAGAAGTTGTTTTCACTGTCCCAACGTACACGTAACGTTCATGTAAAAACTACATTTATTTAAAAGGTTTTCAAAGCTTTTCCATTGAGATTTTCGGATCAAGATGAAAGAGAGAAAATTAATGGAGGCAATTCCTTTTAGTGAATTTTCCTAGTTTTTCTGATTTTTAATGAAAGCTGGAATGAAGGCATCAATTATGGGATGACAGACGGAGATTAGGAAAAATTGAAAAAGGGGAATGGGTTTGTCTGTTTAGTCACATTGTCGACGTTAGATTTGGCACGAGGCTTATCGGAATGCCACAGACGAGAATAGTAACCCACCTAGTGGCTGTCTGCCACCCAGTGGTTCTCACTTCATTACAACACGTCTATTAATTAAAATCAGGTTATCAGGGGTGATATGGTAACTCACCTGACCAAAGTGTGTGCCTTGCGGACATGATGGTATGGCTGCTTCTTGAAAAAATATACTCAAGGCAGTCTGAAAGACGAAATGCCCATTTAAGAACTAATGAACAAAATCAGATTAGGGTGACTTAATGATTAATTGTTTCCGCCGAATATCTCGGGGTTTAAGAGAGATGACGAAATTTTTATTAATACCTTTTTTGTAGCTCTCATTTCACTCTGCGAAAGAGATTATAACGAAAATTCTGATATCTCTCTTGGTTTCAGAGATATTATCACCTTTTACCTCGTAATCACCTTCTCATATTTTTCGATTTTTTTCTCATATTTTCAACTGAATTCCTCGCAAATATCTCTGAAACTATAGGTGATACCGAAATTTGTGTAATGAGGTTTTTTGTGGATTTCGATAATCTCTACAAAAAAGATTTCGGTGAAAATTCAATTATCTCGATCAGTGTGGGAGATATTTGGAATAAATTGACTGGAGCGGAGATTTAACGCATCTGTGGTTGCCACTCGGCTACAGAATATTTATCCAATAGTTCCCCATTAGTTGCCCTTTATTAATTGTCAATCGAGTTCTAGGTATAGCATCAAGGTCGACTTGAATATGAACTAAACTTCCGTTTCTCTGCAGCTCAGAGTTTGCGCAGTTTATTAATGCATGACCTTTACCCCATCGATGATATTCGGTTTAATATCAAAATAAATCAATGTGCTACCAATGATAATAATGAAAGTACTTTGCACGTGTTAAAAAATGATCAACATGGAGTGCCTCAATGTCACTCCAGACAATCTGATTAATCCGAGTATTAATCCCTAAATGAGAGTGACCTTTTGCGCCTTGAAAAGTTGAGTACTTTAATTTCTTCAATGATTCCTTCAGACACATTCTTCATGCATTTGTAACAAGTCCCCAGAAAATAATTCCATTCAAGTAACAAAGAAATACCAAATACCTCGGCCAAGTTATTAATCAATTAGTCCCTTGGTATTTACAAAAATATTTTTTTCCTCGGGGCATTGAGTAGTCGCAGCTGCGGCGACAACAAAATTGCAGTCATATCTCCAGCAGTTCTACACGTGATCCCTCCATAAATCTAAATACGTGTCTATATAATGTTGTTACATGAAAATTAAGTGCAAAGCAAGCTTTATGGGGTGATTTTTTACATCTTGCATAATGGCATTTTGCAGGAAGGCCCCGGGGAAGACTGATTATTAGCGCTTGGTGTAATTTGAATATCAATCGACTCTGATTATTTAATGAGGAATCGATACACATCCATACACATTAGAGCAAGTGTTAGGATCGAACAGACAATTTGTTCGATAGTTCATCTCAAACTCATCTCGAGAATTCCATACTTGAAGTTAAAGTGATAAGAGTAAAAAATATCGGACAAAGGGCACGAGTGGAAATGAATTGATAAAAGATTCAGTGGAATTCTCAGGGATTGTAATAAAAGAAATACAGAATAAACTACATAAAAAATTCAAGATAAAGAATGGTATTGCAATTAAAAAATATGCTTAACAGAATAATAGACTGGAAAGTGGAATTTCAATACAATTCAGTGAAGATTCAGTAACAATGAGAGATATTTTTCATACAATTAATAAACTATCGGAAAATAAAATTGCATTATGGTGCATTGGGATTGCATTATTTCGTTCTGTTTCACTTTGTCATGTGCACACGATCACTGAAAGAGACGAGAGAAGCCAGAAGATAGAGAACTAATGGTTGCAATGTTGCGAAATACCGCGTCAATTGGCACAGAGTATTTGGTTAGCAGTCTGTACATGTTTTTCTCGTGGTGCAGTAAAACGATCTGACTCCTGCTTGAATTTCTGAGGAAAATTCACGAGAGACAGAGGAGAAAACCAATCTCTGTGCTGAAAAATGAGAGCGACGAGAGATCATGAGGAAAATTTCCCTTCAAATCCCGAGATACCTTGCAAAAACTACAAGTTTTATCGCTCCACTCCTGTCTCATAAGATCCATAATCATGATAAACAGTTCAGTTCAATAAAAAACAGCAACAAAATACAAATCTCTCGGCAATCACAATATTTACACCTAAATAATATTCCAGTGTATTTAACCAGCAGTAGAGTTATTTATCAATTGATATATAATAACAAATTGTTATCCAGATAATCTGCGTAAAAAATAAATTCCTCGATTTCTCAGTCTGGAATGACATAAACCCGGGAATTTCCCTTTCCATCGAAAGAAAAAGGCATTTCACCAAGAACCGGCCGACAATAAACGAAACCAAAGACATGATAAAACAATGGATTTCACTTGAAAATTCTAAGAGCTCCTAAAACCCGATAATTCTTGCTGAAAATTATCAATTCAAACAGATATTGAAATCGATCTCAAATCCCCATTAATATTCCCTCAATCATCATCATTAAATCCCTTCCATCTACTCCCATTCACCTGCAGCCTTTACCTATAAATTCCGCTAACCCCTGAAATTCCTATAAAAAACGTCAACCCCTAAAATCCCCAGATCTAACCTCCAAATTTTCCACTCACCGATTCCCCATTCGTCGTCTATTTTTACACCTAAAAATGAAATCATAATAACGTGTGAACGGCAATCGACGTCGGCCATTTTACGGCTTTGTTTACGTACGGAACCATAACTCGTAATATCTAAAAAAAAACCCACACAGACAAAATACCCGAGAATAATCCAAAAGAACGATCAATGAAATGCCCAAAAATCGGAAAAAATAACTCACCTCAAATTGCCAATGTGCAGCTTGCAACAATTGTTTTGCCTGTTCCCTAGCACAACCCGCGGCCAGCACGAATTGATTGATCATCACCTGCTCTCGCAGGGCGTCCATTTTTTTCCTCCACTAGTGTTGTTGTTGTCACCTCTATTATAATTATAATATTATAATAACTAAAATGCCGATATAAATCTTGGGTATTGACTAAAAAAGCGAGTGCGCCCTCCAGAGCAAAACAAACTAGACACCGACAACAATCAACAAATGGCGCGGTGTAATCGTCCTCGCGGATGCCAATAACAACAATAAATACTAGCGTATGCTTATGAGATTGAAATAAAAGAAAATAAAACACACACTTACGAGAACAGAGGGAGACAGAGATATTTGTGTAGTCGACGATACGAAATAGAGAGGGGAATCGAGTGACCGGAGACGCAAGCGTTTTCTTCAACGTTTTTTCTCTCTCTCTTTTTATCTCTCTCTCTAGATGGCGAGTGTTTATTTGTCGATTTTTTGTTGTCCCGGTGCACCAAGTGCCGATTGTTGTGTGACTTTATCCTCCTGTCGCCGATTCATTCCCGTAATTTTTTTTTTGTTTCAGGATCAGGAACACGGAAGACGCTTTTTCGCCGACAATCTCTCAGGGACGAGATTAGAATGACGTCACTTACACGGGAGCACGAAAATTTTCGAATGTACTCACTCCCTCGTGTTTGGTACAATTCTAATCGACGTACACACTCCCCGGGTGTTTGTGGTAGTCAGGGCTTTTCATTGTGTGGAGGGGACACTGTCGTGATTATTGTTTTGTCGTGGCTTCCGGTGGGGTACAATGCCATTCCTGTTTCGATCAATTTGGAATTTCTCACTTCGGTGTGGAGTGCATTTTTGAACATCACGTGACATCTCGCGGAACACGCGGGAACAGCTGATTGGCGGGAGTTTTTGAAAATCACCGGGAGACAAACGAAATTGATGACTTGAAAATAATTTCGGTTATAAATTAAATATCTTATTTGTTTATATTTTATTAATTATAAGAAATGTTTCGGATGGGGATTCATTTTTAATTATTTGAAGAATGAAATATTAATTATCGCTCCGAATGAAAATGGCAATTTCGAATTTCCCTCGTGCAATTCAGTTGAAAAATGAGGCTGTTGTGCGTAATTTGTCCAGAGTGGTAATTCCTTCCAGGTAAATGAAAAAATAAATAAATTGAGCCCTGAAAAAGCCGTGGCCTATTTACGCATAAAGCAAAATATTGCCAAGATGTTGATTGGAGTGTGAATGCCTTGGGTGTTACGTAATGAAACAGTCCCTAATCACTCCAGTTATATGTGCCATTCCATCGGAAAATCGAGTTTTCGGGTTACGCAAATGTAATATATGCAAAAGATAAATGCAACCGAGTTATTTACAAATATTTTAATTAAGACCAACTCCACCTGATGCATGCGCAATCGTCTCGTAGATTTGACAGGACTCCGAATGAATTTCTGCGGAAGTAATTGGGGGTAATGCGACATTTCTCATGTGCTGATATTAAATTCCCCGTTACTCGTAATTATCCTGTTTTTTTACCGAGTATTTTTATTCGAAAAATTCTTACGGCACTCGTTACTGAATTCAATATTGCGTATTGGGGTACCTTTCTAAAAATAATTGGATAAATGGAATATGATTAATTTTTTATTTATCCCTATCCGCCCGCACAGTGGCTCTATGACTAATCGATTTAAATTATATTTCATTAATGTTTACATTTCGTACTCACGTCCATTTGCGGTGGAAACGATCCTGAAAAGAAAATATCGCAACTCATCGTGCGGAACAAATTAATTGAAAAATCTAGCGCAATGAATTTATTCTGTCGAATTTTTATCTCAATCATGTCGGAAATTGCTAACTTTTTGCGACAGAGAAAACGCCCAACGATTTCGATTTTTCTGTGCAACGTATTCTGTTGAAATTTATTGCATATAAATTCCTTGAGCTTTTCAGTTTTTGTTTAATTTCGCAACAGGCTGGAATTCATTATTCATAATATTTGATATGTATACATAAATAATGAATATTCAAGTAGAAATAATTTCTACATGAATTTAATATCCACTATCTCGATAATATGTATCCTTGGGCAAACCAGGATATATTTAACTGCCATTTTTTGCAATAAAATTGCCACACATTCCTTGAGCTTTAAATTCTGCATTTCAGTGCCACTCAAACACTCCACATATATCTGATATATTCCATTTTACCGCTAAATATATGTCCGTATAATAAATATATATTTTGTTTACAATGTAAATTCATTGAGTATTTTTCTCGTCTCTTAAAAAACATGTAAACAGTCCCGAGTAGATTATCCGGCTGTGAAAATATAATATAATGCAAATATATTATTTCATGTCGTAATGTTGAATTTTGTTACGAGAAATTCAACAGACAGAATATCGACTGGGATTTTTGTATCAATGACAGTGCGAATGGCCCATAAAAAATGCTCGCCATGTCTTAAACCATGTGGAATGTTTTTTTCTTGCATTATAATTTTACGTACTCTAAAGTTTAACGATCCATCACGACGAAAAATTGTTACCTCACGAGCGATAGTTTTTCTTCCGGGAATCGCAGAAGGTGTCTGACTTTCCCGCTATTTAAAAAAAGTATAGTGCAGTCAAGACTTTAATTCTCGAGCTCCTTGGGGCATCGGCTAATTCAATCCATTGAAAAAAAATATTTATTAATTATCATTTTGCCAACACTTGTCTCAATGCGTGTACATTTACACCCTGAATGATAGAAATGTCGCATGAAGTGAGACCCGCTGAGGTTTTAATTATAAACTCGACCGGTTTTTCACCTCAAATTTTTCAGCTATTTTCCTGAATTTCTAGGCCAATTGAGAGCAATTGAATCACTGCACTCACATTTTTCATCTGTACATGTTATCATTGATATCATTGAATTTACTGAGCACGTAGTTGATATCCGCTCTGTAATTGTAGCCCTCAAAGTCATTTGCTCGAGGCTATGGCTCACTGTGACGAGGTGACGTTTAATTAGTCGCATTAACAATTTATAGTTATTTTATTTATTTCTTTCATTTTTATCTTGACGGCTCAGGATTAGAGAGGTTATCCACGAAGCCTTTTATTTTTTTTAGATAAATTAATAAATATCTCTTTGTTTTTTGCTTGTCAATTGAAATTTTCATTTTATCCAAAAAAATTTTTTTTTTTGTCTGTAGATTTTTGGGGATTTAAAGGGAACGAGGGAATTTATTGCAACGAGTAATGAGATGGTATTGTTGATTAATGAGTTTCATTAGAACCTACTGATGATCGTAATTAAAAACAACGAGGAATGCAGTCGATGCAGGATGAAGTGATACACGTCAAGAATTGTCGCACCAAACTGGAAAAATTCAAGAGCACAATTAAAAAATTCCTTTTCATTTTATTTTCCATTTAAAATACCTTTCCAGGAATATCAGAATTTTCCACCATCTCTATTTCTAATTATTGTCAATAATAATTAACAATTCACTTTCGCAAAATTCAGGATAATCAAAAAATGAATTATCCCAAGGAATTATTTATTGTGTAATTAATTGTTTATTATTCTCGTAAAGATTGTACCGATTTTTTTCGTTTAAAAATTATATTTATTCGGTGATTGGAGTAATTGAATATTTTCAATGGATAATTCCTTTCCATCCGCGTTCTTTTCCTCAGCAATAATTCGATTCTCTAATGCATAAGGAATATCCACTCATGCAATTCCTGATTGTACCGATGGGTAATTCGTGTAATGTTTTTCCCGCGTGAGGTAATAACACAGCCCATCATATCGCGTGCTATAACCATTGAATTGCTAATGTAACTTGTAAGTACCGTGGAAAAAGGATGAAATTTTCAGAAAATATCATAAACAAATTACAGATATGGATTGGTTTACTTTCTAGACTTCCATAGATTCTACCAATTATGCTAGATCGATTTCGTGGGTAATCCTACACAATTACTTTTATTTTTCCATCTTCACTATTAAATTAAATATAACAACCCAATTTTTATTGTTTTTATGAAAAAATCGCTGATTTCGGGGAGAAATTCTAACCCACGCAATATTTTTTTATGATCTCACTTCTAGATTGGGAAAATTATCGTCAACTGAAATCAATATCTGAAAATAAATAATTTTTTTTATTACCTAAAAGTCATAAACGTCATTAATTACGATGACGAAACAATCATAAAATTCTGGTGTTAATCAAGACCGCTGAAAAATCTAATATCTGAATGAATTGGATAAGAAAAAAAAAGTAAAAAAGTAAAAAAGATCATTTTCATTCTTATCTCCAAATAAATGTCATTACCTCGGATGAAATATTATGCCGTAATTACCATGACGTAATTACAATCATAATAAAATCCCAGGACCAATCAAGACCGTTTCGCTAAATAAATTCTCAGCGAAAAAAAAAATGTATTTTTCACCTAAAAAAACCTGAAATTGTACAGTTTTTTCTCTCGGGTGTACTTACTGCTTATTCACAGATATGGCAATGAAGATAGCCTCAGGGCTTCTTCTCGCAATCGCCATCCTTGGCTCCATAAAACTAGATCACAGTCTCATGTCTGCACATTAAATGTCTATTTCCCTGGATTTTCATCTATGTAAATTTCCCCCGGAGAAAATCATGCGCCAATCCTGAAATGCAATGAACAATTTGACATCCAGCGATGAATCATCAAAATATTTGTTCCATTGTTCTACCCCACCACTATTGTTGTTCCCACTGAATATCTGCAAATAGTTGCTTACTCTCGGGTGTTATAACGCGTTACAAAATAATGGGAATCGTTAAACTTTCGCAGTGAGGGGAATTTTCGCAACGTCACACAACGAGAGCGCATTAACATCCAGACAAAGTGGGGTGCACTCGAATAATGAAAAAAAAAATTATAAAAAAAAACATTGAGGACTAAATGTACGAGTCCCAGCACTTGGTGTACAAGAGGGGAGTAAATGGGGGATATTACGCAAAACTTAGTTCACTAACCGGTGAGTGGACCTGTCCAGGGTAATTGCTAATGAGCCTAATATTGAAAAAGTTGGAACAAAGAGTCTCCCAAACCGACACACCCAGAACAATCAATTCTTTCCATCAAATAAAATTGAATAAACAATATTCCATCAACTCGATTCATTCAATTTATTCAAATAATCTCAACTGAAATTTGAATTTGCATTATTTCCCCCCACAAGCTGCACATTTCTATTCGATAATAATCCCAATTAACAAATGGTATTTTACAATAATTAATTACACGTGGGAGTTGTTGAGCGTGAATTTTTTTCGGAAACCCCAAGCGAAAGTTGCATAAGTAAAAATTAATAAAGATAGCACAGAGAAGTAATGGAGTAATTGTTCTGGGAACTGGTGTCCACAGAAGGGCAATTACTACATCCCAATGTTGACTATTATCATAAAATTAATCAGAATAAACTCGCATGTAGGGAATGGTGATACGCAGTCTGGTTTTCTTCAAATGGTGATCCGTCAGATTAGTGGTCAAAACAAGGCGGCCAATTTGTGCCAAGGTATCGCCATTTTATACCCGACAACTCCCCGACCTTCTCCCAAGTTCTAGGGGATCACGTAGAAAATTATTTCGCAGAATAAAAAAACACCTCACGCATTTTATGGGCTAAATTCCGCAGCCTCTGCGCATTATTTCAGAGAACTTCTCGATAAATAATTAATTTGAACTAAATAATTTCTAAAATACCCATAATATCTATTATTTATTGATTGATTTATGATTATTATTAGAGAATATTCGAAGAGATTCTCATCATGCGTATTAATTTCCTGAAAATAAAGTCCCCATCAGTTCCTCGGATGAATTGAATTTAAATCGAGTATTCTGTCGATTTCTAGATCATTGGACCAGAAAAATAACGCAACATTCATTACCCAATACCAAAATATCAGGATTTCAGAATAAATTATCAGTTGATCTCAAAATGATAAACAATTCGAATTTTTTCGACTCCACCGATATAGAATCTGTCGTACGTAACTCGCGATCGCAGCCTGGAATTCACGAAAGAGACGTTTTAGGAAATTTCCGAAGCGATTTCCAGATCGGTTGATCTCCATGGCTCCCTCATAGATCCAATGAGTGTCAATAGATCTCAATCTACCCAAAGAATAACCAATCATCAAAATTAATCCGTAAAAAAGAAATTAGGGCGCAAATTTTCCTGAATTTTTCACTAAAATTTACAGTGCGTAACACACGATCGGTGAAAACGATTTGTAATCGATTGGATTCGATGAGTTTTGGTAAATCTCGATGATAAATAAATGGGGTGATAATGGTGCGAGGGTGTAGTTAAGAATTAGCGAATAGTGAAAGGGGCTCTCCCTCTATTTGTTGCAAATGCCTCCATGTGCAGAGACTTGCTTCTGATCGGTTTCCCCTGCTCGTTTCCCTCTGGCCTCTACTGTGGGGCAGGGCACTCCTATAAAAGCTAACGTCGCTGCCCCTAATCTACGTAGTGCAACCTGTGCTTCACAAGAAAAACTCAATCATCATGAAATTCTTCGTAAGTCTGCACAATTCAATAATACCGATCATACCGATCATTATACCGATCATACCGATCGTTATCCCCACCATCAAATCCAAATAGACAACTGCTGAATACTAATGACACAGTTTATCCAATCCATATCACAGTTAATTCCAGTTAATTAACGATTAATTAACGATTTAATTCGTCTCCTTTCAGATCGCTCTCTTTGCCCTCGTGGCTGTCGCCGTTGCCGCCCCCGGCTACGAGGTAATGAACATTCAATTAGTCCCATCCAACGAACATGTCTGTGTCTCGAATTAACATCAAACATTGTCCATAATAATTGTCCAAGAGTACCGAGGGTATCTCAGTAATTCGGGGGAATGAAGAATTCATTTGTAATCAGAATGACAACATCGATTTTCTAACTCCATTGTCTTCACGCCTCGTAACGCCAGTTTGCAAACCGCCATTTTCTCTTTTCAATTAATCCTCATGACTCGTCAAATCATCAACAAGGCATGACTTCAGCGTCGTTCTCCCTCAATAATCCTGGAAATAAAATCGGTAACGAAAAGACAAGAATAAACAGTAACAACTCGATTACTTCTTCAAATTCCCCGGAATCTCTGAATCTAATAGACGTATCAAAATTTTTCTAATAACCTTTTTTGTAAACCATAACAAGACCTCCAGAAAAGGTATTGATAAAAAAATCGGTATCTACTGTAGATTCAGAGATATTCCATGAGAATTGATAAAATTCGATTGTCACTCTTTCTCTTCGTTACTGCCATCGTCATCTCCAGCATGTGATACCCCATCGTTTGATTGACAAACCGAAGAACCGAATAAAGAACCGATAGCATGAGTAACCCAAAGTCGATCGATGCCCGGTGATCGGCGGATGTCGTGATAACATGGTGATCATCAGGTGATATCCCGTCATGGTATTCCCATATAAAAGGCGGTCTCTATCACTGGAATTTGTGCCATAAAATTCAGGATCCCTGGCAGGGTTGGAACGCGTGGAAGCCAGTTATCAAATCGTCGGGATGGCAGCCAGCCTGGCCATCGTCGGGTTGGCAGAAGTCATCTGGTTGGCAGCCAGCGTCAGCTGGTTGGCAAAAGTCCGGTTGGTCCTCTGGCTGGTCTCAGCCCTCTCACGGTTGGCAACAGCCATCCCATGGCTGGTCACAGGTAATAAAAAACCAATCACGAGTGAATGAAAAAAATTAAATAAAACGGCTATCAATCATCGTCCTGATTACGCTACACTCTCATCAGTCATCGTGGGGATGACTAATCATCGACTTTTCCATCATTTCAAAACTGGATAAAATCTCGTACCAGTCTTTTCCTACTTTCTCCGCATTTACGTCGATAAACTCTCTATACACCAGTGTTATCCAACATCAAACTCAATCATCAAAGCAATCATCAGGATTCATAACGAAATCATAATGAATTCATCAATGATCTTGCGATTCTCATTAATTCACCCGGGAAGTGGTGCCGTAAAATAATGAATATTCCGTTAAAGTTTTCCATAGATATCTCGGAAACCGCGGGAGATACCCAAAATCTTGTACTTACCTTTTTTGCAGGGATTAGTGACTTCTACAAAAAAGATAGAGACAAAAATTTTGATAACTCTATTGGCTTGGGAGTTATTTTTGAAAATGCTGAAGATATTGAAATTCGATCTCATCACTGTCTTATGATTGTGTCATCTCATCTCTTGGGGATTGATGAATGGTTGATTAATGGTTCTGAATTTATTCTTTCAGCACGCTCACCATGTTGATGCTATCCAGGTACCCCAGCAGCCAGCAATCCCACCACTCCACCCCCACCCACTTCACCTGAAGGCACATGCTCATGTTCAGCATATTCCCTACCATCATGCACACATCGGACATCCCCATCTCATCGGCTACGAAGTTGCTGTTCATGAGCCCGAGGTAAAGCACGTCGTCAAGCCCGTCCACGGTCACGGCTGGTAAATCAACAAATCCAACAAATCCAACCAATCCACCATAAAGACCGGTCCACTGGTGATCCATCCATAATCGGATAATCATTTCACCAATTGATTTTCCCATTACACCCGGCCTTCCGCATACTGTCATCCAGACTCTCACCCGAATCTGTCATTGACCGTTTGGAATAAATCACCGAAAAGCAACACCCTGGTCATCATCTCTAAATCAATGGATTACGTCGGAGGTGGATCACAAGGGGACCCTGGACCTCGGCTACCAAAACTTCAACAGAAAGAAACACGCAAAAGACAAATTTTCCGAGTCTCTCTAATTTTCCTGAAAATCACACACGTATAAAAAAAGATCTAATCAAAATGATGAAAAATCTTATGTCTCTCGTGCGGCATGTGATAGCGAAGAAGACATTGTACGCTCATTTATCCCCCATTGTATAGTTTTTTTTCCCCCACATTCATCCAGGACCTCGAGACTTTTATTTATTTTCTAATAAAAGCTTATTTTTATGTCTTGTGATACATTATTGCTATTTATTTCACCCACCACTCGTGCAATTGTAGAACAATTAAGAAAGGAATACAAAAATGCAGATCCAGTGAAATCCGGAAAAATGAAAAAATAATTGCGACAATTATTATAATGGGATGCGAAATAATTTCAATTGCGGTTGCATGGGAATAATAAAAATAGGCGGATTATTCATTTCGGTGGTTTAATCTTTCATGTTTCAATTTTATTTGACAGGGACTTATTGTCGCTCATCCCGAAGAATATCGTGGTAACACATGCAATGGATGAACCCGTATTACCCACGAATCAATTTTCCATGTTACCAGGGAAACCCAAAGTCCAAACAAGTCGCCCTACACTTCGACATTTCCACTTGCGTATGGGAAAATTCGTATCCCACGATATCACGTGTTATGGCAGTCTTATCATCCACCGCATGCGACCATTAACTACTCTTCAATGATGATCATCATCATTTCTATATTCTCCCCTTAATTTATTCATAAATTCGTAATGAACAAATTATGACTCGGACAGTATCACAAGGAATAATTTAGAAATAATTAATGCGATTGCAATTGATAAATAGAAATTACTGAATGCAATTGATGATTAACAATTAATTGGGAATTCATATTGCAATTTCCTCTCATTTTTTTAAATGTATAATCTTTCATTTTTTCAAGACTATTGTTTATATTTATTAGTTTTTAGTCTTGAATGTTATCCTGTAAAGAATTTTCATTTTATCTCGATTTAATTTGATCTCTTAGAAAATTTTGTAGTGAAATATTTTCTGTGGTGATTCGGAATAATTATTTAATGATCCATAAATTCATCAGAATTATTCCCATAACTCTGCCGTCAACCAATGACGAAACCGTGGAATTTGCTGGTGGTACCGACACCTATTCTCGTGCTATTTCATAATTCATACAATAATGCTATTGTTGGCTGAAACATGAGCGACATAAATGGCACTTGCCATACGAAATTAATGCCAACAGTTATAAATAAAAATCATATCGCAAAAAATATCGCAAAAATATCGCATGAAATATCAAACAAAGAACATTATAATTTAATTCATAACTTACGCGAAATTTATTCTCATCTTTAAGTGAAAAATTGAATAATCAAGTAATCCATGAGAATTATGGAAAAAAAGGAAATCGCGGTTATTGTTTCCTTGGATTATTGGGATAGATCATTTGTTTAGATTTATTGTTTAATTTATGTCAGTGGGATTTTGGATTCTGTCTAGAGTCGATTGGGTTCCTCGGGTGGAATCAATACGAGGATTTACTGCGGACGGTACTATAAAATAAGACAGGTTCATTGGGTCGAAGGTTTTTTTCTTAAGAAGTTCGTACCAGGCTGTCTTGCTCTCCAAACTTCCGTTGTTGGGAGTTGTCTTTAATTTTCGTTGATTATCATTAAATTCAACGAGATTATACGAATTAATAACCAGTCAATAATTGATACAAAAAAAATAAGAATTCCATTGAAAGAGATTACCGGAATGTCTAGTTAAAAGTGAAGATAAATATGTAAATAGAGTCGTTTGTAGTGATCATTTAAACTTGAAAATTTCAGGGCTCCTGTAATCTATGATTTAAAAATATTAACTGGAGCACTTACAATCGTATCAAATGCAGTCAAGCCTGATACACTTTCTCCCCTTCAACTTCTCCAACAGTTATTGCTTTTACTCGTCAGTTGCACAGCTGTTACGCGAATAATCCCAACTCTCGTTGAGAAATAACTGGCAAAAATGTGTAATAGTCATCTGTTATCCTACAATGTTCACCAGCAGCATTCATTGCTCCTATTTTCCCCATTCCAGGAATTCATTCCCCGGATGGTCATCGAAAACCATCGGAATTTCAAGTCAATTCATCATCGCAAAATAATTCCAGACACTGCATTCCTGGAAATCATTCCAATCAAAATTTCAATTCTCCATCAAAATATCGCCAATCAATTTACCAATCGCCATTATTCTTCAATCATTCAGATCATATTCATCAATCCCAAACAGTAGAAGAATCAATAATCATTAATACTGGAGTTTGTGAAATAATTTAGTAATTATTTCTGGATTAGGGAACGTGGGATTATTTTTTTTAATGCAGGTGATTAGTATTTCGATTTGTTTAGACTTGTAGATCAAGATGATTGAAACCGATCGAAGTCAGTTGGATCGTTGAAGAAGCGCCGTTGACGTTTGAAATTCTACATTGGACACCTGCTATTCCACGCGATTCCTGGGTGCCGTCAGTTCGATCCGGTCAGTGGGACAACGAGCATGAACCAACAACACCGTAAGTATCCACATACACTCGGAAAAACAAAAATACTTTCCCCAAGAGAATTAATTACCCATCTACATTACCTTCCCCCAACGCAAATCACATCTTTCATTTTTTCAGCATTTCCAAATACTTAATTATCATTCCTCATCGATAATTCAACAGTAATTAATTAATTCATTAATTTTTATAGAGCATGAGTCACCGTCAGTTTACTCCATCAGCAGTAAAACACATTTGGTTACTGTTAAATCGAGAGATGCATAGTGAGTAGTAAAAATTAATTGATCATTGCATAATTAACAAAATAGTAAATTTAAGAATTGACGAAAAACCGTGAATTTTTCAGTTTTAAAAAGACACGAAAGAAAAGTTTGTACGTTTTGATGACTCTATCCGTTTTAATAGCCGGTTTGATGGCCAGTGTTATTACCCTTGGCATCCTCTGTACGTATGAAAACCAAATGACAAATTGATGGAAATCGACAGGCATTGAATAATTGACATACCCAAAACCCTATTTCCAGACTCAAGAGTGAAGGTCGCTCAACCCATATGTTACACCGAAGAGTGTGTCAGAATCGGTGAGCTCTCACGTAACTTATCATAAATTTAATTCTCCTTGATGCTAATCCAGATTTTATTTACACTACCGTGTGCATGTGGGTGCTAAATATATTTATATTTAACAAGCTGCAAGTCTCAAAGAGTCTATGGATACGTCTATAGATCCATGTGAAAACTTTTACCAGTGAGTACAGTGAACTTATCAATCTCGCATTTATTTATTAATGAGTATTTTCAAGGCTCATTGAAGTTTTCATTGATTAAAAGGCTAAGCCGTGGTATTATCCAGTATATAATCATTCAATTTGATTGAGTAATTACGGCTTTTAGATATGCATGTGGAAGGTGGTCAGAGAATCATCCGACTCCAGATACCAGCATGATGCACTCCTGGTTCAGCGAGAGATCGGATAAAGTAACACGCAAAGTTCGTCAGCTTCTCAGGAATAATCTCACCGATGTACCCTGGGCTGTTTCCCAGGCGAAGATGCTTTATGACAGTTGTGTCAACACTGGTCTGTTCATTCTCCATTTTTCAACTCAAATGCTTTATTTATTACTCTAGAGAATTAATTCATTAATTATTATTATTGTTATTATTATTATTATTCATTTCAGGATTTATGGATACTCTTGGACTCTCGCCATTATTAAATCTCCTGAAGGAACTAGATATCCCCCAAGTCCCGGCAATTCTCGGTAAAGAGGACGGGAATTTCATTGAAAAAATTGGAAAAGTCAGGCGAATTCTCGGGAAGGATGTGCTAATTGGGTTCAGTGTCATTCCTGATCCTAGAAATCGCAGTAGGAATATTATTATTTTGGATTCCCCTTCGTCTGTTAGTCCTCTGCCTGGGTTGGTTTATCAATAAATAATTGTAATGGCTGTTTTAATAATTGTGATAATACCCTAAGATTATGATCTCAGAGACAGAGAGATCGAGAGAAGACTGAAAAGTCTTCGAACGAGAATGGCCAGGTCGTCGATATATGAGGAAGATGTGGCTGTTAATCCTGTAGCAATTGAAAAGGCCTACATCGCTGCGGTAATTAGGGAAGTAATCAGCAACGGCACTTCCTTATCCTGCAATTCATCTAGTGTTATCTCATCCTCGGAGGAAGATCGTATTGCCAAAGCGGCGCACCACATATACGAGCTGAGTGCAATATTCTATTATGTACGAAAGACTTCAGAGATTTAAAATATAGAAAGAAATCTTGCGCTACAATTTTTCATTCTTTACAGATGAGTCGAGAAGATAATAACGAAACAGTGACTGACGAGGACATCACTGACAAGGACTACATGCTCGTGGATAATCTCCAAAGATTGACTGATAATTATGTCAAATACGAGAATTGCTCGTTAAAGCCTAGGAAAATTTGGCGGCCCTTCATCGAGGAAGTATGTCGTGGTGTCGTGGATTTGGATTTAGATGGGAGGGATAAAGTTCTGGTTGCCAATTTCGGGTATATCAAGGACTTGGCTCTGCTCTTAGCTACCACTGATGATGATAAATTAGGTAAAGTCACTCGCAGGATTGTCCCAGTGTTTATTCATCCTCTTTAAGATTCATATTCTGGTGTTTTTATTTTTCTTTTTTTGTAGAGAGCGCCATATGGTGGACTGTTGTAGACGTCGTTGCTCCTCATTCTTCCAACAATTTGAGAAAAATTTGGGCCGAATATATCGATAAATTGATCAGTATTGAAGTCTCAGAGCCGAGGTCCATACACTGTGCCGATGTAGTTAATTATATGATGGGTAAAATAAAAATTCAAGCCTTTAAACAGTGTAATTCGGAATTAGATGAGTGATGAGCTCGGGGAATCACAGAAACCCGTCGGTATAGACGGTTTCTTAATCACCGAACTCTTGTCATTAATAATTTATCGTATGCCAGATGAGTATCAATGTATTTATCCAGGAATGGCGGTTTCCTGGCTGTTTGTCGAGCCGGAATTCTCCAGTAATGTCGCTCCCAAGGTCGTTGAGATGCTGGAGCACATTCGGACATCATTTGCTTCATTGGTTGCCACCACTGCTTGGATGGACCAAAAAACTAAACTCTCGACCCTCGAGAAATCGAAAAAAATGGTGTACGTTATCGGACATCCTGATTGGCTGTTCGAGGACAAAATACTGAATGAATACTACGAAGGAGTGAGAATAGTCTTTTTCGTATTTGATTTTTTTATTTTCAAAAAACCCTTTGCTCTTTTAGGAAATTCTTCAACTATTCACGATTTTGGATGAATTTCAGATAGACATGAAGGAGGACACGTATTTCGATAATATGCTGTCGATAGCTCGATTGATGAGTAAAACAGAAATTGAAGGTGTCGAAGAAATAAATCACATGAATAATACATAGTAATGACCTCTCCGTTCTAAATATATTATATTATATATTAAACGAACTATTTAATTGCGTTGGAAATAATTTTCAAAATAGTGCAATTATTGCAATAACTTTTTCGTTGTTTAATTGACTTTAATTTCGACAGTTGGGCCGCTGGACCGACAGACGTAAATGCTGTCTATACAGTCGTTGCCAATCACATAAGTAAGTTCTCCCTTAAAATCCTCATTATTATAATCAAATAAATAATCATTCATTGAAAATAAATCCTCGAAATGGACGCAGCAATTCCGGCTGCCATTCTACAATTTCCGTTCTATGAATTGGGCCTGGAGTAAGCGAAATAAAAATTCACGGACTATCGAATTAAAATGAGTAATAAACAATTACTTACAGAGCTCTCAATTACGGTGCGATTGGTACAATTTTGGGTCACGAGTTGACCCACGGTTTTGATAATAGCGGTCGTCTTTACGACGGAGATGGCAATCTTCGTCAATGGTGGAGCAACGACACCATCCTCGAGTACAAGGACAAGGTGGAGTGCTTCATTCAGCATTACGGAGAGTACTACGAAGAAGAGGTGAGTACCTTTGGACTAAAGTTATTAACAAAAATTTTGTCTCAATAGGTTCGGAGATAAATTCTAGTTTTTGTTTGGAACTTGATTTCCGGGATATTTTAGTGGTATGTTTTTGACTCTAGGTGGATGAGCACATTGACGGCCAGTTGACCTTGGACGAGAATATCGCCGACAACGGTGGTCTGCGTGAAGCTGTTCTTGCCTACAGGAGGTGGAAGACCAAACACGGTCAAGAGCCTGCGCTACCGGGTTTCACTCACCTAAGCCACGAGCAGCTGTTATTTTTGGCTTTTGCTCATGTAATCACACATTTGTTTACTATTCCAATCCTCACGCATAAATTTAGTCTACAACCCATCGCGCATAATTTAGTGTCCAATTCCTGCTTGATAGTGGATCCCCGTTCCCACGGCTCTTCAAGGTTCAATCCATTCTATTTTATTTCCATTGGATTTTTTGTCTCAGTCGAATGATTTTTTTTTTCTATTTCTTGGATGAAATCATTTCTTCATAAAAATTGTTTAATTACTGAATAATTATTTTGTTAAAATTCAGTTATGGTGCGAATCTCATACTCCAGAGTCCTTGAGGTGGATGCTCCGGGATTCGCATTCACCAGGACACGTGAGATTGAAAGCAGTTTTAACGAATTCTAAGGAATTCAGCGAAGCCTGGGAGTGTCCTGTTGGAGCACCCATGAATCCACGAAAAAAATGCCGCATTTGGTGAATCAAAAATATCAATTCAGTTATCATGAATTTATGCCGATTCATTCCAAAGTCACAGAAAGTCAACCGCGAGTTGAAAATATATTTGTAATAAAAGATTTTTATTTACGTACAAAAATGCGGAGTTATCTTTTTACACAGTCATCACTTTTGAATGGATGCCATTGTTAGATTTAATAGCGAATAGCGCCTACAAATACTTGGCGTCGATTAGGGCAAACAACATCCATTTTAGTAAACGTATCCACCGTTGGATCCAATGAGTTGAGTAGAGCCTTGACTTGAGGAGTGGCTACTGACGCTGGAGTCTTGCACCTGTGGTGCCTGAAAAAATGATTGAATGTTAGCATAATCTGAGGATCCCCCGAAGTTGGCTGCGTCGTTATTTGCGAAGCTTGGAAGATTATCAACCGATTGACTGAAGCTGATTGTTTCGTAGTTGGATGATTGGCCGGATGTCTGGGACTGCTCGACTGGTGCTGATGCAGCGTCAACTGAATGAAATTGGATTATTCATTAATACTATCTTTTTAATAAACATTTGAGGACGGGCGAGAGTGCTGTTGGGGATGAAGAAGAGAGAGAACGACTGATTTTACATACCTTCGACGCTTTGGGTTGAAACAGCTGCAGAGTGGTAATTCTGGAGTGGTGCCTGTGCGGGTGCAGATTGATAGCTCTGAACTGGTGCCGATTGATAGCTCTGAACTGGTGCAGATTGATAGCTCTGAACTGGTGCAGGCTGGTAGTTCTGAACTGGTGCAGACTGGTAGTTCTGAACTGGTGCAGGTGCTGGTGTAGGCTTGTAGTGTTGGACAGGTGCGGCCTGACGTGCTGGGGCTTGAGGGGCTAAGTATTGGCGTACACCCTGGGGAGCTGACTGTACGTGCTGGTGAACAACTGGGGCAGTACGTGACTGTTGGGGAGCAAGGTACTGACGAGATGGTTGAGGTGCTGGTGCAGCTTGACGCTGAACACCTGGAGCGGACTGTTGAGGAGCTAGATAACCTCGGTTAGCCTGGGGAGCTGGAGCTGTTTGTGGCTGGTAATAGTTCTGAGCTGGAGCTGTCTGTTGCTGATAATGGTTCTGAGCTGGGACAGCCTTTTGCTGATAATGGTTCTGAGCTGGGGCAGCCTTTTGCTGATAATGGTTCTGAGCCGGGGCAGCCTGTGGCTGGTAATGATTCTGAACTGGGGCAGCCTGTGGCTGATAATGGTTCTGAGCTGGGGCTGCCTGTGACTGGTAATGATTCTGAGCTGGGGCAGCCTGTGGCTGATAATGATTCTGAGCTGGGGCAGCCTGTGGCTGATAATAATTCTGAGCTGGGGCAGCCTGTGGCTGATAGTGATTCTGAGCTGGGGCAGCCTGTGGCTGGTAATGGTTCTGAGTTGAGGTCGAAGCTGCCTGACGTTGTGGCTGATTTGCTGGCAGATAAGTCGAAGAAGGTGCGCTTACTTGATGGCTCTGCTGCTGTTTTTTTTATGATAAAATCATAATCATAATTATGAGTTATGAATAATTATGAACGACAAACGCGTAATTCATTAATTATTTCGGATAATAACGAATGAATCGATGAGATTATAAATTTACCGTGGATTGACTGTGATGACCAGCACCAAGGGGTGCTCCAGCCTGGTGGTTCGGTGGTCCATAAACAGCCGCTGGAACCGGTGCGGAACCGTGGTGATGATCATGATGGTGTCCAGTTCCATATCTTGGATCACCCGGGAGAATATCCCGCTTCACTTTTTCAGCTGAGCAAAGAGCCACGCCAAAGAGGCAAATCTGCGAACGAGAAAGAAAAAAACAGTGACTCATTGAATCAATGATTTTAATTATTAATTAAATCAAATTGATCAATTGAATCTTATAATTGCACGTGTGTGCTCGTTATCATTGGCACTAATTGTTTGGAACACTGATAGTTTTTGGGGATAAATATTCTGACACTCACCATCAACGAAAGGATTAGCTTCATGTTTATCGGTTGATGTTTCGTTGAGAGTTGAATACCTCTGGACGGTCATCCCGATCTTTTATATGAATCCGATGCTCCCTTCTTAATGTGTCGAAATTCTTATGGCATTGGTAACAGCTAGATTTTTTCATTACAACTTTTTCACCGTCTCCAGACTGACCTCCCCCACGCGCACATCTTTTCTCTCGAGGTCCCCTAAATAATTTTTGGGAGAGATGGTCCGGAGGCAGTCGCATCCTCTACGTTTATTTCATTCACCGGTAAAGAACAATATACCGTGATATATCATCTCCGTGATCTGCGAGGATCATTTAATATTTCGAGAAAACACAGGTATTTCGCCGTCAAATCATTCTTCCCCAAAAATATTATTATAAACAATTTAATTAGTACATATAAAATTCAAGTACATTTTTATGACATTTGTTTATTGTTGAGGGTAATAAAAAATATCATGATTTTTTTAAAATCCGTATATCTATTGATGAATGGAATGATTAGAATGTTTTGAACAACTCGGAGAGACAAAAGCGAGAGACTTCTCGTCTTTATTCATTATGCAACACCGGTTACTGAATTATTATAGACATATGTCAACAATTCCCATTTCTTGACTCGTAAACTTTCCAAAAAATATGCGTGGATGTCACACAGTCCGTGAAGACGAGAGTAATCTATTAGTTGTAGTGAAAGTGAATTTGAATATAAATTAATGAAGAATTTCCTTTTGAACTTTCGATGATTTTCCTCTGAAATTCTATCCCAACATTTTAGAATTCAACTAAAAGTTTCGATTATTTTTTCAATGGGGAATAGCAATTATAATTCATCCCGCAATTCCGTTGTAAAATAAAAAATATAAATTTTTTCAAAGTTTTGGGTAAAATTTGACAGAGTCTGATGAATTATTTATTTATTACTATCAATGACAATGAAAGGTAGTAATTAAGGGATTATTTCAGATTACATCCTGAATTCTGGTTAAAATCTATCGAGATAATATCTAGAAAAACATTTTCATAATGTTCGTCACGCACCTTGAAGACGACTTCAGTCCAAATTTTAAATGTACGTAGAACTGTAATTAACTCATCTTGATGTACCATCTCGCTAGATGAAATGATTATTATTCCACAACGGTTATTATTCATTGAGTAATTCCCTAGTATTTAGAAATACCACGAGTATAAATCAAGGACTCGATTATTCTATTCTATTTTTCACATGCAATAAATTTTCATCTACCAAAAAGAAATTGAACAATTAAAACAGATAATTGAATTATAAATATTAATCAATAAAAATATCTGGAGAGGAATTTTAAAAAGAGGATGAAAATTATGAAATTGTAACAATTATTTATGAAATTGAAGTGATCGGGGGATTACGCAATACTCGTCTGAGGAGATCATTCATGAGCGAATCATTGATGGTTTTTAAATCGTTCGAGCGTTTTCTCAACGATTATATATTATATGATAATGCTTATTTTTAATTGATGATGGAATATTCAAAAATTGCCTGAATGTCACGGTCCGAGGTCGTGCCGCATACGGAATTCAGATGCATAATTACTATTTATCCGGCGGCAATTTCTCATTGACATTGAAGCTGACCAGAATTTTCGGTAAAAGCGAGAAAAGATTAGAAAGCTTGATATTTGTCTTGAATTGTCGTTAATTTCGAAATAACGAGAAGTTACATGCGATAATGAGATTCGTGGGCTTGCCCTTTAGAATTCGTATGTTGTCCTAAAATTTTTTCTCTGCACACAGAGAAATATTCAATAAAAATTACGTGTATTTTTCGTAATTCTGGAGCGAAATGCGGAAATTTTACGGAACTGTCACGTAATTTTTATCTGAAGTCACGAAATTTTTCTGCGGTGTTCCGTAATTTTTATCTGAATTATCGGTAAAAAATTACGATACCGTCACATAAATTTTTCGAATCGACTCCATAATCGATAAACGACCTGAAATTCCCGTAATTTTTACTAAATATTTCTCTCCGTGTGGAAACATCCGGAGAGAAAATTCTTCCAGCGATAAAAAATCAGTTCAAGAGTGCAAAAAATGACAATCAATTTAATAATTGAATTAAACCATCGAAAAATTGACGAAATACATTGAATTTTTAATTGAAACAGAATTTCTGAATAAATGAGATAAAATGCCAGTTCTATCCCCGTGTGAATTCAAATTACTTTCATAATAGAATTATAATATAAAAATGTTGTTCAATAGTTTCTGCAGGCAATTTCCGAATGGAATAAAATAAAAAATAAAATCCACCGCACGATGTGGGGGTACGAGGCCTTCGGATTCCTGGATCCATGAATTAATGGGATTGAATAACATTCGTAATTTATTATTAGCATCTCCTTCAATATCCGCACACGTTTCATTCTTCGCAGTTGGCAAATTGCATTTTACGTCTGACGTTGAAGAATCGACAGATTTATTCTTAATGAGGTACCTTTCCAGAGTTAATTGTAGATGAGTTCTAGGGATCGAAGGGGAACAAAAAATGCCGAAGATGTGGGATTCAGGTACTGTCATTGAGTTGGCAGACGGTCTCAAGGCTGCAAAAATCATCCACTCGATTTAATCAGCGCTAATTTCCCCCAAAAACAAAAATCATCTTCTCTTCCGTATTTTTTCAGAAATAAAGCCTCACGGAATAATATATAAATCCTAGACAATTTCCATTTATATTATCATCTCATGAAAATTTTTTAGGATCAATGAAATTAATTATAAAAATTATTCAAGTGCAACTATTTATAGACGAATCACTGACTCTCGATTTCGATAACCTGTTGGAGATGATTCTGTCAGTTGGATCGAGTTCTCGTCGATACGCCGATCCCTTTCTCCGGTGAAATGGAAATTGATACATTAGTTTCAGCCACACCCGTTCCAATGTTACGTATATTCTTTCTCCAAGTACAAGTAATCGCAGAAGGAGTCATGTCGCGTGTACAAACAATTCCCTTTCAGTCCAGGGATGATTGGTTGTAATTAGTATGTAATCTTATGACCATAAAATCAATTTATTGCAATTTTCTTCCGAGATTTTTTAAAACTTCGTTTCTCCTCTCAAAGACTCCACAGACTCTGGATTTACAAAACCCAATAATTAAAGCTGATGAAAAATTATGAATAATAAACGCTTCATCGATAATCTAATTATCGTCAATTTAATTTATGAAATTACCTCGATGAATTCCCATATTAAATTTGTTTTTTTAAGGTAATTATTAATATCCTAATGAGTTCTTCACTCATCACCGATAATCCATGAATTTTCTGAGATATGAGCAAGGATGGAGAGTCATTTATAAATAACCCAAAGTCCTTTCACCGATCCATCGAAGACCAAGATATTTAGAAGTTTACTCCAATGCTGAAGTAATTCCAAACCGGAAGCTGAAGAACGAGAAAAACATCATCGAACCGATTAATTGCAATCAGTTTCAAAATTGATCAATTAAAGACGATCGAAGTATTCAAAGTTCTCAGCAAGAAGAAAGGAAGAGAATTGTTGCAAAAAAAAAAAAAATGAATAACAGAGCGAATGTCAGTGGCACCAGGAAGTGATTGCTTTCATCGTGAACGTTAGTGAAGGTCCTTGTATATAAGTAACAGACTGCTCTCATTTGCAGTACACTTCCTCTCATTGATCTCCAACAATATTGCAGTCATGAATATCCTGAGTACCTTTATTCTGGCTTTTGTCCTGATTGTGGCAAAAGCTTCCGAAGATACCCATGGGTATGGTCACGGATACTCCCACGGATTTACCGGTCACAAGTTGATTTCCCAATCGGTTCACCTCAAAGAAATTCCAACGAAAGTCGTCAAAATAACGAAAACCATCGCCGTGAAGGTACCTGTGCCCTATCCTGTGAAGGTGAGTCCATTAATTCAGTTCCTCCACGAAATTTTCCGAATAAAAATTGTTATTTTGTTAATTTTGGCAGAGAGTAGACAGTTTTAACAGCAATACTTTTTTTTTTCTTTGAGGTACCTGTTCACATTCCTGTGCCGGTGCCAGTGAATCATCCCTTTCCCATTCCCGTTCCCCAGATCGTGAAAGTTCCAGAACACGTGCCTTACGAGGTCTCCAAACACATCCCAGTGGAACTTACGCAGCAGGTACCATTGCTCCTGACTAAACCTGTTCCATATCCGCAACCATATCCTGTTCCTCATGGTATCAAGATTTCTCAACCGCTGCCGTATCCAGTGCCTCATCCCATCTCATTTCCCGCGCACGAGGAGTCCAAGCAAAGTGAATTGAATCACGTCGATGGAGAATCCCAGCACGAGGAGTCATCCAATTATCAACAGACTGTTTCTCATGGTGATGAGGCTGAGGACAAGCCGTTCAATCCCTCCCAGCCGATTGTTGTCCAGCCACATGAGTAGTTCTCGAGTGTTTGCTCGCACCTTGTAAATACATTCTCCGCCCTGTTTGTTTGTTTTTTTTTTGTTGATCATGTTGTTAAGCTTGTTGGTCGTGATATTAAAATTTTTGATACATCATCTTTTTGGGGTACCCTGATTACTTGTTGCTTCGGTCATCTCCTGCTCTCCAGAATTTATTAGAATCTGGAAATCCTACATTTTTACGCAATTTTTATGGAAAATTTCGCAGTGAAAGGTGAATGCCATTTAGTGTTGAACGCAAAAAATTTGGTTTCCATCACTGCCCCAGGGGCCTGATCTGGGATTTTAGGGGGAGGAAAGTGACTTTTTAAAATTGTTTGTCATTATTTTTTTCTATTATTTTTTATTATTATCTAGGGGCGAATGCACGTGGAATCGACTGTTGATTCACGTGAAAATTCGATTCTTGAAAAAAGTCCCTTTTCTCCCCCCAAAAATCCTAGATCAGACCCAGGGGTTGGGGTGAAGTATTTTTATTATATTATATATTCTCCGATATTTTTTTCTTTTTGGTGATTTTATTATCATTTATAGGTAGAATATATGCCAAATCAATTATGAATCGATGGAAAAATGAAAATTCACAGAAATTTTTGTTCCTGTCGCAAAAATTCTAGATCAGGCCCACAATCCAACGTAGAAAACGGCCTCAAGTCTTAACCATAGGAGCCCGTCTCTACCATTCACAGATTTCTACCTAGACTCCCACCATAAAATCTATTCGTTCACTTCATTATCGATTGAAGCTCTCCCAGGGAGCCAACAAACCTGATAATTTCAAAATCAATACCCAACAAATAAAGAATAAAAATATTTATTGCACAAAGAGTGACGAATCACATATTCAATATAAAAATACTCGAAGATGTCGAATCTCTCGTCAATTTATCCATTAATGCTATGAACACACGTAATTTCATTAATTATCTCATTCGTGATGACCTGATGAACTCCCCAGACGAATAGCACATTTTTTCAAGATGAAAATGGCCTCGATAATTTTCTAACAATCCAGGAATTTCTCGACGACTTTACCAAGAGGAATACGGCGAATACTCGGAGCTCCACAGGTCGGAGTGTTTCTCCAGGAGGATGGGCTGGGATACAGCGACAGGCACGTGTTTGATTACAGGAACTGCATAGGGTTCAGGTACCTTGACAGGATAGGGTGCTGGTACGTGAACCTTAACAGGTACCGGTACTGGACGATCCACTGGAACAGCTACATGTCGGGTTACCTCCACTGGATAAGGTTTTGGAATATGCACTGGGTATGGACGATCGACTGGCACTGCATACGGCACCTGTTTCAACATAACGAATAAATAATTGCAACGAGGATTGGCCAATCTTTATTATTCTAGGGCAAACGAGAAAACCTATAATGAAACGCGTTCAGTCAAGCGTCAAGCGCACAAATTTTTCATCATTCGAATCCATGTGTGGAGATCATGCAGGCTAATTGCCCTGATGTAGTTGACAGATTTCAGGGTGATATGAAACAATAATTTTACGTTAAGCTGAATGAAAATTCAAATTTCAACATGAAGACACCAATTTTCGCGAATTTTTTAGATAAATGAGAAATTTTGTGAGCATTTTTCATTGTAAGGTAATTCTATCTCATATAATTGAAGATTGAGACAACTGCGCGAGGAAGGTTTAAGAAATTTTTGACAGTGTACCTTAACTGGTACTGGAATGTGTTTTTCCACTGGGATGGCGATGGCAGGTCCTGGTACAGGCACCTCTTTAGTGATAACCGTTGATAATCCTGATGAGAACGACGGAAGATGGGAAATACTGGAGTAACTGGACAAACTGTCAAAACTGTCAAAACCGCTGTCATGTCCCCAGCCGTAGCCCAAGCTCAGGAGTCCTCGTTTATCCTTTTTCGATTCCTGAGGCTTTTTTTCTCCATTGGCGAGAGCAATCGCCGCTAGGACGACGAAAATTACAACCTGAACCCAAAAGAATTCATTACAAATATCGAAATCACTGAGAAAATTAACGCTCACACGGTGAATTAATTTAATACCTTTGATTGCATGTTGATATGACTTTGTGAGGTTTGCAACTGTGAGGAACATCGCGAAGATTCCTTCTTTTATACCTTGATCATGGAAACTCTTGGTGGTCATGGGAGCAGTGGTGGTGGATCCCATACCTTGACTCCTTGTCTGTGTTCCCTCGAATCAGAGCCCGAAAAAAAAAACTGAACAACAACCACGAACTTCTCACTTTCTTACGTAATTGCAAACTTGACGGTGACAAATATGTGTTACGAGCGCAGTTACGTGGGAATTTCGCAGATTCCGGGTTTTTGGATTTTAATGAACTCTTCATTTTCCTCGATAACATCTTTAATTATTTATATCGAGAGCAATTCCACTGGCCGTTTAATTCTTTATTATGAAATTTCTACGATACGATTTTTCGACTGGTTCTACAAACCAAAAACGGACGAACACTGATAAATAATCAATATTTCAATGAATTCATTGAATTATTAATTCATTAATTCATTAATTAAATCGGATTCAGTACTATTCTGCAATAGCAATTGTAGAAAGTCTTCTGATTATTTCTCAAATTCATTTATGCTGAGAATTTGCATGTGAATATTTCGAATTTTGCGGCGAAAAATTCCACATTGCGTCAATTATGCAAATGCAATGTAAACTCGTTCCAAGTACTGATCTAGTATTCCGAAATGGGAGAAATTTTCGGTGGGCAAATTGATATAAAATGCTGTGCGAGTCAGTGCTGTCGCCTTCCGATGGCATGTCGTGGTCGCGACGCATTAATTTCACCCCGACGTGTCCATTGTCCAGGATATTTAGCGAGCCAAGTCCTTCCGGCTCAACTCGACACCTCGTATCAGAAAAAGAAATGAAAAAAAAAGGAAAATTTAATGCACCAAATCAGTCGCGAGGTCGAAGAAAGTCCGCGTATTTCGCTTTCGTTCTTATTTCTGACAACGGCGGTTGATAAAAAGAAACAGCCCGTCATTCCGCGTAGTAATATCGCATTATGAAAAGCCGGTAAATCGTGAAACCCACACACACAACCTATTTATTTTAATTGACGTCACAACCCCGTACCTCATAAATTAAATCGTCAAAATGTAGACGGTCATCTGCGTAATATCTTTCGTCAGAATTAAGAAGCTACGAATTTTTCCCATGAATCGTCTCGGATCAATTTCATTATTTCGATTGAGAATCCCTTCTACGTCATCCAAATGCTATTTTATGGGCCTCTATAATGCCACAAAAATTCCAAACGGCGCATAAATTCCCTGAAAATAAATTTCCTCCGTCAATATGATGGGAGCTTGCAACATTTTTCATTCATAACGTAATTAATGATTTTGTTATTGGCCGTTGGTTGCGATTTTACGGGTTTGAAGCGTTAAATATGAATTGAGCAATCGAGTAATCGGTGGTACTTTATCTACAGATGATTTTCACACGGTATATATGTAAATGGGCGCGGGCGGTGAAGTATATACTTCTGTCAAGGCCTCGCACACTGGGATTATCGATAATCCGTGTACGATATGAGAAATCGATTTATTTCAAATTAATAATGCCTTTAAAATGAAAATACTAGTGATTCCTGGTCGAACAGATATTTTCATTTTTCTAGTTCGTCGCGGAAATAAATAGCAAATCCATTTGTAACGAGATATTGACGCAATGAGAGAAAATCTTTAGAGAAATACGTGACTGTTAATGATCCTCTTGCATTGAAATTTCCATAGAACATTGACAGAATTATGTCACCCATTCTGTGACCGTTTCAGTACTCGTAAACCGGTTTTTCGATTTTCTAAAATAGTTATTATCAAAATTTAGCAGGTGATTTAATTTATTCACGTGCAATTACTAAAATACATTGACTTCCTGTTTAACCAGAGGTACTTGTGAATTGGAAGGCAGGAAATTTGACCCCTTCCGGGTTAAAAAATAGATGGATAAACTCGAGGCCTGGATGGAGTCTGTGCTACAAGTCAACTTCACTTTCAAGTCATGCAGGGCTAGATGTTTAAATGAGTAAATATGTGAATAGCAGTGTAAAGAGAGAAAATAAAAGGTGTACGCTCTTTAATGATCCTCTTACATCCACCAATCGGCATTTGCTATCCGATCTGCACGAGACATTGACAGAATTATCCGATTCGTCCCGTTACTTTCGCCTACCGATTTTAATCCACTCACACAGTCTCGTCCTTCCCATTACAAAACTCATAATATTCCCTTATCCTAGTCATCCGATCAGTTCTCACACAATTCAATACCACCCATCATAAATAACGAGTGAAGGTATACAATAAAATAATCACCAATTTCTTACGAAAACGTCACAGAATTTATTTGATCAATTAAAAAAAATCTATAAGACTTCATTGCTTTTTCGTTCATCTAAAACAAATAGTTCAACAAATATTTTGGTTGGTCGATGTTTTGAGATGCTTGGCTAGGGGTATTTTAATAACTTCAGGAAAAGGTGTGAGATTGGCGATTTGGTGGGGTGACAAGATTTTTTTTTATGGGGGAGGGAGTATGGGACACAGGAAATATAGAAACAATGTAACAGTTTGGTGATTGCACGCTAAGTCCAAATACTGATTGGTTATTTAGTAGTGGCCCAATCCGTAGTCACCGTAGGAGCCAATGTGGCCGTGTTCCTTAACAATAACAGGAACTTGCTCTTTGACGACGACGGGGTGAGGAACGGGTACCTGAAGAAAAAGTTTTTTCAATTACATCTCGACTAAAACAATTGGCTAATAAAATATTTGTGATTGCACAGTAGTATTTACCTTAACGGGGTAGGGCTGGGGTACAGCTACCTTGACGGGGTAGGGCTGTGGAACGGCAACCTTAACAGGGTAGGGCTGTGGTACGGCAACCTTGACGGGGTAGGGCTGTGGTACGGGCACCTTTACGGGAACAGGGTAAGGTCTGTCAACTGGAACGTGAACGGTTTTCGTCTGGACGACTGGGTAGGGCTGTGGGACTGGTACCTTCACGGGGACTGGATAGGGTCTGTCAACTGGAACCTAAACGTTTATCCTTCATTAATTAATTTATCAACGAATAATTGAGACCTGGGGAATTTTTATTACCTTGACTGGATAGGGACGGTCAACAGGTACAGCAACAGGGTATGGCTTGGGCACTTCAATAGTCTTGTGGACAGTCTGGATAACAGCATGACCATGTCCCAACTCCAGTCCATGTCCAAGACCTAATCCAAGACCATGTCCAAGACCACCGAGTCCTAATCCCGCTTCACCACTGTATCCACCCAAGTCGCCATACCCCAGACTCAGACCGAGACCCCTCTTCTGGACCGTCTTCTCCTCGGCGAAGGCTGTCGCCAGCAGCATCAAGCACACCTGATAAATAATCAAATGATAAATAAATAAATAAATAAATAAATATATAAATAAATGAATAAATAATAAATTTTAAAAATACACTTGAACACATGGTGATGTCATTGATAAAACGGAAACGTACCAAGACCCTCATGTTGATAAACTTTTGTCTGGGTGAGACAAATCTGTTCTGTCTTTATTCCTGGCAAAACCACCCTTTATATAGGGAATTGACTTTCATTTATTTCTAACATCCCGGTAACTCCGAGCCAATGGCCGACTGTGATCCTTCTAATGCCACACCTACTTTGCGCCTTACACTCATTTATCCACGATGCATGGTTGAACACAATCTATATAAACCATGGTGTAAACGTTTTAAACACATACACCGAAACATCGGTGACATTGTTGTATAAACTGGGGAATCGGTCGATACCTGGTTTTCTCTGTATGTTAATCTATCCCAGAGCGATTGGTAGCCCATGCATGCTGCGGCTTTTCATCATGCACCGCGGCTTTTTATTATGTTATTTTTTTCCTTTTCATTGTGGGAGCTTATACAACACACGTAATCCATCCCATTTTAGAAGGATTGATCGGATTATCTATCGTAATTGTGGAGATCCGTGTGATGTATTGATGATCCAGTGATTTTTAAGACCATCTCCAAGGATTTTGGTGCGCATGGCGGGGATTGCGGGATTTTAAGATCGGAATTTGTCGATTTAGGGTGGAATTCATTCGGATTCATTTGTGATGTAATACAACTTTTTAAATCAATGCAGGAACCGATCAATTTCCGCGTTTGATGCATTACATCGGTAAACACCGGGGCCCGCCAGTCTGATTCATGTTATCCGATAACACATAAAATTCGCCCACATATTCAAGTCGTGACACAATGATTTCGCGAATAGTTAGGCGAACAGTTATTCTCCAATTATGCAAAATATGTAGAGAGATAATTTGTTAATTCATTGGGGCAATCAATTGCGATATATCGTGACAAATTCGGGGGAGCTTTAGAGGAAATTATGAGAGTACAACAGATTTTTCGGGACGATTGAAAACGAAATTGAGAGGTCAATGCACTGTGGGGAAATAGAAATTCGAAAAAACTTCACGAAATCCGTCAATTCAACGAGAATTTGATAGTAAAAAAATCTTTAGACATGCAATTGATAATTACTACTTGTTGTTTCTTGAGTATTGATTATTGTCGCTGTCAATGATCTGTTGTAATCATGTGTGTTACTCGTGACGTGATCCTGAACGGACGACGATTAACACGGAATTCAATGTAATAGTCGTTATCCGTTTAATTCGAGGGAATTTTCTCCCCCAGATTCAGCGCATATCCGGTAGAATGTTTTAGAATGTTCCATAAACGATAATAAACAAATGACTTATAAATATTATCGTCATCTTTACTATATTTATCAGATCATTCCTCCGCCATTACTATTTATTCCTATAGATTACTATAAATCCGTCAATAAATATCCTAGAATTACGTGTGAATAAAATGAAATTATTGCCGCTGATATTCAATCTATTATAATAAAAAATACAATGATAATAATGAAAAATTGATTTTTTTAGAGGAATAAATTTATACTTTAATGTAAAAATAGGACTTCCTTGTGTTTTCACACGCAATGAAATCAAATGTAAATACAGGACGTCAGTGAAAATTGTAACGACTCGCTTTATACAGTACTCTCTTGTTCTCGGTACGACAGGAGTTTACGCAATGACAACATTTGCTGGGTATTGCATGAGCTGTGGGTGCTATATAGTAAATACGTGCGTGTAAGAGAAATAATGTACCTATTTAACGGTTCATTTTTTTTTTTCGCTCGATAATATTCGTCTGTACTTAGACCGTACACACCTACTTAAAAAATAAAAGACATCAATATTTTTATTCTATTTGACTTTTTGACTTTTTCTGGATATTCATATAATTATTATTATAATCGTCATCGTTATTTGTTATATTATTATTCATTTCAATAGAAATGATTATTATTGTGATTATAAAGAAAATGAAAATTACATTTTTGATAATTTTCAGGATGAAAAGAACTCGGTAATGGAATGGATTATGTTAAAAGAGATTAGTGCATGTTTAATCGATGAATTGTGAGTCGTGAGAAGTAATGCTTGCTGTTGCACAGTATTTGCACATGGATTTTAATTCTGGATTGAATTTCGTGAGAACAGGACGCAGCGGTATGGAGCATTGAAAGGGAGAGTTTAATGCATGCTGTACATATTGTTGGAGTACAACAGAACCCGTTAATCTTGTGATTAACAATAGCAAGGTTGAATCGATACGAGCTAAAGAAGCCATTCTATTTTATCCGACCCTGACAGAGACTTCTGTAGGTCACTTCACTTGACACTTCCATTTTTCATTCAATATAGAGAAATAATTATTTTTTTTTTATCACAATTTTGCTAGGATTTTGTCCAATTTTCGCTGATTTTTATTTTGGCATGTACTATAATTACGATTTAACCGAATAACGGGAAATTAATTAGCATAACGAGGAGAACCTGGTACCGAGTGGTAGCCCAATGTCCAGTAGAGTCCGGCACGCGCTCCATTTTGTATCATTACGACATTATCATCAGTTTTTATAAATGTCGATTTTACATGAAATAAATCTCTCAATACGCCCTTAAATTATCTCAGAAACAATAAAATTCACTTGAAAAATTCTCTTCATCCCTTATCTCTAAATTCTCTAACAGAATTCCAATACAATTCGAATGAAAGTCTTGGAGAATTCTAATAAGATTTTTCCAATAGATTCTCGAGGTTTTCTATTGAATTTCCCAATGCGTGCGTGATAATAAAAATATCCACAGATAACGCACATATGTAGGTCGTTTCGCTCTATAAGTCAATAGATTACCGAGTTGCTGTATGGATTTTCAATTATTCTACTCATCGATACAGGAATCGCATGCCTATGGATTTTTCTCAAGGCTGAGTTCTCTCTGATTTTTTTTTTTTTACAAAAGGGATATGAAAAATATCGCGTAATACTGTCGGTGCAGAGGTGGAGATATCTCGGTCGAAATGATTTTTAATTACGAAACTTTCAATTAGCTTATGCGATGATGATGTTGATATTTTTTTTTTTCATCCTCAGGTGTCGATTGAGAGTTTTATTTATCACTTGAAATTACGCGTACCTCCGAGAGCCTCAGGAATTTATTATACCGTGGAGATGGGTTTTTTATGGTGCCAGTTGAAAATTTATGAACGACAAATTTTTTCGTATAAATTTCAGTCCAATTGCGAGAGAATCAAGACCTCGAATATTCGTGAAAGTCACTCGATTAAATGACATATTAATTTTTTTCGAAATATTCCTCACTAATTACTATTCCAAACCCATTAAATCTGATTACAAAAAACTATCATTTGAATACTAAATAAATTCTTAATATTAATTAACAAGAAAAAATCAGGCCAAAAAAAAATTGAGAAATTGCAGTCGAAGTTCTCCGGTTATCAATAATTAGATAATTCGCAGCGATTGGAATAACTTCATTAATTCGATCGTTAAATGATAAAATTGGAATAGGCGTATCGGAATTACGTGACGGTATAGATTATTGAAAGAAAATAATATCTAAAATGTTGAAGCCAAGTAGGAAGAGGAAATTCAAAACACCAATGACGAAGTCTAGAGACCGATTACCGATCGCTGCCAAGTTTCTCGTAGCAAACACTCAGTAACAGCTTGCGATTTCGTTAGTACACAGCAAGTCCTGTTTTAAACACTGCTAAGTCATACAATGTACATACATAATGGTATGCCCCGTGCCAATTGTAAGATAAGAGAAAAAGACGCCCATTGAATAATTCCACTCCTACGCCCGCACGATTATCTCCAGTTTCTCTAAAAATATCGGTTAAAAAATTCACTAAATTCCCTTGAGCAATTCGATTTGTCAATTATATGAGCTTGAAGTGAATTTTAATTATGAAATTATAATGTAGAAGGGGTTGATCCGGAGTAACGACTGTGCTGATAGTTTCATACCCATTTTGATATACTCGATTAAGTTTAAAGTACGGATAAGTGTTACATAATATATGTATGGGTTACGTAGATGGGATACATGTGCTCGTTCAACCATAAACTCGGGTACATATAGTGACTCTCTACCCGGTGAAACAGTCCTTACCCGTATGCCCTTTTTGCGTACACAGCGAGAATAATTGGACGTGAGAAGCCGCATCGACTGCCTACACGATTATTTATTGGATGGGATAATATTGAATGATGCCTCTCAAACTCGGAGATACCGGTCAAAAGAAATTACTTCACCCAATTGAATCCGCTCACCGCAATTAAACTTGAATTTGAATTTATTGCGAATGGACAATTCAAACCTCTGAATTTATTCCTGTTTTCCATTTTTTTTTTTATTTCTGGGGACATTGACACTCGGAAATTTGAGACAGTCATGAACTCTGGTAATTATTCATTCCTGTGGTGCAGGGTATGGATTTTGAGTGGTTACTTTTACTCGGTTATGCGCAATGCAAATTTATTCCGTCGAGAAACTTGAATTCATTCACTCGTGTGCAACTCCGTACTATCACTGAGGCGAAATGAGTCATAATCTCGTTTTGTTTATTTTAATGAAGCTGTCATGAAGTGTAAAGTCTTCAAAGTCAATTTATTGTTTAGTTCACAAATAAAATGGAAATTTCTTTCGCCTCCTGGGGATAAACTTCATAATTAATACATCTAATTAATACTTCTAATTAATAACATAATGAACATTACGAACTTCGATGAAAAAATATTTTATTACCGTTAAATTACAGATAATGAGTTTCACCACTTGAAACTGAATGAAATCGGTGACAATAAATAGATGAATAAATGATAATCAAGTTGAAGATAAATACGCGAATTATCAGGCCTCATTGTCGGCATAACTGTCAGTGGCAGGTGCCAGAGTTGGCGATTCTGTCGGCCATTTACCTGCGGTCGCTGCAGGTTCCACCGTTGAAGGTAAATCGGTGATAAAAATCGGCCCGAGAGTTTCAACCGTTGTTTCGATTTCCTGAATCTCAGGAGCAGGAGACGTAGCTTTTTCCTCGCTTATTGTCTCCTCAGGATTCTGATGTACCTGGATACCTGTAGTCGAGACTTCGGGTTTAACAGAAGAAATTTCCGATTCTTGTGGCAACTCTACGGGTAACGGAGGAATCAAATCGGTTGCCGGTTCCATTGTCTGAATTTGGCACTGACGACCCATATATCCCAATGGACAGATGCATCTAGACACACAAAATGTTTATTGTTTAAAAAATTGAATAAAGACGGAGAGATGTGAGAGGTTATCATCTAAATATCGAACCTGTAGTCGCCATCTTCTTTAGTCATACTGATGCACGTGCCATTGTTCTGGCAGATATCGTGATGCTCATCGCAGAATGTCAATTTTTCATCGCAAAGATCACCAGTCCATCCCGACTGACATCTGCACTCCCATGGCCTTCGGCAGGTACCATGAACACACCCTGGATACGGTACACACTCTGTGCAATTCACTCCGCTGTAACCCACTCTGCATCTGCAAGTGCCAGGTCTTCTGCATCCGCCATTTTCTCTGCTGCATCCATGAGAGCAAATGGCTGAAACACACATGAAATATTATATTCCCTGGAAACCCATCAATATGAATCATTATAACTCCCCATAATGATTGATTAATTACCGAAAGACTTGTCTTATTTCTGATTGTCAATTACGATTCACAAAATGGCGGAGGGGGAAATAATAAATCGGGAGGGAATGAATTTGATTAATCAATCGATTATGGGAATCGTGGCTATTGTTCTTCCGATCTTACGTGTCTGGCAGAGAAAACCCGTCCATCCTGGCTCGCAGCGACACTCCAGAGGCCCTTGACACGTACCATGAACGCATCCAGGAAGTACAGCGCACTGTTTGCACTTGGCTCCTTGCCAGCCCAATCTGCATTTGCATTCACCGGGTCTCTCGCAGTATCCTTGATTCGGATTGCAATCTGGATGGCACTTAGGCTCCGAGCAGAACAAACCTTTCCATCCAGAATCGCAAGAGCATTCGAAACTCACGTTGCATCTGCACGTTGATTCCGATTTACCAAAATCATGGAAAAAATACGAGATTCAGATAATATTTGTTTAAAAAAATTGAGTTCAAAGGCGAGCATCGAGGTGAAATCCCAGAGGTTGAGGACCTCTCACAGGTCAATGTCACCGATTTCGAATTAATTATTGGAGAAACCCACCTTCCGTGTTGGCATCCTGGTAATGCAACGCACTTGTCGCAGAGGTCACCGTAGAAACCTAGTTTACAACGGCATTCACCAGGTCTCCGGCAATAACCTTGAAGGGGATCGCAACCCTTACGGCATAATGGGACATCGCAGAGATCGCCAGTCCACCCTGCGGAGTAAAACTGTTACTATTTTCCGACTCATGTACATCATATATCAACAGGGAATTCCCCCACGAATGTACATCGAATAATTGAGTACCTGGTAGGCATTTCACTTCTCCGGCCTCGTCGCACACGTAATGAGAATTTGGGTGTTGTGCCGCTGGAATTTCACACGCCTGTTTCTTCCATTTGGGTACATATCTAATAGGCAAAATTTAACGTTAAAAATCTCCGCGTGGATGTACAAAGGATATCGACAATTCCGTAATCATTGATCAATAATTAATAGTAATGATTCTCACCTGGGGCTAGCGGCGTATCCAAGTGGGAAAAAACCAATAAAAAAAATGGCAGAACTGACAACCGATGCATCACTGGTACCTGGTGACAGAATAATAACTGATCCGTAGAGGATTGGCAACAGATAAGCCAACGAACGTATCATCTTCACGCGACTTCTCAGTGAAGACTGGATGATAGAAAGAGTCAATGCCAACGTCCACGTAACGGGACATTCAGGTTCGAGGTCACCGGCACACATTTGTACCTGTTGCCGGTTGAACAAACTTATTGATTTGTAGTATATGCAGTTGGTGAGTTCATTCCTCCTAATGTATCCTGCGGGTACGGCTGAATGATTGATGAGTCAAACAATATCGTTTCAGTATTTTATTCCATCTCTGACACTAACTGCGATCATTCAGTTTCTATACATTCATATTTACAATTTTTATCGACTATTTACAAATAAATACAGAATTATTACATATGTACACGAGCAACGTCAACTGATAACATGAAAACTCGAATGCAGTCTCTTAATTACAGTGACTTGAGCAAATTCTTAATAATACGGATATAGATTCTGGAATTAGACTTCCTCCTCGTCAACGACAATCTTGCTCTTGATGACTCGTCTGACAATCAGAGCCATCATGATCACCAGTGCAGCGCTCATAACTCCAGTGACAGCGGCCCACGGGTAAAAATTCTCGAGCTTTTTTTTTATCCGCCAAACCTGAACCGATTTCGGTCTTGTGTCGATTTCAATTGAGAAACTGCCAGGTCCATCATTCGATGCAATTCGCACGAGATACTTAGTACCAGGTAGAAGTGATATCTGAGCAGTTCTAGTATCAACAACCTGATTACCCATGAGTCCCCCAGTTTCTGGCTCCCACGAGACAACGTACGACTGCTTCTCCATCGTCGGCCTGACCGATGATGCCTGATTTTTAAAAACCGGATACGAATCCCTGAAGCCCATGTCAAACTGTAGCTCATCTTCGTTTCTCCTTCTGAAGAAGAATCTACGGAAGATCTCCTCGGGGATGGGCCTGTCCTTTCTCTCTCGCCACTCCACGAGTACCTTCTCACCGTATTTCTCGAGATAGGACTGACGTACACGATCGTTGAATCTCTTCTGCTCGACATCACGTTGTCTCTTCAGTTGGTCATCAACGTCACGCCAGGACAGTGTCGCTTCGACCAAAGGCCCATCCTTGAGAGACTCCAGGGTTGGTGTCCACTCCTCCCAGCTGTAATGCCTGATCCCATCCTGAAGGATCACCAGGATCCAATTGTCTGGACGAACTGATGGCTGTCGTAATCCGCAGTAATAACCGTATGGCTTCCAGGCTCCACCGACTCGGTGCAACTCAACTGCAACATCGTATCGACCCAATTTAACTGGGCCTTTAGTTGGTGCTGGCAAACTCGATGGCAGGTATTCCTCCTCTGGTCTTGTTGTGCGATAAGAGCAGGCAGTCTGGCAGCCTTCGCACTGTACAGAAAAATTATTCCATTAACACTTCATAAATTATTCAAATTACTGAATGATTAATTGAAGTCGTTTATTAAACGAAGACCAAAACGTTTGAAATGGGAATGAAACGAAAGAACAAGTTATCGCCGTTTTCACTTATGAAATTGAATTCACTCAAGTTCTCGAAGGAATAATCAAATAAAAAGAGGAAATACCAGAATTGAGGGAATAATGAAAATAAGAAAGATATGAGACTATTGCATTTTTGTTTTCGTTCTAGTTCTATCCTAAAGGATATTTATCTCAATGGGAAGCTACGAGCATCCCGGGTAAAAAAAAAATTGTAATCGGAACATTCTGTCCAAATTTTCAAAAAATTCCGGGAAAACTTTCCAGAAAATTTCTCTTTTGAAACAAAAAAAAATCGGGAACCAAAACAATTATATTTTTGGGAAATGTTTTTTATAATTTTCTAGAAATTTTAGTGAATATAATTTTTTCTTTTATTTAGATTGTTGTTTTCTTACTTTTTTGATTTTTCAATATTCTCAAAAAAAACGCAATCTAAATAAAAAAAAAATTTCCCATTCAAATTTTTGAAAAATTATTCAAAACCTTTCCGAGAAATGAAATCGTTTTGTTTTCCGATTTTTTTGTTTCATAAAAAAAATTTTCTGAAAAATTTTCCAGAAGTTTTTTGAAAATTCGTTAAAAATATTCCGATTTCAATTTTCTTTTACCTGGGATCGTAAAAAATTCAGAATAAAGGCTTTATCATTCCTCTCGGATTTTTTTTCCTGTCTCTCTCTCTGATTGGTCGGAGGAGATTCGACAGTGAAATAATGGCCTGTTCCGGGGCCATTTGGACTAATTAGCCCTTCCAAGACCCTGGACTAATGTCCTATTCCAGACAGTATACATGACTCAAGCCCTGAAATCCGAAGATTGGGTGGAGACCAACGCAAGTCTACATCGTAACGTTTGAGATAACGAATCGAGATGTTTCTTTTTATTTTGCTTTGTGTTTTAAGGAAACTGAGATCTCCCGGTTTTTAAGTTTAGTCGTCATAAATGTGTAGATTATTCCCGGCGTCAGATGAGAATCTAGAGAGTGGGAATAAAAGGGGATAGGACCTAGGGGAAAAAGAAAAACGCTCGGACCCCTCCCTTTTCCCGTACTTATAGGGGCGTTTGGTGTTCCATGAAAATCGACAGGTAGGCCCTTTTTCAGGATTTTCATCCACTTTTTCTTTCTTTGAGAATGAAAAAAAAAAGGCCAGCCTTATTTGGAGGGAAGATCGATTGGGTCCACCGGACGATACAATTTGCTTTCTTCTCGGGGTTTGGGATTTCTTTTTTTCTCTTCTCCTTTGTCCGTCTAGTTCTCGAACCCATGATTTTTATGTTCCCAGGGAATCATCGGAGGTGACATTTCGGGAAGTTGACGAACAAAAAAAAAACCGGAGATTACCGCTGAATGGTGCCGTAACTAAAAATTCTTTGTTTACGACTTGCAAAAGGAAACATACGACCGGTTAATGACCAAAAAATTGTGCCCGCAAAAACTACAAGAGCCCTTTCTGCCCGCGAAAAAATGATAACCAAAGGATAAAAAAAATCAATTTATTCATCGAATTTATTCAACGATAAAATAACTCAAAAGGCCCTGGAGTAGATCCCCTAACGAGATACAAAAGGCAAATAAAATACGCAGGCAAATGAGTCGCATCTCTCAAAACAAACACGGCAATAACTCCTCTTCCAAAATTTTTTTATTCCCATCTCATAAGCACCTTCCCCCCAAAACAATTCGAGCAAACCGCCAAAAAGAAAAAAAAAAAAGGAAGAACCGAAATATTAATACTCACACGAAGATTTTCGTCTCCTTCGCAAATGGATTTCGTGGCCTCCCACTGTGTCTCGAGGGAATCGCAATTATGCCAGCACTGCAACAAAATAAAGAAGAACAAATGAAATTACAAGTAAATTAAAATGAAGAAATGAAAATAACTTGATAATGATGTAAAAGAAGAGTGAAAGAAGAAAAAAAGTGAGGGAAAAAAGGAAGAAAATTGGCGGAAGGACGGAAGAAAGCTAGTGGTGGGAATGAGTTTGAGTGAAAGGTAAGAGGGAGAATCATATGAAGAGGGAGAAGAGGGAGAAGAGGGAGAAGAGGGAGAAGAGGGAGAAGAGGGAGATGAAGGGAGATGAAGGGATAAAAAAATCATAGAAGAGTGGACGGCGAATAAAAACCATCAAGCCGTTGGGCTGAATTGGGCGATTTAAGCGAGGTCGGTTTTCTACGGTACAACGAAGGGTATAACCGAGGTATAAGAGAGCATTTTTTTTCTTCTTCTTCTTTTCAAGTGGAGGCCCTCTGAATTAGCTCCAACCTGTTCCTACTCCAGCCACATAACAGGCCATGCTCTCTTGGTCGTCGTTGTCTTCGTATTTATTGGCATAGCCATGCTGCGCTGGACTACCCACATTTTTATTCCATCCCCCTCCTCCCTCCTTCCTCCACCCCCACCACCTTGCCATCCACTTTTTTTCTAATTTCTTTTATTTTTCATTTTGATTTTTTCTTTTTTTTTTTTATTTCTATCTCCATTCTTCTTCCAGCCGGGACCGCCAAGCGTCTGGTTTCATATTATATACCATTCGGGCCCAGAACTTCTTAGAAGTCCCCTGCGGCATCACAACCCACTAATGATGTTTTCTCAAAAACGAATCAATGCTCGAGAAAAACTTATGGTTCACTTTAAACTGGGTCAGGCTTTTTTTTTTTTCTTTTTGCTTTGAGAAATTTATTGAAGTTCTTGGGATACTTTGGTGAGAAGAGTTTTTAGTCGTGTATTTTCTTTCATTTTTACACTGCACGTGACATTCTGGTACTCCCCGGGCACGTATTCCAGTCGAGTTTGTTTGGTAATGTCAGATAAATTCTGTGAGAAATTTAGAAACTCGGGAAATAATTGTACAGAATTTTAATTAAAAACTTGATATTTTTAGTTCTGATAATTTTCTCGTAATAAATTCCGTTAAAAAATTGAGAAAATGAATTGAATTCCCATTTCTCTTGAAAATTCCTATTTTCTTGAGTTCTCAAGATAAATAAAAAGTGGAGTAATCATTTCTAATTGAACTCAAAATCAACCCCACGTAATTGAGAATTAATGGAATGAGGACTCCTCATGCTTTGAAATAGTAAAAAGCGTGGGTAAATGGAAAAGTGTCAGAGAATCTCGATCTCCAAATTTTCGAGCATGAAAATCCAACCGAAAAGACTGCCGTGTCACCATCCCAATTAGACTTTCATAGTCCCCCCACAAAATAATAATCATCACACGTGCAGTTGACCGTGGACAGATAAATGGACCCCCTAACTCCAAAAATTGTTATTCCGATGGCGTATCCGGTAGGGGGTGCGGGGATTCCCCATGGGGACGCGCCTAGAGGGGGCATAAATTTGAATGGATGATTGTGTTCCGCGTGTTCCTCATCGTATGATTCGAGGCGCGTACGATTCTTTTCGTCTCAAATCGATTTCTCTCCCTCCCCCCCTCCCCAAAATTAATGGACACCCCCAAATACGTTCACCAAATGAGCAACGCCCCAAAGGGAGGAATCAAACTCCCTTTCTGATGCACCATGTGCGTGAGATAATCGTGATTCCCCCATCTGTCCTGGTGCAGCCCCGCGTGTGGACCACCTCGATTTTTCAATGCCAGTAATAATAGAAAAAAGACAAGACAGACGGATTTATGGGTCGCGATAAATCAAGAGAAATCCCCAGAGACGAAATAACAAGCCCCCGAGTTACTTCAAATCAGTGAACTCCGGTTTTTTTGTTCCTTTTTCGACATGAAGAAATAGATTTTTCATCTTATCCATGAATTTCTCAGAATATATTTAATCATATTGAATTGATATAACAACTGGTTTCGTTTTTTTTTCAATTTGTTTCCATTTGTTTCCATTTGTTTCCATTTGTTTCCATTTATTTCCATTTATTTCCACTTGTTTCCATTTGTTTTCATTTGGAAAATTAGAAAATTGAATAATTGAATAATTGAATAATTAAAAAATAAATAATAATAAATAGACTTACATCATTGCAAATATTTTCAGCCGGGTTGAATGATCGATCGCAGGTTCCATCGGTGCTATGCGTTTTAATACACATAATTTTGCACTGAGCAATCCTCACGATTGGTCCAAGATCAAAACCCTGTCCCATGGTCACGCAAAACACAGATAACACAAGGATCCACAGCGATGACATGATTAAAAAAAAATCCTGGATAAACTGGAAGTGGCACTGACACTACCGGTTACCTCGGGATAAACTAAATTTCGATGTCGAAAAATATTCGGCTGTACGATTGAACCCTCGGAAAAATTCAGGATCAACTGTGACCCCTCGCCGCTCCGGGGTATCTTATATAGAGGCTTTGCCCCACCGCCGAAAATTTTCGGGCTCTTCTCCCTCCACAAGCGCAGAACCTACACTAGAATGCCGAAACCTTTGGACGAAGAAGAAGAGAAGAGCATCCCTCGTAATTACCCAATGGGTCCAGCGTCCCCTTGGCATATGGCTGGGGTCTTTTGCCTCCGGGGACCACCAGTGCCGCCTTTATTTCAACGCACAAATTGTTTCTTCCCCATTGCCGAAAACCATGTGCAACTACAGGACTCACGTTCCCAAGTGCAAATAAATACTTGGAGTATTGCAGGTTGATGGATTTTTTATCCCAAAGCTCGCGGAATTCAATCTATTAAAATAAAATCGCAGAATTAAAAATGAGAATGAAAATTTAAACAACGGAAAATTCTCGCGTTAAAATTGTTTGTCTACCTTCAACTGATATCACCTGCTCCTGGTTCGTTATCACCTCCTGCTTTATGACCCCCAATTTGTGTTTAAATTCCTCAATGTATTTTATTGTTATTGTTGATTGGCCGTTAGTCGCCAGTCGAATGACTAGAGGAACACCTGAAATACCTATCTGACCAATGGCTCAACTCATAAACTAAATAGAGTGGGCCTTATCAGTTTTAGGGGCTATTTCCTAGGTTTGAAATGACTCTTGAAGCCATTACCGAATCTTTATGCAGTCTTTATCGGTAATATACTGCACCGAGTGAGTACTCGGTACTCAGACACCCAAAGTTAGGATCTCCCCTGAAATTCAGGGAGAATTGTCTTCCGATCCAGGACCTCCTGGGGTGACAATTAGTCCCAGCTCCTCCCACACGGCACTCTCGGAAAATTGCTCTTGAATTTTGGATTTTACACTTGAATAAATAATTTTCATTTAAATAAATGTTCAATTCACACTCGTTTTTCAGAAATTTATTTGAAATGTCTAGCAGTCTGAAAAAAAATATATTTATCAAACATAAATTATTAAAATTCACTTGTCACGATAATTTCAGAATTCTGAGGTATTTGTCATGAATTGTGATGGAGTAAATGTAGTCCAAACATCCTGGATCTAAATTCGGGTGACAGGTATCTTAAATTTTCGGAATGGATCCATGAAAACATTTGGTGGGAGTGGTTCCTTGGAGATGGTAGAAGACACTCCACCGGAAGTACCTCCGATGCCCTGTATTTAGCATTTTTTTTAATATATCCTCTTCGACTCCACCCTCTCCACGTGTTCACCTATGACAATGAACAGGATGTGTACAAATAAGGGTATTTGTCTCGTTGGTCTGATTGTCGAGCTGAAATATATTCCACAGTTGGATCCAAGACCCACCCCTGGAATATAGAAAATTCTTTGGCGAATGGAATTTTTCTATTCATTAAATTGGGGTGGTGCTCACTATTCTCATCTTTTCAATTCACATCGTGAGGTTTTTCTGTTGAAACTATATTAGTACCATTACACCTGGATCCCATGCCTCGAGACTAGATACGCGAATTTAATGGTCAGTGTCATTTCCGAGAAGCTATTTGCCACGACTAATGCTTCCTCGAAACTTTTTCCGCCACTCATCTCTTGTCGATCCGACATCGGCCCTCGTATGAGGAGATAATTGACAGCGGTTTCGTATCAAAATCCTTTTTCTCTTTTTTTTTTTTATTATTCAGGGAGACGGAGGCCCGTGGACCTTGGAATTATGACTGTCATAAATAGCTGGGATGGAATCCTCATTAGGATGGTGCGGTTAATTGAGTGATATTTTGTTGGATCGCGGTGGTTTATGAGTGACTAAATTCAGGGGACACTCAGAAAAATATTTCTCATTCATCCGGCCAATTTCTTCCTGAAAATTCCGATTTTTTATTGACACCATTGATTTTTCCCGATTGATTCCGATCTTCAACTCTCGCTCATTCTGAAAAAAAAAAAAATCGTTTCCAGCATCCCCCGGGGAAACTCTCCACCGATTTTTTTACCAGTAAAATACATCAATCCAAAAAAGAAAAAAAATAACAACGGCACATACCTAAATTCTATTTGCTCCCCTCGCACTGGAGCATCCGGGAATAAATGTTTTGTTATTCGATTGCAATCGAGCTGAAAATCGGCGAACGCTGGGCACTGGAAAATCCAAAATTCATCGAACAAAAGATCGAGACAGGCGTGAAAGTATTTATTCTTCTCCAAAGGTATATTTGCGTCAGAAATATTCTCCCATTTGCAGCTGAGATATTTCACGCTTTGTTAGAGATCTCCGAGCTTTCCTGTTTCACCTATTATCTTTTCTTTCCTTTTTCGGTTATGTATTGAAAGTATTAGAGTATCTTGCGCCCTGTTTGTCTAGGATCAAATCCATCGTAAGTCCGGGGTGCCTCTATTTACCGGAGGCTTACGGCTTATCGTACACCATCTACACAGCCTGGAATATTGTTTATCGAGAATAATCTTGGGTTCGTGGGGATTAGGTAAGACCAGTGCCAATTATTCATGAGTTTGCATTAATTACACTCGACCAATAAAAATATTTTCCTCCGAGGAAACCCTTCTATAAATTCGTAAATTCCCTGAGACCTCAGTCACACGCCATCTGAATTTTCAATTCCATGAATTTAAGTTGAATTTCCTTAATGCTAAATAATAAGTCATTTGTCAATGGATAATTGTTAATCTTATGAAATTACAAGGGGAGAACTGAATTGGAGTGCTCCTTCATCCCCGAACAATCTCAAAAAATAATAAATCAGGAATTGATCCCTGGAAAATATTTTGGGACTTTAGCTTTGAATCCACCGGAATTCCCCGAGATTATCCACACCTCCAGAAAAATATCCAGCACCTACGTCGTTTTAAACGTGTGAAAAGCATAGAAAGGAAATAAAAGGAGGTTGAAAGCAGACAAACAGTAAAAATCCACAGGCGGTGTCTAACAAAGCAGAAAATTTACAGTGAAAACTTTGAAAGAACGAGAAAGAGAGACTGTGGCAAAGAGATCCAAGAATAGAGTGTATACACCCCAGGTACCTTTTTCAATCCAAAGTTTTTCGCGTCAAATGCGGAGACAAATTTTCATTGTTGGCATTATTTTTTTTCATGCCCATTTGAGTGACACTAAAGATACCAACAGGATAGCTGAATTTTTCCTCCGATTATGCCACTAAAATGGGGGACAGGTGGTAACTGGCGGCATTATCCTGAGATATTTCTATTGTTGCGGGTAGATTTTTCATCGTGGGTCAAGTATACACAAATGTGTGCTGTGTAATGATGACAAATTTACGGAAAAGTTTGAATTTATGGATTTGAATGGCTCCAGGGCTTATCGAGCGAACACACTCCACTCGGTTACTCTCGGAGTTATTGGCTTTCCAGAGGGAAGGGATATATGGTTTTGGCCAACAGGATCAATTAGGACCCGTGCCAGTATCGAGAAGATCCAATAACTTCAATACCATATGAGTAATTCTCATTTTTCCATCCATTAAGGTACGAGGCTCTTGCACTCTCTGCCCAATTGACCACTTTTTTTTATCTTCATCCACTCCCTTCATCTCCCTACTCCTTCATTCCATTTTATTTCTTCATTTCAAACTATCTCATTTCTCCTTAAATTATCAACATTCAGTCTTCTCTATTTTTCATTGCCAATTGGAACGATTGGAACGATTGGAACGATTGAAACAATTGATATTGCCAAAACTAGAAATTTAATCGTTTGAAACTATTTTACGATTTACCATTTTTTTCATACTTTCTCCTTCAGTTCTTTCCCCTCGTAAATTAACAGTTTATTCTCTCCTCTTTTTTCTCCCTTTCTCTTGTATTTTTGGTTTTTCGACCATTCGGTTGAAATCACCGTTGTCTCTTTTCTCCCCAGTGGCTTTTACGACACTGGCTTTATTTTCCTGGGCCAGGAGTTGAAAATTACTGCGCGTGCAACCTCGCATATAATTTAGTGCTGCAATCGAGACAGGCTGAGTCCCAAAAATGTCTATAGGCACTTGCACTGGTAAATTCCCTCAGCGAGTCCCAGGGTATTCCTTGTATTCGATGGTCCCTCCGCAGGAAGTTGTGGCGACCCTCCTTTGCATGACTCTTCCACTCGTTTTTTTTTTTATTTATTATCCCTCGTCAGGCATCACTCACTGTAAATCACCATTTTCACCATGATTTTTAACTTTCGGTTTTGGTGGTCAACCAAGGACTTCCGAATATTTCAAAATTTCTCTCCCTCTTGTACTCCCTTTGTTCGGCATCTCTTCCATTTGTAATGCTCCACGAGAAATTGCACCCTGACTTTTACTTTATTTACTGCGGTCACGTCAGTTGGACCTCCGCTATGACGACCCCATGGTTTACCTCCTGGGTCTGTACATCCTTCAGGCCCTTCCTCATGGGGAAAATCCGGGAATAAAATCTCTCACTTCCTTTGAAGCATGTGTTGTGTCACAGATTATTTTACAATTTTTGGAAAAAACACATGAAATCAAATTATTCGTCCCTGAATTACTAAAAATTTCCCATTTTTTTTGGCAATTGTTGGAATATCAAGTTAAAATTCATAGAAATATATTGAACTGATTTATGATGAAGCAAAAACCATTGTAGGGTTCTTTCTTTGGTGACGAATGTTCTTATGGTCTTTGTGGCTAGTCTTTAGTCTCTTGGAGATATTGATAGAGTTCAGACGATATTCTTCATCCTGCGATTTTAATAAAGAAATAGTGATTAGAATTTATTAAATGTGTTTTAATTAATTTAACTATTCCATTTCCAATCGCAATATTTTTTGGACGTACTTTCTGGGCAGCAATGGCTATCGATAAGTGGTGGAATCCGAAGGGTAGATTCTGACCGGCTTTACACTTTGGTCGAACGGTTTGTCTTGACGACCATATGGTTGCCGCAGGCAGGTCATTATTTTTCTCCATCCCAAAACCGACGAGAGATAC